AGAGGACCACCCTCGAAGGTCAAGACCGCACCGAGAACTACGGCGCAGTGGGAGAAGGAAGGAAAAGGACGATGAGATGCAATAATTGTGGTCAGAAATGGAATAATTAGCGGACCGAACTTTCTCTTCCTGTTCGATTTCGCATTTCACTTTTCGACTTTCAACCAAATAATGACCTCATTCCATTGAAACGAATGAGAATCGATTCTTGATCGTCATTGGTTGGGCTGGAACCTGAACTAATAACAAACACACCAACCAAACAAACAAAAACAACCAAACTAGGCAGAAAAGGTAGAAAAACAAAAAGAGAGAGAGAGAAGGAATCAAAGAATCATCATCAGCTAGCTAATGAACCCAAACCTGATGTAAATCTATCCATGCCTAAATCTTATCTTGGTGAATGAGAGAGAAATGAGAGAGAAATCCTGCGAAACCCTACCTCGGAGGTCAATTATATTATTCATTTAGAGCCCGAGGGGTGGTGCCAAGTGTTTCTATCCATCTTCTTCTTCATCTCCGACAAACTTTTCTCTTTTCTCCGTGTGTTGCAAATACACATACATACACACACACACACACACTTCATTCATTGATTCACTCTCTTTACACACTCGCTCTCTCTCTCTCTCTCTCTTTCTCCCTTTTCGCCTCCCGCCGCCACCTCAGCCCCACCAGCAGCAGCGCAGCCATCGGACGGGGGCCCCCCCGATTTTTACGTCACCTGGTGTTTGGTCTCTTGGCCGGACAACACACGGCGCGAGAGAGTGTCGCGAGAAAATAGACAACTGCCCTCCTTCGACCAAATTCTATAACAAACTAACCCATGTTTCTGACACTCTTCCCACGCAAAAATAAGAGAGTAGTGTAACACCGGAAAACTTTTTTTTAATTGGGTCCAAAAACGCAGGGAAAAAGGATTGTTTCCTTTCAGAAATTGTCGACCATACATAGAGAAATGACAATGAGAAAAAGAAACGAACAAAGAGCGTAAGAGCATAGTCACTACTTCACGCTAAATTTGGTTTATTTACAGATCAATGAGCAGCTGGTAGCTGTGCCTGATACTAAGTTCCGACCAAAGCATAAACATCGGTGTTTTTTTGGCAGCTTTTCTATTTCATAATAGGGATTTATGAATATTGGCTTTTTAAAAGCAATTCTGGTGTTAGAACGGAAGAAAGATTCAGTGATAACACGGATGACATGATAAATATTTCTAGGCCTGAGAATTAGTGAGAAAAAGAAACGTCGTAAATCCTAAGCCTCTCCTTTCTTTTCCGATTCTTTGATGCCCAGTGTGTTGTGTTCCGAGGAATGGCACGAAAAAAGAAAAGCCGGTTAACGATTGCGTGAGAAAACATACAGTGCATGTTTGTTGTTGACACTGGACAAGGAGCAATCATAACAGCTCGACGTGCACTTTGCCGCTCGATTTGGGATGCTTGCACAACACAGAAACTTTCAAGGAAGTAAAGTTACCGAATGATGCACCAGTTTCCGTTCAGATGTTTGAACTTTCTGCAATAAAATGTTCCGATTTTTCATATAAAAAGAAATGGGGGAAACAGAAAAGAAGAGGAACGTTCGTGGTGTCATATCATTTTTATCGCTTCTCCGCTCCACAGTATCTTTTCTTCCTCTTTCGAAACATTTCGTTTCCGTTCTTTTCGGCTACATCGCTTCAGTTTTAGTACACGTGGAAGACATCTATTGTATTCTAAGAACAAGCATCACCAAGTACCGTAAGTCAATAGACACATTTTGGTCGGCGATGAAAGCTACCACGTGACCTACGCAGCTTTATAACTATCGGAGTATTTCAAAGTCTGTGGTAATTGTGACCTCCAGCCCGGGGTCAATCAAAAACAGATAAGTTCTTCCAAAATTCAAGTAAAAAAACATTACAAATTTTTTCGTTTCGCGCCTGCAAAATCAGGCCCCGGGGAGTACAAAAAATGGGTTTTTCAACAGAGAACATTCAAATTAAAATGCCCCGATACTAGTCGAAATCTTTTGGTAAGACTTGCAATTTTCGACAGAACTCTCATTTACTGGGCCAATTCGAAATGTTCTCCGTCCCTCATTAATAAACAAACGGGGCCACAGAGGGGTACAGTATTGGCCAAAAAGGTATTCGCAAACGGTTTTTTGAGCATAACTTTGCTGAAACTTGAGGGATCGATTTGAAAATTTTACTGTACATGTCGTACACGGTGACGACAAATTGCGTACAAGGAAATTGCATCATTTTCAAAAAAAAATTTTTTTTCAATTTTTTCGTTTTTTTTTCACTTTTTTCAGTTTTTTCATATTTTCATATTTTTGGATATTATAGTTTCTAAGAAAGTTGGTGTTGGGTCTTATGTATTTAAAACTGTTTACAGACATGGTAAGACCCCTTGGAAGAAAAAACATCTCTCAGGACATCCGTAAAGCCATCGTCATCGGCTTCAGAAGTGGATGTTCCAAGGACGTGTTGGCGCAGCAGTCTCGATGCAAACGCGCTCTATGTATAAACGAATTATTAGCCAACTCAACGAACCGCAGATTGCCTCGCTCAAAAAATCTGTTAGCACAGTGTCAACTCGGTATCTTAACCGTCTGTATCAACACAACACTGAACCTCAGAGATTTGGCGCAAATTCAAAAAATTCTGTTCAAAGAACAGTTGGCAGTGAGTTCTTTTTCTGGGAGGCGCACTGCGGTCAAATTTTCCTTCCAAACTATTATCAATGTTCGAGAATTCACGTTTTTCTGAGCTGGAATATTATGCTGATCGCGTCAAATTGCTCCGGTGCACCGTTGACCCACCGAATATTTTTTTTGTCGGTGCAGGAGGCCAAACGTCAAATCGTTTGACCCCCTCGTTCATTACAGGTTCTGTGGTTGCATCATAATTAATCCCTGACCAGCCAGACCTAGCAGGTGCGCTATTCCTTCTAATTTTCAATATTGGGTCAGAGAATGACGAGCGTTGACAGTCATCTCAAAAATAATTTGTGGACTTGAATCACGTCATCATAGTTTTAACACTTCTCTCTCTCTCTCTCTCTCTCACTTGAACACAGCCATCTCTTGCTGTTAGAGCCAGTCCCTTAGGTTATTAGGGGCAAGATGAAGAGAAATAGATGAAACGCGGATGCGAGTCATTTATTTCTCACTCTTCTCTCTTTCTTTCGCCCGTTTTCTCTTGGCGCCGGGCGTAAAAGTCAAAAGGGAACGGATGCACTTTTCCAATTAAAAAACGTCTGCCTCCTGTTTTCTCCGTATCCATTCGGGCTCCGACCATCCGTTCTTCTTCATCTTGATTGTATCCTCTTGGGATCCCTTGTGCAACACAACAGATGGTTTTCCTGTCAATCATTTGCAAGACGAACGAGTCTTTTCGATTGTCTTGTCCATTATTTGCAAGACGAACGCGTCTTATTGATTTTCTCGCTACACCATCCAACATTACATGCCATTCCACAATTCTGTTTTTCTCTGGTTTCATCTTTCTCAGCTCTATTCGAAGTACTCCTTTTTATTTCGCAAAAATTGTTTGTGGCACACGAGACCCACTGAAAGAAAGCCAAAAAAAAAATAGATTAGCGAGCCTACCTAGCACTCGCTAACTTTTAGACATGTATCGCAGGTAGGCGCAACTCTAAGCGAGTCGTCGGCTTGCTGGTCCCTCACTTTGGTCGTTTTTCATTGTGTCCCGTGTGCTAGACCAACAGAACACATGATTTTTCTCACTTTTTATCTGCAAGTCAAACGTATCTTTTTGTTCGATTTCCTCGTGATACTATCGATTCAGTGCCTAACATTACCATTCCACGATTCCATCTGTCTCTAATCTGCTTCACAATCGTTCATTTTGATTGTTTGTGATTCTCATTTACTTTCAGCCACGTGTGACTTGACAAGTTGGAGTGAGTGCTGTGTTCGACAAACAAAAATAGTGAGTTGTTTTGCACGTAAAGGTACTGTGCATGTAGAATGTCCGTCGATTTTTTCTTCTAATTTTTCTGATCAGTTGGTTTTCATGTCATATGCCATTTTCCAACCTCTTATTGGTTATATTTGGCATTCTTGCTACCTCTGGATCTTCACACAGTCTCGCTAAAAACAATGTGAGCAAGGACAAATCCCTTTCCGAACATTTTGCAATTTCCAGCTCTCCCGATTCATACGGATTGTTTTCTAATTCTTCTATTCAAAACGTGATCCTATGCTCGTTAAGTATTCTCTGATATAGTTGACATTTCTATTATCATCCAATTCCTACTTCTTCTTCTTCATTAGTGCCCTGAAAATGCTGACAAGCTCCCGAAATAGTGCGATTCTTTAAAGAAAAGAAGAGACGAAAGGGCTGCATGTCCAGTCCGGACATCTGTTTCTCTATCTCTCCCTTTTTACACGTCTTCATAGACGCATTTTCGACGTCTTTTCCAGTCCCCGAAGAGGGGAGTGAGAAAAAACAGAAGCGAGAGAGGGGACGGACTGCGGAGCGCGCTCTTCTTAAAAAATGCGTCCATCTTTCGTTTTCTTAAATGCTCTTTCTCTCTCTCTTCCTTTCTCTCAAATGGCGAACAATTTGCGAACTACGGCACGTCGTTGTTTGCTCTTTCAAAAGTCAATTTTCGAGAAGATATTAGTTGTGCGTTTCTTCGACGATGCCAGAAATTAGCAAGTCGGTTCTATCACTAAATATTAGCACTTTGAACCTTTCGAAGGCTTCGATTTGTGACTTTTTTGTCGCTGTTCCACGTGACGGATAAATCGGATGATAGCCATTTGTTTCGAAGCATTCAATCATCTTTTCTATGCACTCGTTCCTCATGCATGCATGCGTCGTTTTGTTCTGTGTCTTTCAGACGCGTCGTGCCTTATCACTGTTTAAATGAACAACTTCCCGTTTGCGGGAAACATACACTTATCAGTCACATACCCTTTTCGTTTAGTTTCGACCGTCAACCTTCTCAAAATCGGTTTCCACAACTCAAAAGTGAACCATGGTCCGCTTGGCAAAGGAGAAATTCAGCTCCGAAACGCAGATTGTGCGGGAAGGAGCGAGTGAACTGAGAAAGCATCCAAATTCCTTGATCAACTAGTGAGTTTTTTTTTTCCATCTCTCATTATTTCAAGTCATTCATTCAACTCACTCTCAGCAATGAAAATTGTGTGGCGCCTGGCACCTTTGTCATCACGTTTTTGCTGAAACTGGCGATGGCAGTTCGCGTGATCGTGGAAAAATGCCCGAAGCCGGATGAGGACATGTTGGTCGACCTGCAGTATCTTATTAGTCACCCAATCGTCCACTTTACCAAGCCCAATGTTGCCGCAGCTCAAAATTTCGAATATCCTCTGGTAAACTTCCGTTTTATTCGTTTCAAGTTTACTGAATACAACCTTAGGATTGCTACACGACAGAAAAATGGTTCATCTTTGTCGAGACACGCAAGAAACTGGCCATCCAGTTGCTGGGAAAATGTGTTCGGAGCTTGGACGTGATTTCGCTGAAAGAGATTTTCCGATACTTTGTGAATGTCAGCACCGATCCAATGAATGCGTTCATGCCATTCGAACATGGAGTTCTGATTACCGGTCATGTTTTCCACAAAGTGGCGCTGCACCTCTCGGACGAATTTTTGATTGATGTAGGAATTCAAACAAATTGTGCATAGATTTCAATAACCAAATTTTAGCTCTTCCAAAGCTGCAAACGTCAGGCCAGAAGAGTCAGTGCAAGGTGCGAAGTGGCCATTGGAGTGTGGCAAGTCATCTACCACAGACTGCCCCAGACAAAGAGTCCCGAAGAACACGATTCGTTCTGTCGGCACTCTTTGTTCTGGGACGAGGGAAACAGCCAAAGCCAAGTGGCTCGTGAGTGAGGTCTTTTAAAACGGTTAACATTGCTCGGTATTTTAGTTTCTCTCGGATGCTCGTTCGAGGAGTTTTTTCTGATTTTCTTCTTTGCTGATCACGAATCCCTTTTCAACGATCGTAACGGATTCAACAACAAGCAAAGAATTGCGGCTCTCGATTTGGTTCAAACTTTGAATTTCAAGAAATCCCACGGATTTTTCGGTTAGCTTTGAAACTTGTATGTTTGTATTCACTTTTTTTTTCAGGGGCGCCCTCGTTCTTGGATGGATTCAACGACATCGTCGAAACGGTTTTCAAAACGGACTGCCCCGAACTTGTGAACGCCATGGCGAACTTTCTGGAAAAGCTCGCAGCGCATTCGTCGCAACACCCAGGTATCAATTAGAAACAAACGTTTATGAAGGTTTATGTGAGGTTTAGAAAAGACGTGGCGGCTGAGAAAGATGTTGAGAGAAATCGCGATCAGCACGGCCCGAGTGAATGACACGAAAGGAAAGCTGGGCCTTTTTTGGGTTTGATTCAGAATCTGTTTCGCGATTAGAAGAATCGTTTTTTTCAGGGAATTGCATTGCGATTGAACATTGCTTCCGGATACGAATATCTCATACCAGAAGATTTCGATCACTCTGAGCTGCTTGAAACAGCGCATAACTCGGGTGAGAACATAGACGGAAAGATTCTTACCCTTCATCTCATTTTTAGTTGGGCTACGATGGGCTACTAAATTCCCCGAACTGCTCTCCGACTATTTCCAACTTCGGCATCCCGGACAACCCGACTACAGTCTGCTGGTCAGTTTTTCACAGGCTCCTGTCAAAATAAGCGATTTTCTGGAGTTTCACAGGATTCCAATGTTTCAAACATTTCATGTTGTAGAACTATGTACTATTGAGTTCTATAACATGTCACTTTGGGATAGAATGTGATTTGAAAATGCCAATCGCTAATAATTAATGCAAATTGAGATGATTTCAGAACTATGGAACCAGTGGAGCGGATTCCTCTGTAGTGATCGGCCGCAATATGGGAGTGGTAAGCACAGACCGGAAAGCACGTAATCTGAAATGAACACTCTCATTTTACAGCAGCAGACTGCATCTCTATTCAAGTTCCACAACTTATTCCGCACATGGGAAAGAACGATGGGAGAAGAAGTCAATATAACTCAATGGACGTGGGATACAGTTCAGGATTTGTATCTGCTCATCGCGTGCAGATACCAAGGTAAACTGTTTAGGAAATATGTTACATTTTCAAAAACCCCGATTTTGTAGCTATTAACGCCAATCGATTCGATAGCACAATAGCACTCCGCGACAACGTCTTCCATTTATCATTTGGCATTTAGTGAGTTCTAATTGGAATCCTACAACCATGTAATTTTTACAGTTCGCTCAGACACATTATCTCAAGTTTGGGCTACAGCAACATTGCGTTGATGCGCTATGAAAGCTATTCGTGCAAATTCATTCATCGTCATCCGTTTTTAGAGTTCTCATTCAAGGGAGGAGGCCAAATTTTTTCTTATATAAAACTCGTGGTCGGCCAATTCAAGGTTAATTTTCATTTCGAAAAAGTACTTTATAATCATTTCGTGTTTTCAGAAAACTGGTGATCAGACAATCATAAAGTATCTCGAGGGTCTTGTCGAAATGCTCGTTCAGAGTATCGAGTACGACATGCCCTCCGAGGACTACACCGAAGATTTCAAAGTCTGCCAGATTGTAACAAACAAATGATATTCAGAAAACAAAGGAAAACAAAATGTTTTCAGGGTCTCTTCTACTTCTGTCCTCGGCTCGCCATCAAGTTCACTGTGGCTCTGTGCCGCATGAGACTGGGGGTGCACGGCTACTCATACAAAACCGTTGAGCAAGTCAGAAGTACTGCCGGAAAACATCACTTTTTCCATAAAATGTCTGATTTCAGAGAGTCAAGTCGACTGGGAGGAAACGAGAAGACTGGTGACACGGGAGCAGATCCAGACGTTCGTCAGCAGCGAAGAAGTCGATCTCGAAACTCTCCTCTACTCGCACGAAATCGACTGCCAAGACTTGATGGTCCCCGGTCTCGTTAAGGCAGCTGTCAAGGACTGGCACCTCGAAAGCTCCCCTGAGGTAACGTATTGAGTGATGATTTAGGTTAACACGTTTTTTCTTCAGATGCGAAACTACATGGTGTGCAAAGAAAGATATGAGGAGACCGGGGTCGTGTTTGATTGAATTGGTTGAATATTTTAATTACTTTGTTTGAGTTTGGTTGTTCGTTCATTTTCATTTTTGCTTCTTCCCTTCCTTTTCCTCTTCTTCAATCGGATGTGATCTCAATTCGCCCAACCAAAAAGTTGCATTTCTCCCTCCTCTCATCCTGTTTATTTGTTTATATCCAACATCCCCCCTTCCCCTTTCCATTTCTTTTTTGTGCGTGTCAATTTCTTTTCAATGTGTCAGTTTTACTTGAAATTTCTGCTTTACCTCATATATCTCCAGTACTGTTTTCTGCTAGTGCACTTTAAAAAAGTGAGCGCTCGAGCTAGACGAATGAGAAAAGAAGGTTGCGTTCTCTTCCCGCTCGCACATTGGTGCCGCTCCGAGAAATGTGAGCCCATGAGCTATGCACACCAGTCTTTTTTGCCGCACTCTCTGCGAAAAGGGTATTTGAGAGCCAATCTTGCCTTTTATTTCATGACGTACTATAATCGCTATTGTAGACTTTTCTGACTTTATGACTTGTTGTTTTCCAGTGCTCCAATCATGGAGTAGACTTTCGTGAATCACTCTATGTAGCATACATATGAAATTTTAGTACAAATCGTGTATTCTCAAAGCCCCTTCCCCTATCCTTCACCCTCCTTTTGCAGAGCGAGCCGTGGAAGTACGGAGATTATGCTGTGCCATTAAAAATTGTCAATGATCAGAAGATTCCATTTCATTCCCATTTACATCCCTGTTTGATTCGATTAAGCCATACCCTTTATATTCCCTCAATAATGTATCTTTCCATGCTCGCTGATCAGAAGAGCCAGTTTCTGAATCTTTCTTACTCACACACGATTCCCCTTTCTTTTTTCCATCTCCATGTTGCGCTTTTCTGGGCTAGCGCAGTTTCGAACGAAACCGCTTGGTAGTTCAACTATCCTTTACATGTTCCCCTAAAGAACGCGTGTTCTCTCTTTTTGTCGGACACTTGTTTGAAACTATTTGCAAGCCCAGAGCGTGCGCAAAACAGAAGAAGCCAAATGACATTCATTGTGCAAAATTAGCATAGATTAGCTAGCGAACAGAGCAACCGGATACACACGAATTATTTATTTTTTTTGAACAGTGGTGGTCTTTGAATGAAATTCAATAATGTTTTCTTTTCTTCTCTTTCTCATGTCTCACACATACTTGCCTTCAACAATTTCCGTTTCCTCAACCGCATCAGTTTTATTCTTCTTCTTTTCGATTTCGAAAATTCTTTTTTCAGCTTGACGCAACACAGCTTGACGCAACACTGTCGTAAAATGCAAACGTTCGAGGAATGGGAGAAGCAGGAAGATAGGGAGTTCGAGAAATACAAGAAGAAGGTTTGCAAGATGGCGACCGAGTTGCAACGGTTCCCAAACCGCCAAGTGAGGTTAGTTGGAAATAGGATACTTTTTTTTCTGATTGTCCAAGTTACTTGCTTATTCAAAAATTAAAATATCGTTTTTAGTGACGCAAGACCGGCTCCGGAAAACCAGTGGGACCCGGTCCAACTGATATCTATTGTGATGACAATTAAACTAATGTATCAACGATGGCTTCTATCCTCGGCTGGATATTATACCAAAGACCTGCTCTTTGCTATGCAATTCTTAGCCACCCACCCGCTTATTCAATTCAAAAACAAAGCCGGCCAAACGGGCACAACTTTGCCAATGGTAGTTGTTGAATCGCGCAACTTTCAATTGTAAAAAGAACATTTTAGGACCACTACGCTGACCACGATTGGTTACGACTAATTGGGGACAAAACGAACGTTGGCGGTCTCATCTTGCAGAAATGTTCGTCCTGTCTAGAGCCATTGGTTGTGCAGGAACTGTTTGAGCATGTGGAGCAGAGATTGCGCATGGGATACGTGGATAACTGCGCTGACATCATTCTCGAAGTGACGATGCCCAGAGTTCTTGAAGATTGGGCTCGTCTGGATTATAAAGGAGGGGAGAGAAAAACAAACGAGGTGATCTAGCGCGGGAGTGTGGTTTCATACGTTGGTTTACTTTTCAGATGTACCTCAATATCTGCAAGCAGATCTCTAAGAAGTACAAGTCCTCAGATTTTCCTGATTGCTCCATCAAGCTTCTCGGATCGTTCTACAAATCGATCGAGGCAAGTGCGAGAGATCATTTCTCGCCCAAAATCTTCCACTTCCTTGCTGCATGGACTCTGACAAGCACGTCCACCGCACACGTCGTCGAGTCCCTCAACGTTTTAACCGGCTTAAACTTCGAAGTTCTCCTCGGTCAGCATCCCTTCTTGTATTTCCTCCCAATTTTGCGAAATTTAGTTGACAGAGACTCATTTCGCCCAGCGCTCTCCTCATTAGTCATCGGTTGCCTCCAAAAAGATGACTCCAAACTGACTGACCCCATTTTCCGTCTTCTGTCCAAAATTGTAACGGCACTCCAACCCGGTTGTGAGTTTTGGGTCCTCGGAGACATTGTGAACTACCTGATCGGAGATCAGAACTTCCCCCACTTGGTATGTATGTGCCCGATGCCTCTAAAAATCGATTTCTTTCTAGGAGAAGACCCTCGCGCTCCACCTCCAGGCGAACCGAGGGTTGTTCTATTTGAGCGATGATCTTTTTTCTTCTTTGCAAAAAAGTAAGTAGGAATATGATTGCCATTTCAAGTCTTTTTTTTGTAGATATCAACGAGCGCAATTCGGAGGGTTCCAGTCTTCTGGCGGCCCGACTTCTCATCAAGATCAAATTCGGTAATGATCATCCAACCGATAGCTGGTATTTGGTAAGCGAAAGCGGGAATCAATTTAACTGAAGTTAACGTTGTGCAATTGGTTTCAGAACTATGATGGGTCGCTGGTCACTCGTGATGTTCGGCCGGAATGGGAGATTTCACGGGTAAGTAATCTCAAATTGCCTCTAATCAGTTTGGTTTGTAGAAAGAACTGAAGCAGTTCGAGAAGGCATTCCCGCTGTTCTTGCTTGACGGAAGCGACTTGGTCTTCGAAGCAACTGAATGGGACTCAAAGTCGATTCTGGTCCTGTTCAATATGATGGCGGCAAAAAGGAGATGTGAGCATAGCAAAGAACTTAAATATTTTTACAGAATAATTTCAGGCGCAAACATCACGCTTCTGAGAACAAGAAGCATTGAGTTTTGCGAAGAGCGGTTCTGCGCACCGATTCAGCCGGCCATGTTTGCGGTTTTGTAAGTAGTGAGTGGAAACATTGTGGAAAATTCTTTTTGCAGCTTCATCAGAAGAATGATGAACTTTCTTAACCATCACTGGAATGGGTGCGAATACAGCTATCTCCACCACACAAATAAGGATTACATACACGCGACAGAGTATGAGAAGCGGTTCCCGCGCGCTCTCGAATTCACCAAAAAAACTCTCTACAATTTTTACTATGTAGCAGTTCCTGAGCACTTCGTAAGTCATAAACATACTAAAAAGTATTGTGAATCGTTTTAGCACTTCGGAGGAACCGAAGTTCTCCCGTATCTGGAGCCGCTAGTGGAAGTTCTGGTGCAGGCGTTGGAAGGAGGACATCGCACAGATATGCAGCTCATTCTGAGTCATGAAGCCTCAGTGTGCCTTCGAGTAAATCTGGCATAGAGAATTTATAATCACCACACTACTTTAGGGACTTTTCATGTTCTCTCCGAAGCTCGGGATGAAGCTGTCAGTAGCGCTGATGCGTTGCGATTACAGTTTAAACTTTCTCGGAACGACGAAGGACAACGAGACCAACGGTGAGTGAAACGTTACGGTAACCACAAAATCTCATTCTGTTCAGAGATTAAGCGACGTTGGAAAAGAGAGCGAGATGAAGACGCCAAGCACTTGCGTTTCTCGTGCACCACGAAGTACATGAACATGGTGTTTAGATCCGGCGCTTTTAAATGTTCCAAAGACAAATTCCTCCAAATGGAGAAAGGGCTCTTTTTGATAAAGGCGGGCAATTTGTACGACTTGCCAGAGGTGGGTATAAACTTTTTTTCCAGAAGTGAGTGTATCGATGTGTTATAGGCGCTGGAGTACGTCGCCACCGCCCACTTCTTCCTTTCCATCCCGAGACTCGACCAATGGTATCGTCGTGATTTCCCGTTCCTCTAAATGATTCCCAGTTAAACCACTACAATCCCTGTGTCTCCTGCCTTCGTCATCATCCAACCTCGTCTATTTTCACACATCAAGGTTTATCCTGTTTATCGGTTGTTCCTCTCTGTCGCTCTTTTCTCTGTTCTGTACTTCAGCTGCATTTTCAAGTCCTTTTCTTGTTTTTTCACGCTGACAGAAGCCATTTGAAACATACATGCAACTCTCGGGACCCATCCATCTGACACTTTTCTAGAGATATAAATCTTCAAAGGCCTTCCGCCCACCTGCTCCTACATATCACCGTGGGAAACTTGAGATCAAAAGGAGATACCAATCAAACTGATTTTCCCAGAGATTATTATTTGAGTTACAAATCGGGGGCGTGGAGGGGTGGAGCATGGTGGAAGAGCACAGTGGGTGTGACTTCACTGTAGCTATATAAATCGGGTAGAATACTCATTATGTGCTGCTTTGCAGCCAGTCAAACTCGTTACTGTTACTCTCTCTCTCTCCTTCTCCGACAGTGCTGCAATGCAGCAGAGTTGAGATGAATTCCGTCTTCCGTCTTCCGTGGATTTTTTGTTCCGTCTTCCGTAGACTTTTTGTTCCGTCTTCCGTGGATTTTTTGTTCCGTCTTCCGTGGATTTTTTGTTCCGTCTTCCGTGGATTTTTTGTTCCGTCTTCCGTGGATTTTTTGTTCCGTCTTCCGTCTGCCGTCTTCCGGGAAAAAAGTTTTCTTCCGTCTTCCGTAAACATTTTTTTTCCGTCTGCCGTCTGCCGTCTTCCGGTATTTTTTCTTCTTAAAAAAAGAGTAATAGCTTTTCAGAAGCCATTTACTAGCCCCGAATAACGCGAATTTCCACGGGCAGTGGCCTAGATCCAAAATTTTTGTTGCTTTAGTTGTTTTTTTTTTTTAAAAACCGGTTTAAAAAAAAAGGTTCTGCATTGACGATTTTTTTGTTCCGTCATACGTCTGCCGTCTTCCGGGAAAAAAGTTTTATTCCGTCTGCCGTCTTCCGTGAGAAAAATTTTCTTCCGTCTTCCGTTTTCCGTGTTCCGTAAAAAAATTTTCTTCCGGATTTCAAAATTCCATTTCCGCTCAACTCTGCTATGCAGCCAGTCAAACTCGTTACAGTTCCTCTCTCTCTCTCTCTCCCTCTCTCTCTCCCTCTCTCTCTCCTTCTCTCTCTCTCTCTCTCTCCCTCTCTCTCCCTCTCCCTCTCCCTCTCTCCCTCTACAAATTAGTTCAAAAATACCGTAACTCTTTCTTCAACTTCAACTTTCTTCAACTCTTTCTTCAACTTCAACTATCTTCAACTTCAACTTTCTTCAACTTCAACTTTTCAACTTCAACTCTTCAACTTCAACTTCAACTCAACTTCAACTTATGTACATGAAAAAGACGGTCAAGGACGGAAAAGATTCTGCAATTCTTCTTGAAATGAAACTGAATCTACAAACTTTATCCCGGAAAACGGACGCTTTTTCTGTGCTTGATTTATTTTGCAAATTTTATCAACTGAGAAAAAAACAATACAATTATGTTTTGAAAAAAATTCACAGGAAAATCGAGTAGTGCTGAAATTGGGACAATTCACGAGGAAGACTTTGGATGGAATGTGACCGGATAAAAAATTAAGGATGGGGTGGTTTTAAAATGCCGGGGTCTTGGAGGGATTGATGCAATCAGACATGAAAAACACATTCCAGATAGGCTGCATCAAGCTGCTGCAGATATTCCTCGTCCTTTCCTTGCGACCACTCTTCGAGAACAACCGCGTCCTCACAGAACACCTCGAACGGGAGAATAAGGCAGAGTTGATATATGGCGTGGATTTTCCACGCATACTCATTTTCCTCCGACTCATTCTTACAACTGGCAAACTCTTTTAGGCTTGCCATCCGCTTTCGGTAAAATGTCTTTTTCCACCCTTCGTGATCTTTTCGGCTTTTGGCTCCAAGAGCTCGGGCTTTCTCGGAAAGCTTGGCGGCCATGTTTCCGAATTCCGGATCTTCTGAAAAGTAATGATATATTTATATGATTAATGACTTTTTGAATATCTTACCGTCGTCGTTCTTCGCCGTTTCTCTCCCGCCTCTCCTCCCTTCAATGTGGTCCACCACCACCTTTATTAGTTCCTCTTTATTTGAGAATAACTTCCAAAAAGTGAACTGAGGAACTTCGGCCAGTGATCCCAAATACTGCGCCACTCCTTTTTCATCCTCGGCCGGTCTTTCTTTCAAAATATTCTGATACTCAATCAAAAACGAGTCTTCCGGACCGAAGACCATCGTGAAGTATGCAAACTCCCGATCAGCGATGTGGATGAATTTCTGGAGGGCTTGGATGTCTTGCAGAATCACAAGCGGCAGCTCTTTCTTCAGAATGATTCCGTAGTACTTTGTCAGCTCCGAGGACACGAGCTTCGAACTGCGGAGCGCGTCGTATCGGCGCTGGAAGACGTTGCGAAGGCGTTTCTTTTTCGTCATGGTCTCCTTCACGTTCATCTGTTGCACGAGTCTGTATAAGTCTTTTTTAAAGTCGTGCCATGTTTCGGGACCTAAAATGTACATTTTTAACACATTGTTATTAAGACTTTTGTGTTCTCTCACATTTGAAATGTTTATCCTTCCGAATTTCTGATTCCTGTTGAACATATATCTCCAAACGTCTTTCCAAATCCATCTCGTCTTTTCTGTGGTTGTTCTCGAGCATCTGATTATCGCTCTCTTCCTTTTCCTGCTCCGCCTTCTTTCTTATCTGTCGATTGTGCTTTCTGAAAGAAAAATGTACGACTCAAAAATTGAGTTAAAATCTCACTTCTTCTGATTCTTCGCTTTCTTTTCAGCTTTCTTCGTGGCCTTGTCCACTTTCGGCGCTTGAATTGTCTTTATCTCATCGTCCGTTCCTTGCGAACCGTTTTCAGTGACACCGTTTTCAGTAACGAACGGACCTGCCTCAGACGGACCTGCCTCAGACGTACCTGCCTCAGACGGACCCGCCTCAGACGGACCTGCCTCAGACGGACCTGATTCAGACGGACCTGCCTCAGACGGACCTGCCTCAGACGGGCCTGCCTCAGACGGACATGCCTCAGACGGACCTGCCTCAGACGAACCTGCCTCAGACGGACCTGCCTCTGGTTCATCTTCCGGCTCACTATCGGAAGTGTCCTGCGCAGTTCCGGTGCTGCAAATACTCATTTTCACTCATTTTTATTATGCACGTTATTCACCGGTCCGAAGGAGTCTCGCCGTTTCCACCAAAATCCTCAGATCCCTCCGCTTCCTGCCCTTGAGTGTTGGTGTCATTCACAACCGGAATACTTCCCTGCTCCGAAATGTTAGTCGGATGAGCATTTCTTTCAGACTCGATTGACAAGGACATTTGTCCGAACTGTTGAGTAGGCGGGACACATTTAACATAACGAAGTCCGTTGGCTGCATAGAAAACGTCCCCATGATAAAAACCGGGGTACATTTGATAAATCGGTAGAGGGAAGCTGACACATCCTTCCTAAATATAAATAATATAAAAATCGTCAAGATTGCCAAGTTACCAGATTCTGCACGTACTGTCCTCTCATTGTCGGGATTCTCCCAAAATAGTGATAAACGTACGGCGGTTGATTAGCATTCTGAAAAAAAAAGAACAAAATGAAAATTGACAATATCTCTTCGAACTCACAAACGGAGCCGGTCCATTGACAGCGTAAGGGTAGAAGCAAGGAGGCTGTGGCCAATTGTCCTAAAAGATGATTTTGATTACATAAAACAAAAATTAAAAACTTACACAAGACGCTTGTCCCCCATCTCCTCCCGCACCTCTTCCGTTCGACGGCACTGTGCCCGATTGGCTTTCATAGTTATTGACGTTCCCGTTCATTTTGCACCTGAAAATATTGTTTTTGAAGCATTTTCTAAGAGATAAATCAAATTATCGACTAATATCAACGCAACGATACCAGAGCAAACGAGAAAACCGGAAAATGTAACTTTTCTATAAGAAAGCCTGAGACAGAATGTTTTCGGTGGATACCAGGCGCACGGAGCGCAGCGTCCGACAGCACTCTCACTTTCTGATGACTCACATCGATTAGGGAAGGTAGATTTCGTGACTGTTCTTGCTAGGACACTCTAAGCAAACATTGTCATCCCTCGAAGTAACTGAATATAGTTGTGTAATAGGAAATTGTGATTACTGTTAGAAAAAGCATCAACCAAGGAATTTGAAGAGGCGAAGTGATCAAAGATATCCCCAAAAATTCTCTTGTCGGATTTCATGATCCAGATAAACTTCACAGAACTTGGCTGAGCTTGGAATGGACCATATAAAAAAGTCTTTTGAAAATGGGGTTCGGGCCTAATTTCGTCACATTCTAACTCCATGGTTCTCGATTTTGGAGCAGTGTGTGTTCTCGAGAATCACGTCTTGATTATTTTTTCTTCTGCCTATAGAGAGAGAGAAATATGTATGGCAGCACTCAAATAATTCCAATTTAGACAAAAAATGAGAATTTTTTATCTTAGCACTGATGAAATCCTAGACGTTACGTGTCCAGAAAAACTTCTGTGTGAATCGGTAAAGTATGTTAAGTTCCCAAATAGTTTGATTCGAGCAGCGCCTTTTCAATTCATCTGAGCGGGAACAAAGTGTCGATCCAAGTTTGTTGTGAATCAATTGTCTTGAAATTGAAAAGATTTAACAAAAAACCGAAATACAGAATGATCGAAATTTGTTGATCCTTCTGGGCTTCTAAGGAACACTTTGGTAAGTACACGGAAACATTTAAAGAAAATTAAATTCTGATTTGTTATGTTATAGCTCATTCTCTCTGATCCGAGGCATCTAATCACCAATTTGTTTGATCTCTCATGGAGTGTTAGCTGGAATTTAAAGTCAGATAGTTTGGTGTCCCGCGGCTCTTGTTCGTATTTCAATTCTCAGTCGATTCCCGTCCAAACTGGATGAGCTATGCGGACCGGTATTTCGGTCAAGCTAGTACGGTACGGGGCCGCGCTATTGGACTGAAAAGAGTCATTTTCAGACCGATCACGCTGAGACTTCTTTAAAACGTGATCAGAACATCTTTTGAACTCCTTGCCAAGCGAAAAACGAAAAAAAATTCTGAAATATTCAAACTCAGTCCAATTGATCTCAAATTTGGTTAGAACATATTCATAAATGCTGTAAAGCTTCTTGCCAAATCTCAGTCGATTCCCATCGAAACTGAGTGAACTATGCGAACAGGTATTCCGCCTGAGTGTTCCTCCACTATATCGTGTGCCATTACGACACTCCGTTCCTTCCACCCTTCGGCCCTTCGTTCGATCGTTTGTTCCTTGCTGGCGGAGCTCTTTTTCATCTTTATTTTGTTCAAAATTGTGTGTTTTTTCGATCCATTGTTACTGATATATTGTCCGAAAACTGTTGCAAGCCCATGTTCTTTCATCATTCCTTCGATTCACTGCCCGACATCTGCCTTTTCCGTTTTGACAATGTTTTCCCCAAACAATTCTGTTATTGTAGCGTGAATCGCAATTTCCGACAAACCCTGCTACAGAAAGAAGAATTCGAAAGCAAATGTGCTGAAGGAAATGCATGATGACGACATTGATCGGCGGATTTCGAATATCGATTTGGCGACGGAGATCTGTGGGCGAAAGTCGATTGACATCTATAATATTCAGTTGCTTTCTCACATAAGTTCTGAAATTTGTTGGTTAATATGAGTTGATACTTTCAGGAGACTTTGAGGATCGTTCGGAAGTCAAAAATCGATAGGAAGCATAATTCGAGCCGATAGATTTTGGGAGCAAATAAAATTACTTGTGTGAGTTTCTGAGAAAGTGTGAGTTATTTTCTGATACATTTGGAGCCTTTTCTTTTTCAGGGTTTCACTCGGCCGATCAGGGAGGATTGTCGCAGGTGTTGTAGAACAGCAAAATCTAGAACCCCAGCCAAGCCGACTCCAAAGCCCTGAGAGACGGTCAACCCTCATGGAAATCTCATCGAAAACGTACATTTCTCGAGCACTTGCGCTTATTGAACATCGGGCAAGATTACGTACCAAAAGGCTGAGAAATGGAACTAAAAAGGTGGAAAATCATTCTTTTCCGGAGGCGAATTCATTTTTTGTTTCAGAATTTGACGTACATTTTTTTGCACCCACTTTCTCTGGCGGAAACAACGGTACCCACACTCTCAACCCCTTAATCATTTCTGTTTATTCTTTGTACATTCTCTGCATAGTTTGTTTGTCACATTCTTTGGAACTTAGGCTCAAAGAAATTTCACCCATGGTTGAGGAAAAGAGCCCTGATTCTTAAGACAAGAGGAAAAAAAACCCTATCTCTCGCTCTGAAAACCTATTTTACTAATTATTACCCTTTCTCCACCCATATTTTGTCAACTCCCACTCCAAATTTGTTATTCTTAAATAACTCACGGCGTGGGTCTGCTTTGTCCATAATCGAAAGGTTCTTGTAGCGCTCGTGGGTTTCCAGATGGCATGGATGGAGCACTGGCGGAAGAGGAAGGCAGGAGGCCAGCGGAACGGAAGATGATGCAGAAGAATTCATGACGACGACTGTGCGATTTTAGAATGGGACAGCTTCATAATATGAGAAGGTAGTTGAAGTGGAAAGAGGATTTTTTCAGTTATTGTCGTCCATTTGCGTCCCAATGAAACAATTGTCATAACGTTTTTGAACTTCATGTTTCAAGCAGGTAAGAATCGTTGAGTCATATCGTAAAGGTATACTTCAGGATGTCGTTTTCTGGCGACAACGTTACTTTCCAACGAGAAAAGGTGTAAGATTGGCTCACACGGTCAAACGTCAAACTGTCAACGATGGCAAATTTATGCAATTTTTTCAAGGATGCGTTGCGAACTGCGTTGGTTTTTGTCAAATTTGAATTTCAGCTACTGAAACCACATTCGACAGTTTTGGCGATCAGAGAAACGTTTTGTGGTTAATTTAGTTCAACATATTAATCGATAAAAAGGGAAAATCATAACAATTGTGTTGAAAGTTGGTTCGGTGAGTGAAAATAACATTGAAATCGTGAAAATTCACGAGGAAAAAGACTTTGGGTGAAGTTTCACCGAAGAAAATACAAAGGAAACACAGCATTTTGAACATAGCGGAAACTGGCATTGCTAAAGTTAGCAATCAGGACGTCGCGGTTTTAAAATGCCGGGGTCTTGGAGGGATTGATGCAATCAGACATGAAAAACACATTCCAGATAGGCAGCATCAAGCTGTTGCAAATAGTCCTCGTCCTTCCCTTGCGACCACTCCTCCAGAACAACGGCGTCCTCACAAAACGCCTCGAACGGGAGGAGTACGCACAACTGATACACGCAATAGTGCTTCCAGGCACTTTTCTCCTTCTCTGACCGCTCCTGCTCATCCTTCCGTCTGGAAAACTCGTGCAGTGCAATTATCCGATTTCGGAAGAATTTTTTCTTCCATCCTTCGTGCTCTCCGGTTTTAACCCTCAGAGCTTGAGCTTTTTCGGAAAGTTTGGCGGCCATGTTTCCGCATTCGGGATCTTAAAAACCGTTTTGGATTGATATTGACGATTTTCTTGAATATCTTACCGTCGTCCTTTTTCTCTGTATCTCCATCTCCATTTCTGGCTTTGATGTAGTTCACGATCGATTTAATCAGTTTTTCTTGATTAGGGAAAAACTCCCAAAAACAAAATTCGAACAGTTTGGTCAGTTCGTTTACAGCCTTCCTCACTCCTTCTTCGTTCTCTGCCGGCTTTTCCATTATCGTATTCTCGTGTTCAACAAAGAACGACTCGTTTAGACCAAAGACCAACGTGAAGTACCCTAACTCCCATTTGGAATTTTCGGGGATTGACTGGAGGGCTTGGATGTCTTGTAGAATCACAAGCGGCAGCTCCTTCTTCAGGATGATTCCGTAGTACTTTGTCAGCTCCGAGGACACGAGCTTCGAACTTCGGAGCGCGTCGTATCGGCGCTGGAAGATGTTGCGAAGGCGTTTCTTTTTCGCCATGATCTCCTTCACGGTGGTCATCTGTATGATTTCGAATAACCATTTCTCAAAATCATCACAAATGTTTTCCAGATCTGAAATGTAAATTTATAATACAACTCTTTCAGTGTTCTCCTACTTTCAACATTTGTTTCTTTCCGAAGTGCTGCTTGTCGTTGTACGTAGCGTTCTAGAGCTTCTTCCAATACCGTTGTGTTGTCTTCGATGCAGAGGTTCTCGAGCATCTGATATTCGCTCTCTTCCTTTTCCTGCTCCGCCTTCTTTCTTATCTGTCGATTTTGCTTTCTGGAAGAATGTACAACTTAAAAATTGAATTCAAATCTCACTTTTTCTGATTCTTCGCCTTCTTTTCAGCTTTCTTCGTGGCCTTGTCCACTTTCGGCGCTTGAATTGTCTTTATCTCATCGTCCGTTCCTTGCGAACCGTTTTTAATGACACCGTTTTCAGTAACGAACGGACCTGCCTCAGACGGACCTGCCTCTGATTCATCTTCCGGCTCACTATCGGAAGTGTCCTGCGCAGTTCCGATGCTGCAAAGACTCATTTTCAACCATTTTTATTATGCACGTTATTCACCGGTCCGAAAGAGTCTCGCCGTTTCCATCAAAATCCTCAGATCCCTCCGCTTCCTGCCCTTGAGTGTTGGCCTTGTCCACTTTCGACGCTGGACCCGTCTTTACCTCAACATTTGTCTCATTCTCATTTGTACCGTTTTCAATGGCGACGCTTTCAGACGTTGTTGGAATCTCATTTCTCGCGTTCTCTTCTGAAGCTGGGATCGGATCTTCCTGTGACACATTGGTGACTCCCTCCTTGTTCTCTCTGCAAAAAAACATTGAAACTTCTTAAAAAATCGATTTCAGCGAACTTCTTGTTGTTCTGCTCCTGCTTTAGATTCTTGTCTCCACAATCGATTGTGTGTACTTTGGAACGGTGCGGTTCGTGCGCATTGTTCGCAATGGAATCGATTCCGGACGGACCAGGCTCGGGAGTTGGGGCGATTGGTTTATCTTCCGCTTCACTGTCGGAAGTGTCCGGAGCTACCTCGAAGCTATAAAGGCTTGTTTTTAATCATCTTTACATCCAAGTTACTTACCGGTTCGATGTTTCGCCGCTTCTATCGCCATCCTCAAATCCAACCGCTTCCTGTTCTCGATTGTTCTTGTCATTCACAGCCGGAATGCATTCGTGCTCCGAAACGTTAGTCGCATGTGTATATCTTCCAATTCCCATCGACGAGGACGATTGTCCGAACTGTTGAGCAATCGGGGAATATTTTACGAAACAAAGTCCGTTGGCTGCATAGAAAATGTCCCCATTATAAAAACCGGGGAGCATTTGATAGATCGGAAAAGGAAAGGTGACAAATATTTCCTGAAAATCTTTTTTCTCACTCAACGAATATGTGGAGGTTTTAAGTGTGTGTACAAGCATTTCCCATGAATAACTTTTTGACCCCTCGATCAATCTGTCTCATACTTGGGATATCGTCATTTCTCTCGGAGCGCTTCACAAAAGTACTGTTTGAATCTCGGGTGGATACAGTACTCCTATTATTTTTACATTTTTCAGAGCGGTCCAATCAAGACCAAACTTTTCTGGTAATTTTTGGAGTATTTTAAGATCAATGTGAAAGTTTGTTGCAGAGTACCGTGGGGCCTGAGGTCACTGTAAAGATAGTTAAGGATAGTTATTGCTAAATTACCGGATTCTGCACGAACTGTCCACTCATCAACGCGTTATTCCCAAAATAATGATAAACGAAAGGCGGTTGATTAGCATTCTGAAAAACAAAAAGAAAACTTACACTATGTCTTTAAACTTACAAACGGAGCCGGTCCATTGACAGAGTATGGGTAGAAGCAAGGAGGCTGTGGCCAATTGTCCTAAAAAAAGATTATGATAGTATTTTTTTCATGAAACATAAATTAACAACTTACACAATACGCAGGTCCTCTGAATTCTCCCGCAATTCCTACGGTCGACTGCACTTTGCCCTCTTGGTCTCCATATTTTTGTACGTTTCCGATCATTTCAGACCTGAAAAAAAAGATACATCTCTGACAAACTGATAAAATGCAGACAGGAACTCACAGGTTATCGTGAAGCAAGCTATTCTGCCAAGTTGCAGCAAATTCGGAACTCCCGGAGTCTTTTAGTGAGATGAATTGATTGAAATTTCGAGCGTCGAAAGGAGAGCGTTCAAGGACAAACTGAGAAGCAAGCAGACTGGAAACAGAAAAATAGTTATACAGAAGAAGGAGACGCAAAACAATAGGGGGAGGAGAAGGACATGTGCCTGTTAGCGTTCAAATAATTCAAGGTCACACGTTCTAGTGTGCGCATGTTTTGAAAACATTAGGGATATATTCAAATCTTTGCAATGAGGAAAATCCAGATTTTCCTAAAGAAGTGGAGGAAGAAAGTTTTCCAAGTTTGGTGTGAATCGATTGCCTGAAAACTGAAAATATCTGTTATATCTTTTAAAAAACCGACATACAGACATACAACATCCACTCAAACGACTCAAAACAGTACACAAGTGATCTTTGTCATCTTCTTCTGGATTGGAGTACAAAAAGCATAGAATGCACGGCAATCAGCGATTTTTGCGTTGTAAGACCAACTATTTTTGAATGAAGCACATTTAATTGAAATTTCAGTGATTTCTCGAGCGTTACCATGAAATCCACTTCCGGTGAGGGATAATATTGACCAAAAGAATACTGCAATTTCAAACATCATTCGCCAGTCTTCTCAACTATTGACCGCATCTAACTTCTCTTTTTTTTCTCGTTTTTTGACACGGCTTCCCGTCGCGATCTGAAGAAACGCACTTCTGATCTCAAAAGTTATTGGCTACTGGGCTACTCTCAGGCTCTTGTTGCAGGAATCGTACTCAACAAGATGGAACAGAACAGAATCCGTCCCTCAACTGGCATCAACTGTTCATCTACCGAATCTCGTCGTAAAAAACGTGCTTCAGGCAGCCTTCCTTTCGAATTTGATCCAGTCTAAAGCCCTGCTGACCCAACATGAAGTGCCCCGACAACTGAGAAGATCTATTCGCGGCACGAAGATTCCGGTAACTTTTGTCATTGAGATTCTGTCTGTCAGCAACTGCCAACCTGCTATCGGGCCCTGGAAAGAAGATCAACAGGATGTCGTCATCAAAACGGGAAAAAAATACGAAGAGAGACCTGCGAAGTTCAATGACGAACTGAAGGCGTGAATTCTTTGTGTAAAACGATCAGTTTTTTAAAATGATTTATTCAAACCCGACCCGAATTACTTCGGACGCTGGGTTGGCACGTAAGATTCAGGATCAGGATCCGTAGTTCCATGCTGCTCGAGAGCGGAATGCTTGAAGATAGTAGTCTTGATCCTTGTCACTGAAAATATGTTGAATGAAATTATTTTAGAAGTTGTTTGTTGCACAGTCTCTTTCCTAGTTTTATTCTATTATACTTTGGAGAAGGTACTAGGAACTAACCTGGCACAGAGCGCTGATTTATACGAGCAAACGTCGTCGAGATGTTTGTGAGACGTGGCTGAAATGCATATAGTGTGAAAAACCAATATGTTATGTGCGAATTTTACGACAATTCGGCGGAAAACGACATCCACGATCGGATTTTCATCTGATGCCTCTTCAAAAACTACCTCAGCAATCGGAACCGGCTAATTAGCAGCTGAAGGAACTCGTTCTGGTTTTCCCGTCTGAATTTTTAGTCCGCTGAATAAGAAACTTTTGCGGAACTCATTTTCATGATGCTCGTTGCACGTTTTTGTTTGCTTCTCTCTAACTTTTCTTGGACCAGTCAGCTACTGTCTGCAACTGGTCCCTCATCAAAAACACTCCACAGCTAAGGGTTCCTCTGTTGAATTCTCCCACCCAGCGATTTCAACGATTAGTCTGAATTTCCGGAGTCTGTTCGCTTAGAAACATTAGTGCAACGGTGAGTAGTCCTGCAGTTTAATCTAACTCTGCATTTTATCTCTTCCCTCTTTTTTCTCTCCATTTTTCAGATCATAGTGAACTTTTTCTTCTATTTTCAGCGGGCCTAACTGGCCTACGGCTATAACTTACACACGCAGTCACGAGAAGGCGGCCCGTATTCCATTTTCCCGTGCTAAACAGAACAGAACACCAAAGCGTCGTCAAAATTCCAGCAGCGCAGGTGATATTGAGAGTTTTGCAGCACGGGGTTTAACATTGACTGTCGAATGTAGTGAATTCGGTTCGCGGACGCTGCTACACTATGAAAAGTGGAAAATATTACTGTATATTTGTCGACGGAAGCGTCGATATCAGAAGATCAGAAGAAGGTGGTAGAGCAAACACCAGGAACAAAGGAGATCGGTAGCAGAATATTATTGCAGCTTTTATCGGCCCGCTTGGTCGTAAACTGTAGTATATAAGCTCTCGTTGTTGTTGTATGATATCGTTTTTCGTTTGTGGATAAAGTCAGTTCTACTAATCTACTATTTCTTCCTTCCTGAGATCAACCAAATCGGAGAGCCGTACAATTCTGATATGGTGACCCAGGCAGGGGCGATCGTGTCTACGTGTTTGGAGAAGACACAGCACTATGAGCGAGATTATGACATAAGCCATAGTTGGGCGCACAGTTGCTGGAGAGGATCGGGAAGTTGCTATGAAACGAAATGTGAAAATCTTCGTGGAAACGACACAAATCTGCCAGAGTCTTCGCTGGAAGCACAACGAGCTACAGGATACAGTCGATGCTACAAAACGTGTGGATGCATAACCTGTGGTGGATGTTTTTACTGTGCGGCATCGTGTTTGTTTTCAAGATTGTATGCGTTACCGACATCAAAAACAATCTATCAAGTGCTGACATGCCCGGCTTGGGCATCAATGATTGCGGTGGATATCAATCTCAACGGAAAGATAATGAAACGCAAAATTGAGCACGGAGTACCCTTTCAAGTGCCAGAAACGAACATCTCGGTCATCATAACAGGATTTTCGACACCTCCAACCCCGGTACACACGGCTACTTTCATCAAGCAGTTGCCAACGACGGAAAAAGGCACTCCGGAGATCGGATTCACGTACACTTCTGTTGCTCAGGCTGGAGCGCCGACAAGAGGACTGATCGGAGAGTTCCAATGGGCGGAATTGAAAGATGCTGAAAACTTCCGGTGCATCTTTGATGAACGGCTATGTGACTGCCTCGTTCAAGGAACGACTCTTTCGTGCCATTGCCACCGACTACAACTGAAAGAAGTAATGGAAAAGACCAAGCTTCCTGTTAAAGAAACTGGAGTGAAAGTTCTGTGGGAGGATGAGAAGATCGCGACGAAGATCACTACTTCGGCTTTGGTTGCGATTCAGGTTAAATTCCAAAATCAAACCGTTCAAAGGAGGGTTAAGGAAGACGACTGCCGAATGGAAGATGTAAGGATTGAAGGATGTTTCGCGTGTGGAAAAGGAGCCAAGCTGCGGGGAAACTGCATTGGCAGCTTCAAACATCGAATTGAAGCAACAGTCAAATGCCCCACTCTTGGTGTTCATTTCATGGAATGTGGAAAAGATGGGAAGAAGACGGAACTCGAGTTCAACGCTGATGGAGGAAAGATCGAAGAAACGTGTGAGATTAATTGCGGGAAGAAGGTCAATAAGTTCGTAGTGCAAGGAACTTTGAAGGAGGAGGCGACGTTCGATGCAAGTCATCTTCGAGACAAGTTCGCCGCCTACTCTGAATATGTGAGCAATGGAAGTTTGTTGGAGTTGGTGGGAGCATCGATCAAGGAGACGTGGAGTTCGTTGGTTAGTGGGATTGGAACGTGGACGACGATCGGGATGTTGGTTATCATCGTCGTCATCGGACTTCAATGTTTTATCGGTCAAGCAGCATTTTCGTTTTGGTTGTTGCCTCGGCAGTGTCGACGGAAGCGTCGATATCAGAAGATCCGAAGAAGGTGGCAGAGCAAACACCAGGAACAAAGGTGATCGGTAGCAGAATATTATTGCAGCTTTTTTCGGCCCGCTCGGTCGTGAACTGTAGTATATAAGCTCTCGTTGTTGTTGTATGATATCGTTTTTCGTTTGTGGATAAAGTCAGTTCTACTAATCTACTATTTCTTCCTTCCTGAGACCAAATCGGAGAGCCGTACAATTCTGATAATATTCACCTTGATTTGATTGTTTTCAAACAAACGCATTCCATTCTCAGCGCCCAAGACGTCATTACCCATCAGAATCTGAAGCTACCACAGTTTGGGTCGAGTTTGCCTTCTCCGCCTTCTCGGAGCCACTTGGAAGATGCAGAAACACTTTCCGACTACTGCACTTGACGAATTGTGGGTTGAACAGTTTCTGTAACAAGCAATTGTAGAAAAAAGCATACATTTATGATGGACTGAATTTTAAAACGAAACACTTCGTCGTATTGCCATGAAAGCCGAGAGAAATTGACAAAAACTCACTTTCGCTTGATTATTGTCATTCGTGCCGTTCATTTTTTGCTTTTGAATTGCCCGTTTCTCCTGAAATACGCTGATAAATGTTTTCGAAAATAAATTTAAAAAAACCGATGCTGGACGAACGAGCGACCAGCCCTTCTCGGCCACGGACGTTGTGTACTACACGTGGACAATGTAAGTGTTAGGGGTACCTGAAAGAACAGAAGAAATGGCTTGTTTGAGATATAAATTTTGAAAATAATGATGGAAATGGGAGAAATTCCGGTGGCAGATCGACCCAACAATTCCACGACAGGGCCAAGAAGTACCTCAACTCCAAAAATCCTTGGCAAGCCTATCGTCTCGTACTTCTCACAGAAAGCAACCATCTACATTCTCTGATGGACAACGACGACGTTGGAGCATTGAATCGATCGGTGTAATCGCGGAGTGGTTCTTCTTGTATGGACGATTCCATCGCGATGGAGGTTCGGGGGCGGCAATGCAATCTGTTACGCAAATTGACCGAAAAGGATCGAGTCGTGAGAGTTGGCCAAGGATCAGTTGGTTCCAAAAGATAAAGAGAATTGTCGGTGACTCGAATATTGAGCTTGGATGGGTAAACATAGATATCGGCAGTGGCCACAGTGATCCGAGTGGTGCCTCCATCGGTCCATGGTGTCGTGACTCGTCTCGACTTGTCAATATCAAAGTACAGTATGAAGAAACATAATTGTATGTTCGTCAAGGATCATGTGGCAGCGTAATGATCCACTCAACAACCAGTCTTACTCCAAAGTCATTATAACTCAGGTTGAAGTTATTATGTCTTTCCGCAACAATGAGGACCAAGGACATTTCTGACTTTTAAGTGCACAAACTGTGCCCCTGTCAATTACATGTCATTAAAATCTAGTTCTTGATAATTACCCTGGGACCAATATAAAGGTCCCGTCTAACTCCTAGAAGGCGCTTGCATCTTTCCCCAACATCCTCAGACTACTGCTACTGCGACTTCCCCACTTCCCAAAACCTATCCTCCTATATTGCTATTTCAATACCACCTAATAAAGCATTTATCTGAACCACCTGCTTTTAAACCGTGCGAAGGATACCCTTTGAGATCAACGGGGGTTACGGATCACGACAGTCACAAAGATTGGCGAGAAGGAAGTAGAAATGTACGACTGAAGTTGATGATGTTACGAAACCTGGTAATGCTTCAAGAATGTTGTGATAGGGCAGAACAACTGCCTGTTGCATTCCAATTTTCCATTGTCTAATATCTTCTGGCTCCTAAGATTAATGACCCCGATGACGCCTCTCTCTGAGGGACGCCACACACCCGTTGTTGTCCCCGATTCTTTCATTGACTTGATACTTACGCATTTGTCGCGAGAGGTTGCCTCCGGACACCTCTCGCCATTCCGACCTCAATAAAGTCTGATCAGTTTTTGTCTCGCACGGAAACATCAGAAGCACAGAGGATAAAAGCGCACAATATCCATTTCTGTGATAATGTTCTAGAAACTTGTCAGATTGTTCTTTTATCGGACGGCAATACTCGATGTTTCTTCGCCTCTTAAAAACCATTTCCTCCTCTACATCCACGGCATTTGACACAGCAGAACACAAAAGGAGAGAAAGCGCCATGCGATGATGACTGGCGCCATTTTTGAGCATAAAAAACGCGCCAGCATTCTCTGTTTTGTCATCATCTTTGAGGTTCGAATTTAGGATTTCTCTGGTTTGTTTTCTGCAGTTTGTACCGGTTTTATTGTGGTAGAAGTTTCGAGTGGGGGTGTTTGTTTTTGTGAAGAGTTAATCCAGTCGGGAAATAAGATTTTCACCGCAAAAACCCGATGAAAAATCGAAAAATAGGAAAAAAAATTTTTCCTGTTTTGAATTTAGCTTTTTTCCAACTAAAATGAGCCCAGAATGACTTCTCGGAGTCTTCTCTCTGGAACTTTCTCTCTCTCTCTTTTTCTCTCTATCTCTCTCTCTATTTTGAATTTACTTTTCCCTGGTATCCTCTTTCTCCGTGTTGAACTTGGTTTTCTCTGGCACTCTCTCCCACTCGTATGGTTTTCAATATGCAAACGCATGCGGCAGACTTGCAAAATCACGCGCACCCTTTACGTTTACAAACCACGCCCCTCTTTCCTTTATTGGTTAGCGGCCAGCCGATACTCGCTCACAAAGAGCGCGCGACAGATCGACCACAGTCTCGCTGCGCTCTCCTCTCCTCTACGCACTGTTTTGCTTTGTTTTCGTCGTCTCACCGTTTCCTCTTTCTACCAACTCTCTACTCTTTCCACACCGTTGTGCGCATCATTTGTCCGTCCTCGTGTTTTCTCCAAACCGCCATGTGTTGAATCAATCGTTTTTACTCGTATCTCAGCCATTTAGGCTCTCGTTTCTTCCAAATTTTATATATTTCACCGAATTTTTTCAGATAAAACTTTCGATGAGCGACTACGGAGAGAAAGGAAGAGGCAACGAGAGATGTGGAGGTGGCGGTCGAGGATATCGAGGAACCGGTGGCCCGAGCTATGGGAATGACGGAAATTATCAGGGCCACTACCACGGAGCTCGTCAGGTCAACGATGTGGTCAACGGGATGGGACAGATGCGCGTCGACGACAGAAACGGCCACGGAGGACCGGGAGGAAGAGGAGGACCGGATAGAAACAGGAATGGCGGAGGTGGAGGCTGGAACATGTACAGTCAGAATCCGAATTCTCAAGGCAACCGCGCTTACCAGCCAACAATTGATCATTCGGCTCCGGCCCGCTCGGCCCATAACCCAAATGCGCCAATTGCGAAGAATCAACTCCCGTACAACACGCAGGAGTTTGCAAAGCGCCCGCCCAAAATGATTTCTGAGATGAAGCTCGGCGACAAAGTTTATCTGGTCACCAACCACGCTCTCGTGATGTTGCCAGCGGAACCGATCAAATTGTACTGCTACAACGTCGAAATCTACAATGGAACAAAACACATCGACAAGAGAGAAGAGGCAGTGCCTATTTTCTGGGCTATTATTCAAGACCACGATCGTCATTTCCCGCACAGGGGCGAACTTATTTTCAACGACGTCAACCAGCTCTGGTCTTGCAAGAAGATCACTACTGATGCAATCCAAAGATACAGAGGTGTATCGAGAAATACAAGACATTTTTCTATGGTTTTGAAGTTCTCCAACTATTTCATGTTCGGCGTGGGTCCGGATGCCACCACTGACACTTCGATGATGAGCACCATCACACATGCGATCGCAACTGCACGAGTCCGAATGGCGACGTGAGTTTACTTATTCTTCTTTTTGTTTCGAATTAAAACTGTAAAAGTGGTGTTTTGTTTCAGACACGAAGGAACGAGATACACAGTCTTCAAACGTCTCACCTTCTTGGTTTTGTCCAACGCCAAAGAGCGTTCTATGCCAGACGTGCCCCTCTATCATCCGATCAAATGGGGAACCGACGCGAAAGTCGGATTTTCGATTGCCTTCCGCATGAATCTCCGTGCTGGAATCACCGCGTGCTTTGACAGTAAGTTGGCACAATGCCGACCGCTTTGAGATCAAATATGATTTTCAGTCAACCATTCCGTCTTCACGAGACCAGGATATCCGCTCGTCAGACTGTTTGTCGAGCTCTGCGCGGCTGAGCCGATCACAGACGAAGAGTACGAGGAGAACTACGACGAGTACATCAGAAACGCGCGTCCTGATGAGAATAACAAACGTGTGATGGAAAAAATTCTCCACGGCATGACTCTCCATTTCTCCGTGAGTCCTGCAATCTCTATGGAGGCGGCAATGGGACCCAATCGGGCCGGCGAAAGGAACGGGTCGAGACAATTCAAGTTCTACGAACTCGCTGATTCTGCTCTTGAAGAGACATTCGAGTGGGTGGATAGGGACAACGTCGTGCATCATACGAACATTGCCACGTACTTTCGAATCACCCATCAGTATATTCTCCGCTATCCACATCTTCCATGCGTGATGAAGAAGCCGAGCCAGAATGCCGAGATCAAGCGAATCCTTTTCCCGATGGAGTTGTGCTCCTACATCGTCAACCCGACCAGATACCAGGGATTTTTTCCAGAGTCGTTCCACGCCGAGATGATCCGGTTCACGACGTACACTCCAAAACAGAGAAGAATTCTGCTTGAACATGTTATCAGCCAGAGGCCTCTCGCCCAAACGGATCCTGTTGTCGACAGCAACGACGTACAAATGAGGCGCCACGGAGTCAGCATTCAGGAAAAGATGCTGGAGGTGAAGGCGACGGTACTTCCGGCTCCCACGATCATCTACGGAAACAGCACGGTTCATGACAAAGATCACACCGGTGTTTGGGAGGCCATGCGGAATGAGCCCGTCCGCACAGTGCTCCCCGATGGAATCCTGACTCCTGGAGGAGAGCTTAAGAAGAAGGTCATTGGAGCGATCATTGCGATCGAGAGCCCGCGAACTAACAGTAGAGAGTTGGAGTTCAACCAGTAAGTATTTCCTATTTAGGGTCTGATCAAGTTTTCTCTATTACAGTGAATCCTACGCTCATCTGATGCGTGGTCTGGCAAAGAGTGGACAGCCAATTGTGTGGGCTGATGAAGCATTGCGTGTCCCGGCAATTTTGAATCTCATTCATTACAACCAAAGTCACGACACACCACAAGATCTATTCAAATCAGTTCACACTATGGCCGCTGCGGCAAATAGCGAATACACAACAGAAGGAGACGGATTCGTTATTGTGCCGCTCTTTTTCTTGCTCTTCCGTGAACGAGCCGCGATGTACGAAAGCGAACAAACATACAATGATTACAGTAAGCGAAGAGACTCTGATCAGGCGAAGGGTAATATTGTGTTATTCCAGATCTGATCAAGTTCCTGATGGACAACAAAGCGGGCATTGTTACCCAAGGCATGTTGGTCGCCAACTTCAATTGTGTTATGGTGAGCGCTATCTCGATTCTCTGCAATTTCGCTTATTTTATTTTTTCAGCCGGATATGACAGTTTGTCCGTTCACGTGCCACGTCGTGGAGAAGATTCTCGGCAAGATCGGTACGACGCACCGCAAGTTAGAGAGAGAGGGAGCTCACAAATCGTGGACTACTCTGACCAACCCAGACGCGCCGACCCTCGTCCTCGGCATTGATGTTTCGCATCCCAAGACTCAGGACCGCGAGAACGGGAAAGGCGGCAAACCGTCTAAAAGGTGGCAAGCGGGAAAGGAGCACGAACCGAAAGACATCAACTCGTTGTCAGTCGCCACCGTCGTCGGAAACATCGATTTGGACATCACTCAGTTCAGAGCGTCGAATCGTCTTCAAGACGCTGGCATTGAACAGATCATCCGAATGGAGCACGAGGTGTCGCTTCGCATCACGGAATTCGTGAAGCACACTGGAAAGATGCCGGCTCACATTGTTGTCTACCGCGACGGAATTTCGGAGGGAGATTTCCAGAAGTTTCTCTACGAAGAACGCACCGCCATCGAGTCGGTTTGCAAGCAACTCGACATCAATCCCACACTCACCTACATCGTTGTGTCGAAAAGACACCACACGAAGTTTTTTGCCAGGGATAAGGACACCAATCAATTCGACGCCAACATCAAGCCGGGAACATTGGTGGAGGACGTGGTCACTACCACAAACTACTACGACTTTTTCCTCGGCTCGCAAGTCGGAATGATCGGCACGTCGCGTCCGACTCACTACTACGTGCTCCACGACACGTGGGCTCCGATGGTCTCCTTCTGGCCGACGGTGACCCACGCGCTGACCTACTCGTTCGCCCGTGTCACCTCCACGACAGCTCTTCCGTCCCCGATCGAATACGCTCACCTCGCTGCCAAGAGAGCCAAGGAGACGCTCTACGCAGCTGACATTGTTAGAGCGTAAGAGAAACAGTAAAAAAAGGGGGCAAAATCTATTATTTTTATTTCAGCGTCCAAAACGAGCCAATGTACAACCCCGAGTGCCTCCATGACATCGGCCTCCTGACCGAAGCGATCAACGCGCATCCGAACTACGTGGGAATGCCATTCATCTAGAAGCCGTACTCAGCCCAATTCATGCAACGGTTTTGCTGTTAAATGTTCCTCTGTTTCACATATTCACAAGCTTTTAATTCTAATGATCGTCGGTATTTAACCCAATTCCTGCCATCATTTTCTCTTGTTTGTGCAATTACTCAACTGTTTCTTATTATATTCTCTCGTACCATCCCAACTTTTACCGTTAAAATTTTGCCCAGAGAACTCCTAATAAAGATAATAATGAGCGCATTCAAAGTTCTTCATTCTGATAGACAACGACGACGTTGGAGCTGCGTGCGGTGTAGCCTGAATTATTAGAAGAGGATTATTTTGACTATTGCTCGCACCACCTGCTCAATTTATAATTAAGGGTGTTGCTAGTATCATTTGGTCGCTCAAAGGCTGTTTTAAAATATTTCTCCGCAAACGTGCTATGTTCTCTGATATTAGTATGGCGGAAAACATTGGACAAATGACGGTTCCATCAAAATGTTCAGGTATGATTCAGGTTCATTTCGATTTGTGGCCCACAATATTTGTTTCAGTGTCGTTTTCCAGCCAAGAACTGCTCAAAGAAATGACAAATTTCAATCAAATCTTCACAACCTCAGTCATCCTGGCGAGAGTGAAATTTTTTGAGGAAAACCCAGAGATTTCCGTGTCAGAACGTGTGTCCAGTTTCATTCCCGATTTCGGTTTATGCCAATATCCATTTTTAGATTTACTCCCTGACCACATCAGAATCGCACAAATTGATATCCTTTTTCATTCGATGTTATTCCGAAAAATGAAAATCATTGATGACGTCGAAGAGAGAAAAAAATGGGAGAAAGATTTACCAACGATGATGATCCGCGACGCGAAAAAGTTTCTGTTCACGGAATTGAATGAGACACGTGAAAAATCTTTCACTCTAAATGCAAGAGTTAGTTTAGTTTAGGTGTGACACAATCAACGTTTTCAGAGCCAATTTGTCAGAGAGATCAGTATGTACAAGCATCTCAATCAAACGTTGGAAAGCAAAATTGAATTGTTCTGGATGAACTTTGCAAGAAGCCTCAACAGTGCATGTACGGTCTACATACCAGCTTCTCTGAACTATCAATCAGTGTTCAGATAACTCAACACTCCTCCAATTTCCACTTGCAACATTCGAGGAAGGACAGATGATGAAGGAGATTTTGCAATCAAGAATCGAAATGAAATTGACGGAAGATTTGATCGAAAGGAACAGGAAGCTTACCGTTATGGTGGACAAAATGAACATTTATCTGAACAGTCAGGAAAAAAGAATGGCAGAGAAGAGCTCCGGAATGTATGCAGCTCTCTGAAACCCTTACTTGGCTTGTAGTGTTGTGTTTTGATAATCCGTTCTCTAGTTGTTTTCTCGGAACCGTTTCAATGAATGTACAATTAATTGATCAAATTTGCGTATGCATTCAATTCGTTTCTTCTCTTTCGCGAATTTTCTGACGCTGCTCTGGTCGGATGAAGAACCGTGCGCCTTTCTTTCCATGTCATAATGTCTGCGCCTGTGTCTCTAACCACACAGTCGGAATGTTTGGTACGCAGCCAAATCTTTCCGTCCGTTTCTAGTCATCTTTCGTTTCCGTCCATTTTCGTGACTCATTTGGATTTTCATGACATTCCCCTCGTACTATGAGTATGAGTAGAAGTTTATCACGAGCTGATTCACGAGCAAAACTCGCTGTACCCACTAATTAGGCCTCTTTCTAAAAAAAGCATGAGATTTTGCAGATTCCTTCCTGTTTTGATGGAATGGCAATGTCCAATGAGATCTGCTCAGTATCAGCGAGCATATGACTGACTTAATCATCAAGCAGTTGACTGGCTTTCTCGAGCATTGAATATTTCGGTGAGCCCGATTTATCATGATCCCTAGAGAAATTACCTTCTCGCCCATGAAAATTGGTCACACGGCGAAGTGGAAGCCGAAAGGGGCGTGGCCGACGCCGCGGGCTTATAAAAGAAAGGTGAGAAGTCTAAGTCAATCAGTTGAGCCGGCTGATAAAAATGGCAAGCTGCTCCTAATTTCTGTATTTGTTCTTCTTTTCTCCCCGTAATTCTCTCTCACTTTCTAAAGATTGCGCTGTGCTATTATCTGTCTGAAAACTGCATGTCTATAGCGATATCCGGAATACCTGAGAAAACAGTGTATTTCAAAAGTGTACTCAAAAGGGCTGGGCGAGAGATTGGCCCACGTTTTTGGAAGGCCTGTCGAAGACTAGACTCTTGACCCAATTGCAAATTCTATTGAGCACAAACTTTGAAGACTTTTAGGACTGTCATTGAAGTACTTTTTGTTGAAATTCAAGACCAATTGGATAATCTGGTTCTTAGATGTGTAGACGTGTCGGTCTATTGCAAATTGGTCAAAAATCCAGGCCTCGGCCGGCCTTTTGCCCAGCTCAGACGTAGTGTCACATGACAGAATACTCAAACCAGAATCGGAATAACAAAACATCACGCGCGTTTTGCTGTGAAAATGTACTGGCGCACGAGGATATTTACTAGGATTGGTTATTCATTCTGATCGATACCTCTATTAGAATCTTGTTTGGTCTGTCTGATCCTTCTGATTTTGCTAATCTATTTTTCAAGGTGTTTAGCAAAACAAAGCTACAATTCCCTCCTCTCTCTCTCTCTCTCTCTCTCTCTCTCTCTTTCTCTCTCTCTCTTTCTCTACTGGAGAATTTACAGTATTCCAACTTGAAGATTCTGTCAAGATGAGTGGCCCTGTTCCAATGTCCAATTCTTCCGTTTTTGGTGTCCTATACAATCAAATTGAGCGATCTACTAGATCAAACGGTAGAGGTGAACCCATTGAAAGTGTAACGATTCGTTTTAGCTCGAATAAAGAACGCAGCGTACTCACAGGAAATTATAGAAGTCAAACAGGTCACCAAGATATTTGAAAAACTGTTAGACGATTGGATCAAGAACCCGCTAACGGCTGGTGTCAATTTGGAAACCGTCAGACGGTTGACCGATGCGGCAGCGAAATATCTGGTCAACGCCGACGCAAAAGCACTTGACGTTTTCCTAAAAACCCCAGAACCTTCTACAAGTGGGAGCTCATTCAGCAATTGGAATTGACATCTTTAATTGTAGAGAAACTCCCCAAAAACAGAAAGTGCTTGCCGGTCCACGCAATGACACCCGACCTCATGAATGCGGGAAATCGGAAGGAGAATAGAAAACAGGATGGTACACCCGACCGGAACGAGACTGTCCCGAATACATTCCGTTAGTTGAAAGAAACTTAGAAAGCCGAACTCAGGGGACCATTTTCTAGACTCTGTGAACAGTGCATTTACTCCTGTGCGTAGCTCCAGGCAGAGTTGGCTCCAGATCGGAGCTCGAATGGAAACGCCACAAATGCAGACACAACCGTTCGGAATGGGAAATCCTCTGAAAAGACAGTCAACGGACAATCTTGATAATTACTTGGAGGTCGTGCAAAAGTTAATGAAACAGTCGCCCATCAATCAAGGTAAAAATTGACACCCACACTTCTCACTGTTTCCCATTTTCACAGAAGGCTTCTCATCACCTTCTTCTTTTTCTTGTTGTTCTTCGTCAGCTGCGTATCCGATTTATCCTTCGCTTTGTATGATGCAAACTGAAAAAGTTGAGCAACCTGCTGGAAGTAAGCATTCGATCACGGAACACACAGATTCTAAATAAATTTCGTTCAGATAACCCGAAGGAGCAACTTCATAATACGACAGGAGAACTCGGAAAAGGAACAGTTTCCGACGAGAAGAAGAATCCGCCGGCAGCGGAGTTTCATTCGGCTATTGGTAAGAGCCTCAAAAGAAGTTGGATTCGCATTTCCCAGCTGCTCTGCGTTGGCAAACCGAATGCCGAACAACAGGCGATCATAAACGGAGCCCGAATTCTGCCGTTCCAGAGTCTCCCGCTGCGACTTGTAATGCGCTCGAACACTTTTTCTTCGCAAACCGTTGTCTTGTTCAGATCTCGCCACGAATCGCAAGAAGACGTGACATATTCAACGCTGTCTATCAACTGTTGAGTCACGTCGTGCCCTACAACTCAGGACTACCGTTGAGAAATGCGTTAGCATTCTTGAGGACCATCTTCTGGGATGGCAAGGACTACCACTTTCACGGAGAATTGTTCCGTCATCTCACCGTACAACCGGAATATGATGTTGTGGAGAAATTTTACGGTAAGATGTTTTTGAACGGAATCTTTTCTGTCATAGCCAATATTAGTTCTTGTCACAGAAAATACAGACTCTTTTCAGACGACTAACACTATTGGCTTTATGGATTCCACTCGACAAAATGCAAACTGCTGCCCGCATGTACTCGCCCATTCTCTCTAATCGTTCTTACCTCTCTCATTAAGCTTCTTCAACTTATCAAACAATAAACTGTAGCAGACACGTTTTTATTGTTATCTCGAGAAACGAGAAGAACAATCGAATGGAAAATGATGAAGCGGATAGAACGCGGCAGCGGTGGTACAGAGTTTGCTTCAGCAGCAATCCGGTAAAAAATGGTCCGAAACATTGAAAGTTTTGATCGAACTAGCTCTCAATCATCAACAACAAAGTGGTGTCTTCCTTCCGAAATCTAGAAACCCTAACCTATGTGTTGAATATTGAGGAATGATCGGATCGGTGAAAATGAGAAAATTGAACGTGGAATCCGTCTGGTTGGTGAATGAAACTGATGAATGACTGGAAAATGTCATCCAAAAGGGAGTAACCTTTTAAAAGTCACAATGCTGAAAACCAGATTCCAGACTAGTTGTAAGATGAACCACGTTTTGAATTTCGCCGACGTAAAACCGAAAGTCAAGTCTTTTGTCCCTTTGGCTTATCATTCAATAGTGAATCATTGCAATATCACAGACGACGTGACAAACCCCATAAAACTCTGAATGAACATCAATCTCTGGGGATTCTTGATTGTGGAGTGAAGCGCGTGTCCGACGGGGTGTTTTGCCGACTACTAATTACATATTATCATGCGTTGCTCGGCACGACAATCAGCTGACAGACTTTTTTCTCTCCCGTTTCCCAAATTTTCCAATATTAAACGTTTCAGAAATGCCAGTAATTCTGAGCCGAAAGAAAGAAAGGAAAAAGCAAGCAGCCAGACTGTTTATAGTCTGTTTGACTTTCTCCTACACTCTTGTTTGCATGTGGCGCTTCCAAACTGGTCAGTTCGAAATCTAAATGAAAAAAGAGAAATAATTCTTGCCAGATGAAACAGTCTGCGATAAGTACAAAATCCCGTCAAACTCTTCGTTGTCAGATGAACCAAACGAATCATGGAACCTCACTCTCAAAGAAGATTGCGAAACGTTTTTCGAGATCGTGAGTCGGGCCTCATGTAGATTCAAACCTTTTAAAGAACTTTTCAGATGACTTATCTCAATTTTGCGTCCTATCGGGGATGGCTGTTCATTTCCGATGGCGCCTTTTATCTGACTCTCGTGGCCATGATGCTCCCAGAATACAGTGAAGACCTGGATCAGCTGATTTTTGGGTTCAATGCTATCAGTTTCACTTACCTCTCAGTCGTTCCCTTCTATTTTCTGTCTCGAAAAGGTAACTATTACAGAAATAACATCAAAATTTTGATGTTTAGACCCCATACGAAGATTCATTTCTGCGCCTCATTCCGACCTGCTACCTGAAAAAAGTGTTGTCTACCTCGAATCCGAGTTTCGCCATTTCGTCCTGCAACTCGTTTGTCTCCTAGGAGTTTTTCTCCGTTTCCTCTCATCTTGTTACGTTTGTGACAGACAGGGCAATGTTCTCACTGATGAGGAATACGAAATCGTTGCCCAAGAGGAAAATAATGACCGCATGGTTCGCGAAACGTTTCAAAATAAAGTGCAAACTGGGCATTTTCAGGTTTGGCCTTCTCCGAAACGTGTTCGGGATCATGTGCCTCGCCAAGTGTTCTGGGTGAGCGACCGGTGGAACAGAATTGTTGGCGCCGACGAATTGACCTTCCAGTGATCTGTGAAACCTAATAAAGTCAAATTTGTTAATTTGTCGTCTATTTCTTCTATTTCAGTTGAGAAAGTTGAGTTCTAAGTTAACGGAGTCGAAATTTGTTGTCTGAAAGTTCAGTCATGTTCCAATCGGAAAATATTGATTCGATTCTTCTTTTTCTATTATGTTTTACGTCATTTCGCATGGAAACCTTGCCAATGACGTTCAATTGTCTTGGCTCTTCTGTCTGTCGCTCCGCTCTCCCCCATGCGACCGATTTGCTAAACAACGGGCAGTACGACACTCCATTGACAAGAAAAAGAGAAAATTTGAACTGTATCAATTTAAACCTCATATTTCTGGCTTTTCGACAACAAAAATGGGAATCTATTGCATAATTTCTAGAAGTAAGTGCTTGTTTGACCCTTTTATAATGGTATACAGCTACAAATTATGCTCAATCGATACAGAGCAGCTTTTCAGATCAGTACAGTCTATCCATCGAAAAAAAAACAATTCTACCCTGATTTGGAGCCAAGTTGGAGCCGACCAGCTGAAAATAGAAGACTGATGATCAGGTCTTTGCGACAACCAGAGAAATCGAGCGGAACATTGGCATGCTACCTGGAAAAGGTTAGTCTTGGTGAAATTGATGACAGAAACACTTTACTTACTTTTCAACTCTTTTCAGCAGAGAGATTGATGAGTTCTTGACGTTAACAGCACCAAACGCGGAGTTGGCCGAGAAGTGCGATGACCACGAGCGGGAAGATCGTATGAACACCTAGATGCGTCTGCATCCGCGTGACTACTAGACACTTTTTAGAAAAACGATATCTACGCAGAACTTATGATTCAGAAACGTTTTTGAAGGGAAATGTCGGAGATAATGCACCAGTAGCAGAGGACGGCTTCTGCTGAGGGTCAATCGAGGAAGTCGCTGTTGGTAAGACCTTATCTGTGGAACCAGTTGCAGCCAGCTGTTTGGGCCTAAAGAAGTTTGGTAGAAGTGACCATCATGATGAGTTCCAAAATAGGCTAAAATTCTTTTTTCAGTAGCCAATCGCTGAGTTCGAGAGCTTGGATGCACGGAGCAATCATTGAACAACAATCCACATTTAGTTGCCAATTAGCTTGAAAGTTATACTTATAAACAACCAACGAGATAGGTAGATATAAAAACGCGAAAATTCGAAAAAGTTCATCAGACAGGCGTGCCGACCTCCTGTGGGCTGTCCAACGTGGATGACATTGCAGGCGAGTGCGCACGACGCTGAGAGTCCGAAGCAGTACCAGCGTTACGGCGTTTCAACTTGTGCAGCGGGATGCCACTTCGGGAAAGGTTGTTCGGTCTGCGCAGTTCGGCATTCTGAAAGAGCGAAACAATATCAGGCAAGCAATTCTCTTTTTTCGGATTACCCTCTGTCTGCAAGACCAGATCAGCATGGTCGGGACGAAAATGACCATGGCCGTGAGGAGAACGACACCGGTAACGTAGACGACGATGGAGAAAGTGGTGAACTCTTCGCTCTTCGCAAACGGATTTATGACTTGGGTGTAGTTGACCATTGCCTTAGCCAGATTCGGGATCCTCGGATGGTCCATTGTGAAGTTGTGTGTGATTCTGAAGCCGCGTCTGTCCGTCTCGAAAACTCCCGTCTCGAAGTAGTTCCCCCAATTCGTTCCATATGGCAGATCGACAGTGTATCGAATTAGATTTTGACTACAGTCCATCAACATGCCTGAAAAATCGAGATTAAGATAAAATGTGGTCTGCTGCTAAGAAGTGGGTTTTACCGTCATAGTAGAGTTTACCGGCGTAGTACTTCTCCACAATGATTTGAACGCATGAGTGGTAAAGGCAGCCAGCTTTGTTTGCGATGCCCCGAGCACAATCCGTACCGCTCCAATTCTTTCTCCATTGGATTTCCACGCCACCAAAGTGATCCTGGAACAGCCATCTTCTGTCCATCTGAAATGTTCTGTTTAATTGTGCTAGATTAAGTATAACTCACAAATCTTCCCGAGACGCATTGTATGCAGAACTGATACATGGCCGCCGTGCCACAAGTGAGCATTAGGAGAATGCCGAACACGAGAAACTCGTGATTTCCCATTGTTGAACGCTGAAAATATTGAAAAGTTTCGAACCGTTTGATAAAAACATGCTCAATTGTCGAGAGCGGAAAACGGCCTACTTTCTACAGTAGATGAGCGCTCTTTTTTGAGAAGATAACTATTGATTGGGATTTTATCCAGATCGTTCTAAACAAAATAATTAATCACAAATTACAGAGTCTCGACTGGCTGCAAATTCTCGGAGCAACACAGCAGAGAATGAACGTAGAAATGTCAGGAAATAGCTGCCGAAAACAATGAGGGAACTTATGAAACGGAAGCACAGTGAAATGAGTCATATTATGAAATATGTTACAAATCGATCAGAGTAGAAAGAAGAACCAACGGACCACGCTTCTGTGTGCGTTTAGAGCATTAGCTTCTCTCTTTGGCGCAGGATTAAGGTTCTATTTGGACTATTAACAGACGAGAAGCTAATGAGAATATACGTTTCAGATGATCAGCTACGGACAAGTTTACGGATAAACACGGCGGAGAGTCAGAAAACGCGGCATTGGCAGCCGAAAACAATGAGTCAACTGGAGAAGAGAGAGCGGCGGTGAAAGGGGCGGAGTCTGTACAGTCTCATGAGTCATCTTGTGATCACGAAACGAACAATAATACAAACTGATCAAATATGACGAAGCCGACTTGTTGTAGCTACGTTTCGACTGTCTGTCCGGCTGTGAGCAAATCTTCGTGAAGCCAGGCGCGATCGGGAGACACAATTTTTCGAAACATAGGTTCAAAAGTGAATAAAAATGAGTGCAGCAAAAGGAATGATCTCAATTGTTGCGACAGTTGCAGTGAAGACTCATTTTACTCTTTATTCAAATTGCCAACGTGACCAAACAGTACTTATGCCTATGGAGCCTTCCCCTTTTTGGCGCAGAATAGAAGTGCAATTTTGAATGTGAATGAGAATCAAATAAGACTGTGAGTTTTTCAGGAAATCCACCTCCGACAAGGTTACGGGTCACACCGAAGGAAAGTGAGAAAAAGCGGCGTCGGCTGCCGAAAACAATGAGGCAGTTGAAGAGGAAAACGCGAATACAAAAGGGGCGGAGTCTCCATGGTTTCATGAGTCATTATGTGATCACGAAACGAAAATTAGACAAATCGATCAAAGTAGAAAATGGGGCACGAGAAATAAGAAAAAATCTGCTGATCGAGACGTTTTCAGGCAATCATTTCGACTAACTGCCGTTTCCGACTGTACCACATTCGAAATATGTACAGTAGTTAAAGTTTGACTGATCGTTTGCCTGCTCTTTCTCTCTTTCTCTAGAGGCGACAAGTCTTTTCGGCGCGTTGAACTAGAGAAATGATTGTTTTCAGGATAGCTTGCAGTCAACACCAATCTAACGATGGATTCAGGGCGATGGTAAAGCTGAGAAGGACCAGTGACAAAGGCAGTTGAGCTGCAAATTGACAACGAAATAGGATGCGATACGTGGTCGCGGAACGAAACTGCTATCTCATTTTGCACGGGAACACGCGGAACGGTAACCGATAGAAAAAATGATCAGACGTTATGAGGAAGATCAAACACAGTTTTTTTTTAGAATCGTCACCTGGTACCTCTACAAAGACGACTTTGTGATTATCGTAAGCCTCGGATCACCGGAACGAATTCTCTGTTGGCGAATCCCCTCGACGGCCAGCAATTGACGGAGCGCACTGACGATCGCCCACACGGAAATAGAGCAGCGGCCGAAGGAGTATTCGCGGGTTTTAAAACGTTTCGAGCATCTCGGAAACCTCTTGCCGCGAGTTGAACCCGAACAAAAGACGTGGATTGTACGGATTCTGAGCCAGCACCTCAAGGAGATGTTCAAGATGACCTCGTTTCGAGTCGGATCGGTCTCGGTGCATGAAAGTGTGCTGTTCGATCAACTAATTTGGAATTTTTCGCAAACTTGTCGCGTTTGAAGCGGATTGATGCATCAAGTTCAATATTTGTGACATAAAATGTGTGGATGTGCACAAGTCACGTCTCCGAATGAGGGATCTGAAGCAGTTCGTCTTGAGATGGATATACGGGTGCTATCCAAATTTCGAACGGGTTTTGGTCAAGCTGGCGGAATCGAATCGAAGACGTTGATTGAGAACCCGGCGACTCCGCAATGTCATGCCGACGAAAAAACATATGTGTTCTAGTGAAGTTTTTATCAGAGAGAAAAATTTGAATAAACGGCACCCTGAGTGCCAAATAAAAACGTCTTTTTAGAGAGGAGGTTTCGTGAAATATTTGTAATAAAAATCAAAACTTCATTTAGAATTAACACGAAACGATGACGGTGTACTCATTTTCGGAATATTCTACCAAGGCTGGAGCAGGGATAGGTGGGAGCTCCCGCGCGGCATATAAGCTTGTCACCGAGAGGTTCACGTATCCGTCGCTGTCGAAACGTCTGATCCGTGCTGGCTCGGAATGTTTCAGTTGTTTCAGGTCCGTATCATCAGCGTTCTGTAAATTTAAATGAATGTTTCCAATAATTATTTTGTTTCAGAAAATACCTGCGGGAGAACCTTTGCGATGTAGCAAACGGCAAGGAGAACAACAGTGACGAATGCAATGGTGAAGATAAGAATGGCGGTGTCTCGGAGCTGTCTTCTGCCAATATCCTGGCCGTAAAACTTCCAGTACTCAAGTGCCACTTCATGCTCGTTCACACTATCAATTTTGAAAATGTAAGTGATATTGTAGTTGTGGCGGGTATTGAAAAAAAGTCCATTTTCAGAGAACCGCGTGTAGTTGATGCCTCCAGGAAGATCAGGAGTCGAAATAATCATTTCGTCAGCACACTCCATGAGCATTCCTGAACTCCGACTATTCGAATGAATTTCTCCAAAAAGATTAGCAAACCGTCGAACACAAATCCACGTGGCATGTGCTTTTGCAGGACAATCGTAAGACATGAGGATTGGCAGGCAACCATCGTGGCTTTTCCAATGGCGCAGTCCGTTGTCCCCCAAAAATCGGTCCAATACATCAGCTGATTCTCGCGATTCGACTGGAACAACCACTGCTTGGTCACCTGAAACGAACGAGTGAGTATTTAAAAATTTTTAATAGAGAAACTAACGAAATTTCCTGCGGCACACCGAGCACATGTCAATTCTGACTTGCAAGCAGCAATCAGAGACAGTATGACAAGGCACTTGAGATAAAAGTACGCTTCCGTCATGATTGATGGTCGGCAACCTGAAAAATGAAGGAGGAAGTGACGTTAGGAGCAAATAAAAAATAGGCGGAAGGGAAAAAAACAATTGCCCAGAGAATTACGTAGCCAGACTGTTTTGCGAACGCTTATTTTGGTCAGAATTACTGGAAAAGACTTAAGAGGCAATGTCTGAGAAGTTCAAAAACTGCAGGTCACTAAAAATTCAGAATGCTTCAATTTGTCTCATATTATACCCAATGGGTATTTACATAACAGTGATACATCAGACAAGTTTTGGTCCGGCTCCGTGGTCCCTAGTCCAATCACGGTCACAAAATAGGTCAAACCTGTAACTAATTTCAAAAAAATGCTAGCGTCTCAGACTCAAGGCCATTCGATTTCTTGCATCTTTTTAAGCATTTTTCATGTTGGCACCAAAAATTTATCACCTTTCCTTCATGGAGAAATTTCGGATTTTTCGTGAAAAACTTGAGTTGTTGTGCAGTTTTCCTCCGTGGTGAAAATTTTTTGCACTTCATAGCCACGATTTTATTTCAAATTCATAATCTACGGACAATTTTACGTCGAAATACCATACTGTCGCACATTTGCCGATTGACATCAAAGGAGTTTTTTTCAAAAGTTTGATCCGGTCTCAAAAAAAAGTTTCTGTTCTGCTTTTGGAAAACGTACAGAAGCAAGGGAATTTCTGTTTATAGACGTGTTTCATGCTAAAAACTGTAATTCTGTTATGTATTTGTCAGGTACAGCTTTGTAAACGTAGCGATTAAAACATGTTGAAATTTTTTGTCAGCCGGATAGATTTTTCGAGATGTGTTCGCTTTTACCCAATATTTTTTGCTTTCTCTCGTTTTTATTTTTCAATGTTCATCTAACTTTTTGTGAAGCATTTATTTGGTCGTTCTTCGATTGATTCAAGAACGGTAAACGAGAAGTACATATATGTACACATGGGGCAACACTCAACAGCATAAGTACATGAGAAAAACCTAAAACAGGAAAGTTATAAAGCGTCTTTTCTTCACATTTCAGTTTCTTCCATAGCAAAAATGGGATCACTGGATTCCATCAGTGCGTAATAAAAAGAATCACCGATAGTCCAAGTGCTTTCAAGTTTCAAATATCGGATCACTCCAGCATCGTCATGCTCTTCCTCTGGAATAGTATAGTCTTCCTTCCACGATTCATCCTTCATTTCTTGAGCGCGTCGCGATCGTGCTGCTTTTGATTGCCTTTTCGCTGCTTCACGGGAGAAGAAACCGGCAATCTGACGGAAGTCTTTCCTTTGATCCACTGAAAACCGCTTAGAACCGTCCGGATTTCTAGCTTCTGCCATTCTCTTTTCAACAATTCTCGGATCCGCATGTTGACATTTCTCTTTCAAGCCTCCGTCAAAACGCTCGATTAAAAATTTTTTGACGTCGTCCTCGAACGGTTTTCTTTTTTGTCTTACTTGGAGTGCCCATCCGTCCTCCAATTCCGTCTTCTCGTTCGTCTCCTTCAGTTTTTTCACAGCATCCGAAGATATTGGGCAATTTTTTGACTCATCCACTTCTTCCAAACCACGAATAAAATAATTCAATGAAAAATAACGAAGTGTCTGCCGTTCAGGTCGAATTATATGTTGTCCACGTTCAACATGCTTGACCACGCTTGAATATCTCAAAAATGCAGCTGAGCATCCTTCCTCTGGGCATGTAAATATCTTTCCCAAAGCGTCTTCGTACCGCGGTCTCACTTCATCGCTTTCCACTTCATTTTAATCTTCTTCCTCAATGCAAGCAGTGTTTTGAGAATCAGTTGACTTAGTACATTCCGAAAAGTACCAAAACTTGGTCTGCTTCTGCGACAGTACAGCATTTCGTTCTTCATCAATAGACCCAATCACAGTTGAAGTGTATCCGGCATGTTCGAACTCGCATGTTCTAGTCAATGACTTCAAATTACTTGACGGGACAAATTGACCATTGCAAGAGCAACTGTACAATCAGGAAAACAATGAGTTTCATTATAATCTGTAATATTGACCATCTAATGATATCAGCAGTTTGAAAATAGTAAGAAGAATAGCTACACAAAATTTGCTTTGTGCTTTTATACCTATTTGATGTACTTTTGTGGTTGAGTGTTGCCCCATGTGTATGTACTTCTCGTTTACCGTTCTTGAATCAATCGGAGAACGACCAAATAAATGCTTCACAAAAAGTTAGATGAACATTGAAAAATAAAAACGAGAGAAAGCATAAAATATTGGGTAAATGCGAACACATCTCGAAAAATCTATCCGGCTGACAAAAAATAGCAACATGTTTTAATCACTACGTTTACAAAGCTGTACCTGACGAATACATAACAGAATTACAGTTTTTAGCATGAAACACGTCTATAAACAGAAATTCCCTTGCTTCTGTACGTTTTCCAAAAGCAGAACAGAAACTTTTTTTTGAGACCGGATCAAACTTTTGAAAAAAACTCCTTTGATGTCAATCGGCAAATGTGCGACAGTATGGTATATCGACGTAAAATTGTCCGTAGATTATGAATTTGAAATAAAATCGTGGCTATGAAGTGCAAAAAATTTTCACCACGGAGGAATACTGCACAACAACTCAACTTTTTCACGAAAAATTCGAAATTTCTCCATGAAGGAAAGGTGATACATTTTTGGTGCCAACATGAAAAATGCTTAAAAAGATGAGAGAAATCGAATGGCCTTGAGTCTGAGACGCTACCATTTTTTTGAAATTAGTTACAGGTTTGACCTATTTTGTAACCGTGATCGGACTAGGGACCAAGGAGCCGGACCAAAACTTGTCTGATGTATCACTGTTATGTAAGTACCCATTGGGTATAATATGAGACAAATTGAAGCATTCTGAATTTTTAGTGACCTGGTGTAATTAGCGAATTTCGAGGTTCTCAGACATTGCCTCTTAAATGTGTTCTAGTTTGTCGCCCATGAGCTCAGAGCCTGTCAGTCCTGAGCAATGTTTGCAAAAAATATCTGGGCAAATATGATTGATAGAAAAAAAAATGATTTTCAAGATTTTCAAGTATATAATCGATGAAAGTGAACGTGGAAGCGGGCAAATGACGGAAAACTAGTAAAGCAACTGAGTCCTAAAAACAGATGAGCAAAGAAGGCGTCAAACCAACTCAAGGAACAATGAACTGGTCATCGACTATCTGAACCCCTTGCTCAATTAGATAAGACAAGAACAGGCTATCTGCCACCGATTCAACACAGTAGTTTTATATCGTTGATAACATTCATTCATTGGTGAAATAATTTACATTTTTGAAAATTGAATAAAACTGAAAAAAAGAAGAAAATTCTCCGGCACTACTCGCTCAGCATTGATGATCCATGCTCTTCATCAAAATCGAATGTGTACAAGCATCGGTCGTTGAACTCTCTGATCTCGTCGTCCATCTCCTCGGCCCCATTCGCGTTCTGCCCTCCGGCCACTGCCATCTCCATCTCGATCTGACCAGCTTCTTCCGGACGACGGCGATTGCACATTCTCTGCAAGAACCAATTTTATTCGCGACAAAAACCAGGGACCAAACATACCTTGCAAAGACAGATTACGCACATTGAGCTGACAAGAACGGAAACTGCAAGCGCCGCCAAAATCAATCCGTTCTTCACATTTATGATGGAGGGCGGCGACTTTCTTTTCAGCTCGTTTCTGAACTCGTCGGTGAGGATGGTCGGCTCACTCGAGAAGTGGTAGGAGATCTTGCGCCCCTCCCGGACATTGGAATGAACCAACTCTCCCAGGAAGTTGGTCCAATCCGTTCCGGAGGGCAAGTCTGGGGTTTCCCAAATTAGGTCCGTTGAGCAGTCCAGCATCAGGCCTGAAATCAGTCAATCGAGAAATTAAAAATCTGACAAAGAAGAAACTCACCGACATACTCGAGATTTCCGCTCTTGGTGACGTTCTCTATTTCAATACAGAGACACGCGTGCATGCATTCAACAAAATTTAAAATGCCCTCGGAGCAATCGGTTCCCTCCCAGTCCAGCACCCACCCGATATACTGCCCTTGTGCCTTGTTCTGCATGAGCAGTTTGTTGTTAATCTGAAAATGCACGAATACATGGATAAAACTGGAAATTCGTCGGGAAAAAAAAAGTACGAAATTAGCATGCGTGCACTGTGGGCACAATCGCGAGCCGGCGACAACGGCTCCGATGGTTCCGAGCAGAATGAGCAGCGAGGAGACCCCTTTGAGGGTCATTTTTTGACCTCTGAAATAGGAAGCTTTAAGAAACTGGAGATAAATCGAAAAAAGAAGAAAAAGAAAGGCTGGGCTCGAAGAAAAACATTGTGAAACTGAAGGGACCGGGGAGAGAAAGACAGGATGGTGATGATGACTCAGTGAAAAGTGCGGAGAACAATCTAGAAGCTAGGGGCGGGGCTTCTGATCGCGTGAGTGATCAGATAGAGAGCGAGAGAATGTTTTGATTGGAAAGTGAGCGGGAAGAAGGAATATTCGAGAAAAAATGACGCATCGACCATCAAGAGAAAAAAGAGATTTGCACGTGTGCCGAAGCAAAACGCGTGGGCGATGAGTGATTTGGTGAAAGGAAGGGACGAGTAACGGTTGTGAAAGAAAGAAAGGGACTGAAAGAGACAGAAAGTGGAACTTGGGCCTTTCTCGACGACTGTCGCTGAAGACCTGCAGAGTGCGGAATAAGGGGTCCCCCCGGAAAATGGGCGGCAACGGAAGAAAACTGTACTGTAGAGGAACAAAAAAAGAGAGCCCACACTTGTATGTAGAAGAGAAGTCGAGCAGATTTGGTACACATATCTTAGTTTGAAGGCATTTCAGAAAATGGAAAACTTTCACAACAGCACGTGCCACACAGCTGGTCGTTTGGAGTCGCGAAAACAGGGCAGCTGGAGAATGAAAAACAGAAGGAACCGGACAAAATCTGTGATTTGAAAACAGTCTTATTGTATCATGGATTGAGTTCGGAGTATGAGTTTCAAACGGCGAAGTTTCTATTCCATTGGACCGTAGATCTTTCGAATTTTTTGTCAAGAAATTGATGCCGGTAACTATTGGTAGTCTCCATGGAACTCGCGACAAAAATTAGATAGAAAAGAGGCTAAATGTTTCTATCATTGTTCACACTTTTTGTCAATTGTGTCCAATCGGACCCACATTTCGCCAGACCGTCTTGTAGGCCGTCTTCCCTCCTCGCTGAGTCACTCTAAACGTCAACATTCATTGTTTTCTCTCTCGACATCTGGGCAAAACGGTGGTATCTATTGCGAAAGGCGACTTTTTCGAAAGCAGTGGGCTCAGATAGTATAACCTGGAATTCTTATTTATCTCGAAGCCCGACGCATTCTGAATTTACTTCCAGGTCACAGCTGATTCATCATGTTTGTGAACACCTGGTAAAGATTCCGGAAATAATTCGAAGGAACCGCGCCCTACCGCAGTCAGATGGACATTTGGCGTTGATTTCCCGTTTCAAAGTGAAGGAGATTTGAGACGATTGAATATAGTTTCAGACGTGCTAAGAACTTGTAGATCATTCCAGAGACAGAAAATCCAAAGAGGATACTGTAGGAATAGTTCACTGACAGTTTCTCAGCTTCATCTGAAAATGTTTGCAGGAAAAGCAGTCCGAACGACCTGAAATACTGACTGATTGCTCTAGTTCAACACTAAAAATAGTTTCAACTCCAAATGAAAAAGCTAAAATTCTCTCGGAAAGCCCCCAAAACCCAATCCTCGTCCTCAAATTGAATCGCCTCTCACATCGAAGCCCTCGGCCGAATTTCCGGACCATTTGTCTTCTTACGCCACCATTTCCACCTCAATATTCGGACTAATCTTCGCGGCGTGGCTTTTATGGCTTTCCTTTTTTATGCGTCGAAGAGACGCTTTCAATCTCAGACATGACGTCATTGTTCACCGGAACAGTGCGGTGGTGTTGAATTCTATAGTATGTGTTGAATATAAAGTTCTGAGAAGGTCATAGCTGATGATTAGGGAGTTGGAAATGTTGAAAACGTCAGCGTCTGTCTGGCAGACATCAAGATGAAAATGAGAGTTCATAGATCAGTTTGCAAACGGAGAATCCAGAAAGAGTTGCTACGTCACAGTATTGAATTTCTGGAAAGGTCAATGAGGAACAGTCAGCGTTTCTTTTCGAGTTTTCACAATAAATTTTATGACTAATTACTGAAAAAGTGCTGAAGTAATTGTCGGGATGACTTGTCAACTTGTGTAGGTCCGTTTGCATTGTAAACGGACCTGGTTTGCGCTCTTATCGCCGAGAAAACTTTTTCCGATAAAACCTGCAAAAAAAGGTTGGCCCAGGCTTTTTGAAGGCCGACCGAGGAATGAACTTTCGGATCTATGGTCTGGGTCCCCAAGATTACGGCATGTCCCTGGAATGAATTGCTTCTCAGATTGCGGTCAAATTGAACTTCCGGCTCTATTCGTCTTCTCAAGCGATTGTTTCCAATTCAATATCCGCACCAAATTTGACGGCATGACCTTTCCGGCTTTTCCGTTTTTTATGGGTTTCACATTGAGTGACGCTCTTGATTCCAATCTCAGAGGACGTCATCGTTCAACGGAAGGTTTAGATTCAAAAAGAATTGACGTCGCTTTGATATTTCTGTAAACCTGGAAATCGCCACGGGTCGACAGATATTATGCATTCGTTGCAGTATGCGGCTTGACGCCTTTCGCCGCTGCGGGTCTTGCCAGGAGCGAAAATTTCCAAATCGAGAGTTCTGTGCCTTCAAATTTGGACCTGATTCGATAAATGAAAACGACTTCCATGATATTTTCTTTCTATTTAACTTCAAAAATCCGTTTCGAAATGGCCTTTTGGCCAGACAATGAGTAAGCTTTCCAAATTGAAGCCGATTGTGTGATGTGTTCTGAGAGCGTGGTAACATTATTCGCAGCTACTGATTAGAGAGGAAAGGGCAAAGTTCTGTCTGGCAAACATCAGGATGAAAATAAGAGATCATGGATCAGTCTGCAGGCTGAGAATCTCGAATGAATCACTGCAATGGTTGAAATTGTTTGAGATGCCAGACATTTGCTAAAAAGGAAAAAGTTGTTACGCGAAAAGTGAGCGCTCTTTGGAATCGTGTCGAAACATTTGCAGATAAGGAGATTCCACCAAATCGTCCAAGCCTTTATCTTCTGGATCTGGACCAATTTCGCCGGCTTTTTATCTTCGCCAGATTTCCATCTTCTAATACGTCATCGTCCACCCGTCGGGCCAGAGAGGTGCTCATTCTTGGCTGCGAGAGATCATCACACCGGGAGGGAGTAGAGAAAAAGATAAACTGCTTCCTCCGCGCGAAGGGATTCGGTGACATAGTTGGCCAGAACCCCTTCCACTAAATATCTTCTCAGAGTTGATCAGAACACTTGGTGATGACTATGAAGGAGAAACGGGAGTTGATTGATGTTTCGGTACCTCTTCGAATATGTTTTTGACTCAAAGTGATCACACAGGAATTGTGACAATCCAATTCAAACTGGATTTCGCTCTTTTCCAGTTGTTCGTATGTTCTCATGGCAACGTTTGGCACATTTCCACTCAAAACGTGCTCTTCAGAATGTCGACGTCCTTCCGGTGATTCATCGCGGCTCGGCACAATTCTAATTTTGGATTCGCGACAGCAATCCGCCCATTTTACTCTAACGCTGTTCACCCTCTCTTCTGTCTGATCTCAAATCGTCTCGCATGCTTCGAGCTTTAGGCCACGCCTTCTTCCGACTATAAATTGACGCCGTTTGAGCTCAGATTCACAGCAACCTTCCATTTTTTCCTTCGTTTTCCGCGGCTATCGTCAGAAAATGAACACTCTCTTGGTGTTTATCTGCATCCTAGCCCTTGTCGGCACCTCCACGGTCTACTCCGATCGATTCGAAGAAGGAGTTGAAAGAGAACTCGACGAGACATCGGACACCGAGCTCGGACCCCTCTTTTTCCCGATGATCCGCCACCGACGTCACCCAAAACTTGTCTGCGGGGAAAACTTGATGAAGTTTGTCAAATTTGTGTGTGGCGGCGCGTGCACTTTCGGTGAGATTCTTAAAGCGCGAAAGCGGCAAAAGTCTATTCCTTTTTTTCCAGCTTCTGGCGTCAACATAGCAACTCATTGTTGCACTACGTCCTGCGAGATGTCGTTCATAAAGGCAAGCTGCTGCCCATCACGAGAAGCCGCCTGATCCCTGCCGATTCGTTCTTCTCCGCTTCATTTTTGTCGGGCTTTTACACACGTTTGCTAATAAATATATTTTGATAATAATATCTCGAGCATGTTAATAAATTCCAATTGGAATACAAACAAATCCATCATGACAAGAAGCGAAGTCCGCTTTCCGTTGTCCTCCGTCGTTCTCAGTCCATCCTCGGTCCTTCCTCGGTCTTTCCTCGGTCCTCAGTCCTTTCTAGCAATTTCTTGCTGAAAGTAAACTCTGTCAACATTTTCTGCTTAAAAATATCTTGAGAAACACACATAAAAGGCCCACAGCCTGGCATGTCTTGCCCAGAGTTGAGCGGAAATGGAATTTTGAAATCCGGAAGACGGCAGACGGCAGACGGAAGAAAATTTTTTACGGAACACGGAAAATGGAAGACGGAAGAAAATTTTTTTCACGGAAGACGGCAGACGGCAGACGGAAGAAAACTTTTTTCCCGGAAGGCGGCAGACGGAAAACGGAACAAAAAAATCGTCAATGCAGAACCTTTTTTTCCGGTTAAAAAAAAAATAACTAAAGCAACAAAAATTTTGGATCTGGGTCATTGCCCGTGGAAATTCGCGTTCTTCGGGGCTAGTAAATGGCTTCTGAAAAGCTATTACTCTTTTACGGTAAGAAGAAAAAATTCCGGAAGACGGCAGACGGCAGACGGAAAAAAATTTTTACGGAAGACGGAACAAAAAAATCCACGGAAGACGGAAGACGGCAGACGGAATTCCGCTCAACTCTGGTCTTGCCACGTACTACCAGCTGACTGGTCGATCCTCGCTGGTTCATCGTTCGGTCAAGATTTGTTCTGAATGCCGACAGTAAGAAAATTTCAACTTTTCAGGGAATGGAAAACGTCTGGAAAAGTAATGTATTTGATCTAGCAATATCTAAGAACTAGACACGTGTGGTGTCAGAGTCTCAATAAAGGAATGTCGTGCATTTTTACCTGAAATACACAACAATGATATTCAGTGCGTGTATTAGTCGCTTTCCGAAGTTTTGCAACCATGTATGTTCTATTCCTGGAGATATTGCTCTTCTCGATCACATTTCTGGTCCCGTGAGAGCCGACTGAACGTTTTTGGCATTTTCCGAGCGTGTGAAATGTCTATGAGAAAGTGCAGATCAAACCACCAGGTTAAAAATAGTAGCTGACTACCTGCAAGATTCTTGATTCCTTCTTTAAATCCACCAGACCCATCACCATTACAGAGAGGTTTTGAATGGAACCTAATCTTGGTTTATGTTTCCCTAGTCTTTTCTCATCAGTCTTTTCAGCATTCAAAGTGTTCATTTATGCGGAATGTTCAGAAATCCGTGGACGCACACCGAAACGACGACAGGAGAATTTAAATTCCAGTTTACTTTTGGTGTTGAGAACTTTTTGCAAGATGAAATCGACTTTGGGAATATGAAACTTCTCCGAAATCCGAAACCACTAAACGAGATCAAAATTTTTTTCGTAGTTTGATTAGGGAAATCGCTCGTCTTTCTGAAAAGCACTTTCGATGCCCAGTCAGAAATGTTTAACTATTTTTGACGAATTCCGCGGAGACAACCTGCCACACTCGACTTTTCAAGCGAGCACTAATCTGAAGTGTCTGATCTGTGATGTTGTCTGCTTCGAAACCTTGTAAACCGAGTTCAAGTGTTCACTAGGAAACGGAAACAAAAAATGAATGAAATTTCCGACAGAATGATCTCGATCATATTCGTACCAACTCAATTTCCGTGTGAATGCAACACAAGGAATATGCGTGCGTTTTTTGGGGAATTCGGAATACGAAAGGAGATGTGAAAGTTGAACCCAAAGGAATCGGATGATAAACAAGGAAATCTAAGCCCTTGGGGACTCGCAGACCCTTTTTTTCTTTAGGCAATCTAAATTTTACGAGGACTCTCTCATCTCCGTCTTGTTCATGTTGTGTGTCCTTTCCAATGTTTAGGGCAAAAAAAAGGAAAAGGGAAAACGAGCTCGCACATCCGCCTATTTCCTAGGGAATAGGACCCGACGAGCGTCATTCTGTTTCAAGCGTGCTGCAGGCAGACGACTTTTGTCGCTGCTCTCCTACCCGATAGAAATGAACTCAACTTTTCTCATTCTCGTATTGATCTTTTCCTCGATCGCATGTGCACCAGGTGCTGAAAAACAGCCTCTTGATCTCATATGCCGTCGAAATCTTTTAGCCTTTTTTTCAGTAGCTTGCCAAGGAAAACTTTGTAAGTTTCGCTCTTGCGTGTTCAGTCTACCGTCTAATATGAGCATTTTCAGCCCCCGATGCGACATTCTATATTACGCATTGCTGTTTTGAATCGAGTAAATGTGACAAACCGTATATGACAGAGAAGATTTGCTCCGGCAACGCAACCGCATGAATTCGATTCACAATTTTTGTTAGTTTTTTCTCAATAAACTGACTTGTTAATAGTAACGCAGTCAAAACAACAGAACAACATTGAAACACTTGAACACAATTGATTTACTTCAGAGTCTCCATTTGTAAGGTGGTGCATGAACTCTTATTTTCATCCAGATGTTTGCCAAACATCATTTTGCTTCTTCCTCTCTATAATGACTAGTTACGATGCTCTCCGAGTGCTCTTGAAAACAGCTAAGCGAGAAAAGGTTTTGTAAAGACACATTTGCATGTTTTTCGCTCAGTCTTCAGAAAGCTGTGAAAAACGACGTCAATCTTACGATCGGCGCTATTGAGATGGACATCTATAGACTCTAAGCTGAGCCAACCGGAAAGGAGGCCAGAATGGTTTCTGAGATTAAGGTGGATACGATGGCGTAAGAAGACAAATGTTCAGGAAATTGGGCTGGGCGCCTCATTCTGAAAAACATTTCACTTCAGGGACGGGGAGAGCGTTTTTGGGGGCTTTCCGAGGCCAGTTGACTTTCTGCGTTCGAGCATGAGTAATTATTTGGGATGGCAGAGTTCTTGAGGATCATGAGCACGAGAAGATCGATTTTCAGTTGTTTTTACAGAAACACGGTCATATCTCATAGGATTTTGAGTTTCACTCTCTGACGGAGTTATTTTGATTTTAAAGTTTCCGTGAGGACATCGTTTGTCCTTGGGCGATCCTTTTTCAAAGTTTCCGTATTGAAATCGACTGTGAAACATTTTTTCCATGTTTCTCACTCAGTCTATGTAACAAGCCATATGGAAAGCGTATGCGAATCATTGCGAGATGCTCAAAGACGAAGTGGAATGGCGCCGCATTATTTACTGATAAGACCAATACGATTGTTAAATTGGCTGTTTATTGACGCTTTGGTCTTCCGATTAGGAGAAGGTCGGCGAGAACTTTTGTCCGTTTGCAATTCGGTCAAAGTCCGTCATTTTAACAACTCGATAGGAGAGTACAACTGGAAAAGTCTTTGGATTTCTAAATTACAATCAAACTCTAACGTTTCCTGGGGTATCTTCAGTGAAGATTTCTATTGAAATTGAATGAAAATGCCTCATTTCGATCGACGTTTCATTCAGAACATCTATGCAATCGTCTGGTCACAAGTAGAGGACGTCACAGAAAGCAATTGTCAGACGCACATCGATTCACTGGCTAGATCAGGGAAACTGGTTAAAGGAAGACGATGAGGAGGAACTCTGATTCCAAACGCAACTTTCTTGATTTCATTAGAACATTCTGAGCACGCATAAAGATTTCGTACATTTTCCTTTTGCCATAGTCCAAGCCGCAATTTCTGATTCTCAAGACTTCGTTGAAAAACATTCGCAGTGTTTATGCGCGCACCGATTGATAAGAGCACGTCAAACAAGCAGACATAATAAAAATGCTATTGTCGACCAAATAAACCACCGGAGAAATCATTTGTGAGGCTGAAACGACAATAGAATGCTGTTAAAATTTCCAGTTTTATTGATAAAAAATGAATCGAATTGTAACATAAAAAAGTTCAGTCATTATAATACATTCCGAAATCTGGGCAGCACATCCGCTTTATGTGGTAGGGTGATGTGCCGTACTTGCAAAATTCTTCGTGTTTCGGATAAGCTGTAAAAATATTATTGAAATTTTCAAGTTTCAAACGTTTTATCTAATAAAAACGCAAACTCACATCCAAATGGGCAAAGTTTCGGGCAGAACTGCATCACAAATAGAAGTCCTGCAGTGGAGTTGCAATGTTTGACTGGAATTCGGGAGAGGAATTCGCCATCGTACGTTGGCTTGGGTGTGGAGGACGGAGATGTGGTGCTGTCGACGTCGACATTGACATATCTGCGATGATGACGGTGATGACGGTGATGGCGGTGACGAGCTTCGACGAGCAAAGTGAGAAAGACGAGAAGAATTAGGAGTAACGCTGACTTTGTCATTTTGTGGAACTCAAACAAGCCCTCCTCTGTGTTTCCTTTTTATTCCGACTGATTTGGAGGCGGGACTCGAAATAGTTCCATATTTTTCTGAATAGTCTGCGGCGCCGCCCCCTAAACAAAAACCGGCAAGTTGTGGTTGATAACGAACGTATCAACGGTCGCAATTTCGGGTGCGACTATCAGAAACTTGCACCAGCGTTTTGGAAAATGTACTCATTGTGGAAGAAATATTGGATAGGATTCAGTCAGGGAGCAAACACAATATGCAAAAACCGGAAAGGATTGACTAGCCGTTTCGGGTCGGAGAATCAATTTGAAAAACCGCGGCCAGGAGCACATTCTCGGCTCCTGCCGCATTGCTTTTTCAACAGACGACGTCGAGAGACCTGACAATTCTCCTGTGTCTCTAAAAGTGTCTTAAAGAAGTGTGGTCTTTCCTTTCCATTCCGACGCGCAATACCGAATGGGAGAACTACCATCAAACTCTTATCACCACTCGAATTTTGCCAAAAACTGCGAATGTGGGTACATTAGGTCGTGACGAAGGGGAAAAAAAAATAAATAAGCATCGATACGCTTTCAATCGTGTTCTTTCTTTTAAGAGGATTTATTAAGACGAAATACTGACAAAATTGACTTGATCTTCCAGAAGCTCAAAGTTAACGTCGAAATAATGAGGAATGCGAGAAGCGAGATCGGTTCAGATGTCCTATAGTAGAATTTTTGCTGATAAATCAGAAGAACTCGCCAAACCAAGTGAAGAAGTTGAAAAATGACGAGAGAACCGTGCCGGTAATGGTTGTGGTTGAGACGGTTGTGGTTGTTGGTTTGGTGAGGTCACAATATTCTTTGAAGCGGAGAACTTCAATCTTGATGCCTCTTTTGCGAATCTCCATGCATTTTGTGAAGCACTGAAATTTTGTCTTGTTGACTTAAAGTCCAAAACTGAATCTGTTTTAAGGGGAGGGGATTCAAAAATGAGAATTGGAAAAGATACCTTGTCGCGAGGGTGTTCCCACACCTTACAGCTCATCGCTCTTTCAATTTTGGTCTCTCTATCTAGTGACGGAGCGGACATTGACTTGTTACAATTCCGCTGACAATGAAAATCAAACTCGTCCCCGGGGTGTCCATAGACCGAGCAGCACGCTGCGTCTGCAAATTCGAACCGAGATGATGTTTGAAGAGAAGACAACTCACAGTCCAACCCGAGCCTTTTTTCTGGAGCATTCTCGAACAAAACGCCTTGAATACAATCGTGAATCTGAATCGGCAGTAATGGAATTGCCTCGAAACCACATCGGATCGGATATCTAGTAATGAAACTCTTGACATGTTTCTCAAATCCTGAACCGCTCACTTGTAGCTTATCGAGTCCTTGCAGCAACTATGTCGATGTATGTCACAACAACTTCGAACCGCCCTATCCACCAATTCCTCCGACATTCCAATTGTTTCGGTGCGGGCCATGGACGTAAGGAGGAGAAGGAGAGCAGCAGACAATTGAGCGGCCATTCTGTAAAACAAAAAAGTTAGAAAATCAAAAGCACTTGGTAGAATTCTACCCATTTTGACAGGGATTGCAAGCGGAAACAACGGTTCGAATAACAAAAAAGGGCGTGTGAGGTCAGCGACCACCCCGCTCGATTCTTTCACGGCGAGCAGAAGATAAACGTTATTTTGCCAGAGGAAATGACCATGCGAGTGCGCAAAAGAAAACTCACGAGCCCATATCTCTTTCTACATATTTCTCTCGCCAAGGATAAAAGGGAAGGGGATCAGCTCGCGCTTCAATGCGTCGAGAAAACGAGAGGCTCATGTTGATGTTTAGGAGGTTATGAGAAGATTATTCGGTGCTCTGAGAGCTCCGATCCCTGGATAAAAGTTGGGAATGAACAAACTGCAAAACTTGTATCAGAAGTTGACAAATTCAGAGTCAAAGATAGTTGGGGTCGGAGAGAATTGTTTGCAAAAATAGTAAAAAAGGAAGTCGGGATCTGCCTGGCTTACCAATCAGGGCCGGTGAATTTCAAGTTTTGATCCGGCTCGGCTCGGTCCGTTGCAAGTCTGTTATTTTACCCAGAAAGTTAAATAATTCCCTTCAATATCTGCTGCTATTTGTTTGAGTTCCCTCAAATTCCACATTCATTCCAACTTGCAGCGAAGAGTAATGATAAAATCTGGTGTGTGCGCAAGAAAGGAAACAAGTAGAAGAAGCAAGCACGTGCTTATTACGTTTCATAGTATGAATCATTGTCACGCGTCTCTCATTTATCAGTGATATGCGCACTAACTTGTTATTCGTTACCTTTTCCTTTTCGCATTTACTTTTGGCTCAATGGTGTACCCACCACCTGCCCCTTCTCTTTCTCTAATTTCCTGATAATGCTCTCTTTCTCTCTCTCTCTCTCTTCTCCTTCCGCGCAGTTCTTCCGCGCACACCCTCATTATAAAAGAGCTACTCACCCCGCCATCACAAGTCATTTCTATTCTACTATACTCAGACGACTTCCAAGTAGAGCATAGTCCTTTGGTTACCCGGCCCCAGAGAAAGTGGTAGCAACCGCCTATGTTCTGTTTGGCTGTTGGCTTTATTTACGTTTTACAGAAATCTAACACACAGGTTCTTGGACTTGAAAAGAGGGACTGAAAGAGAGTCAGAAATAATTTATTAGCACAGGAAAGGGCTAAGGAAAAGGCCGGCTCAGGCTTTTCGAATACATCCAATCTGATCAAAACTTTGCTAGTAGTGGTCCGGAGACTATCAGGGCATCTCAAAGTGAATGCGCTCTGTCGAGAAACGCATCTTTCTGTGATCTCCGGGGCTTGATTTTTCAGCGGCGAAACGAGTTTCAGATGTTCTTCATTTGCCTTCTGGAAAAATTAAAGAGAGCAGTGCGGTTGGAAAGTGTAGGTCCATGACGGAAACTGGAAACGATTGAGCAGCTGGGGAAATTTTAGACACTCTGAAATAAACTAAAGAGTCCCCAAAGATATTGTGATGTTTCTTAACACATGTGCGTTCGCTTTGAATGTTGCCAAATCCGAAAGTCTTGTCTCTCTCCGATTTTTCTTGCGATTTTTCTCAGTAAGCAAAGAAAGCGAGACCGAGCTGAGCAAAGTGACCGTCAACTCAACTAACTTTAAGTTTCATAGTTGACCGGATACTTTGCTCTGCTCGGAGCTAGTCAGACCGGCAGGGGGACGTGCGGTTGGATTCGGTTTTTTCCACTATCGACAGAGCCGAATAGAGCCGAGAAAGGACGCAACAGGGGATGGAGAGAAAAGAAATTGTCGGATCAGTCGGATAGACAGATTCGATGGAGTTGATTGAGATAGAGAGTAGACACAAAGAGAAGGCCATTGCTCATTCTGGAAAATGAGGTTTCATCTAAAACAGCGCCCTCGCAGTAGAAGGAGACAGAAGAGCAGCTGCGAAGACTACAGAAACGTTCGATGTTCGTACGAGAACTTATGATTGAAGGAATGTGGCATGTTTTTCCTGAGTTCCCGGACATTTCCCTTTTCCCTATGGTCTCAAAGTATTCTGTCATTCCCTTGGTTCCTGCTGGTATTCTATCGACTCCTTGAATGTGACGAGAAGACAAAAATAACATCTCTCTGTCTGTCTGTCTGTCTCTCTATCTCTTTTGTTTCTCCCTGGCAACGATCTGCGCAACACCAGTCGATCCTCTCGCTGAAGGAAAGAAAGCAGTCATTAGTGCGGGTTTCGGCTTTCCCCGGCTTTTTGAGCTCTATTACTACTATATTCCATGATAATTTCATCTGAAGTTGGGTTGAGACGAAACAAGTTTGATGTTGTGAAAGCATTGACAACATCGACTATTTCACCTCACCTCAATTATCAGTGAATTTTTCTTCGAATGGAGTCAGGCCTGAGGATGAGGTGAAAGTGAAAGAACGTCGGAATTTGCTTTATCAACCAGACATGCGTTTGGTGTTCCGTTATCGGAATTATTAAGCAGGGTACTATAAAAGACAGACATGCGTCCACGAATCGATTCTTTTGCTCTTCCTAATAGTTAGACAGACTATAGTTAAATTGACGGTGGTTCGGTGGTTCAAAGTGACCCGACATCCCGCAACTCAACGTTTGCAAATCGTGAAATGTTGATACGCACTTTAATAGTAACGTTAGTTTCAATATCGGCTCCCTGTTTGACAAGCCTGTTCAAATCAATGCGCTCATTAGAATCTCTTTCCCAGACCACTTTCAGCGTTAATGTCTCTCTTCTCCTGTTTTCGTTTCAAATCGACGCGCATTCCAATACAGGGGACAGATAAACAGAGGCCGCCGCACCGAGAGATTGAGGAAAAAAGGATAGTGTTGACAATAAAGTATTTCATTTGGTGCCTGACACGACAGGCAGCCTCGGCCTTGTTGAGGTTGTTTTCCGCTCTCAGCAACATGTGAAATCTGACCAATGGAAGCGCGCCATTCACGTAAACAAAGGCACAGCCAAACGGAGGACTACGGTAGCTGTGGGAATCGACTTGACTAGGTAAACCCGTGGTATACATGGATATGAAGATAATTCCGCCGTTCAGATACACTCGGAAACAGTTAAGGAACCACTCCAACGCAAAAAAGCGGTGAGTGATACCTAGCGTGTTTATGATTGCTTCACCGCAGCTGATAGTAGTCCCGAGACCTCCCCAAAAATTGTTTCTTCTACAATTTTCCTATATAACCGTCTGCCAGATCGCAAAATCGTTATCTGGCAGTATGGGTATAGCGGAAAATCGTGTCGAAACACGGAATATAGCGCAGAGTAGTAGTAATGGGCAATTTAGCGGAGCCGGGCTAAGCGAGGAGTCCCGTTGACCGTTTTTCAGCTATGGTCAATTGGATGCCTTACTTTGCTCGATGCGTTTCGCTTCAGAGGGGGGGGCCGGCAAGGGGAAGGTGGTTGTTTCCATCGACTGAAGCGGCGGGAGCGAAGCAGAGGGGCGTGTCACGCAAGGGAAAGAGAAGAGAACCATAATAGTCAGACGGCTAGACATATCTGGAGAGAGAGTATCAGAGAGAAGGACCCAGAGACTTCTACCGTAGTTGAAGACTGGAACTAGACATCCGTCACTTGCCACATTTGTTCGTCTGGTGAAATGATAGACTGATAAGCACATTTGGAGATAGAAAACTGGGGAGGGGAATCCAAATCGAGAACAATTGGATCATGACGTGATTCCCTCAGTCTGAAGAGATCTTAATGGATGATAAAAATCTAAAAAAAATTCATCGCTCGATTTCTTATCCAGCGGTAAACTGAACACAAGGTTGGGTTCACAACCTTTTTGTTTCACTTGAGGTCGTTCAGGACGGCAAATGTTTACTATTATCTTTCTCTGAAACAAGAGCACTTCTATTGTAGTTCTATTATTCTTCTCTCCTCTCGCACTTGGCACCAAAATTACACGTGATTTAAGATTTGTTTTAGCCCTTTCAATCGCACTTTTTGTTCACTGGAAATTTGAAGGAGAATGCACATGCGTTTATGTATCTTCTCTTTTCGATGTCTGGCAACTATAATGTTGTTGTTGTTCGTGCTTTCACTCAACCAGATTCCCAGCAAATTTCACACTAGTAAATAGTGATAAGAATGAGTACCGTGGTAGCAATGTCTGCGAGAGATTGAGGGAAAGTAAGAGAGATGCCTGCTCATGATGTTTCGATGCACTGATAACCACTCTGCCGCTTTTCTTTTCACCTTCCATTCGTCAGTTATACAACCAAACTAATTAGTATTTTCTTTTCTCGCTCTGCCACACGTTTCGAAAATTGAAGCTTTCCCCAATGTGCTCAATGGTGTCCTTTATCTTTCTCCGATTCGGTGATAATGCACTCTTCTCTGTTTTACTCACATACTCTCTTTCTAAAGGGCACCTCATCCTGCCGCCACCTTTAATTAATTTCTTCCGCCCGCTCAGACGACTTCCGTGTAGAGCCCGGTCCCGTAATTACCTATCAGAGAGCTCGGTGTTATGCGATCATGTTCTGCTCGGTTGTTGGCCTAATGTCCTACTCTGATGATGATAATGTAGGTTTTGAAAACCCAAAAATTCTGTCTCTTCGCGATTTTCCTTTGTACAGTTTGTCAGAACACAGTTTCGTTATCTGAAAAACCCGCACATAGGAAAATCGTGTCGAAACACGGAATATGTAGTGGAATATAGAGATGACGGTAGCGGCATCGAACCGAGTAAAGAAATTCACCACCTAGCTCATTCACGCGGTGGTCTAAATTTTTTACTCTGCTCGGAGCGCCGCTTGTCAAGTCGGCAGGGGAAGAGTGGTTGTAAACAGCGGCCGAAGCAAGGGGCGTGTCGCATAAGAAAGAGAGAAGCTAAGGTAAGCCAGGCAGAGAGGCGGGATAGGTGAGAGAGAGAGAGAGAGTTGAGGAGGGGGAGGGAATCGAATCAGAACGTTTCTACCGTACACAGGGCCCTTCAGCTTTCGAGATTTGATTACTACTATATTCAAATACTCTGTTATTCTATTCTCATCTGAATTTGAGATGAGGTCAAATATGTTTGATGTTAAAGAAGAATCAGCAACATCAGCTATTTTACCTTGCCTCAATTGTCAGTGAAGTTTTTTATGAGCAAATGAAACAATAGAAAAATGCGCACTTTCAGTTTAGGAAACAGCTAGGGGGAGAGTCCCTCTACAACACATTTGGAGCGCCCAGGCAAAAGTTCAAATTGTGCACCTGGCACAACGGGTAGCCTCACAAAGGTAAAGGTCGTTTCCCACTACAAAAAATAATGGATTGTGGCCCATGGGAGCGAGCGTTGAAATATATTCGTGGGAAAGCGAAAGGAACAGCTAAACGGATTGGATTACGGTATCAGAAGGAGTCAATTGTACCGAAAATGATAATGGTTCTGAATTTCAGTCCGTTTCCTTTAATTGCGCCAGACACCGAACTACTTTCGTTGTCCGTATAGTTGCTCAGAATGCAGAATAGCAGCAGATCGTTACCAACTTTTGCTCGCACTAAACTTCAGCGTTTCAAGGACAATAATAGGCTTTCATACCATAACGCTTTCACCATAACAAAACACCGTTTAGACAGACGGACTGGGTGAGAGAGCGGTGGATAGGGGGATAGTCGAGGGTGTTTGTTTTTGGCACCAAAACAATGTCAGGGAATTCGAAGACAAAAGAAAACAACTTGCCCTCCACATCAGTCGATCACGGCGCACATTCCGCTCATCGGCCCTCTCTGTAATACCGTAATGAATAATGAAGCAGAGTTCGCCAAGCGTTGGATTGTTCATCCACTAATAGGGAACGTGAGCTTGACGCTAATGAGTTTTCAAAGAAATTCAGGAGAATCTAAAGAAAACCAGAAGTATCTGAAGAGAAACAAAAGGATTTAGAGGGGACCAGGAGTATCTGAAAGTATCTGGAGAAATGGGTCTCTGAAATGAGCCGGAAACATCTGATGGGACAATAATTGAAATTGAATGCAAATTACTGTTCTCGTGCTCTCCTGATTATACATAGTTAAGTAAAAGAACGAATGAGATATCAAACCAGGTAGTTGGTGAAAGACAAAAAACGAATGTGTGCACCTATTGGGGGAAGTTCAAGCAATTTGTCTGTTTTCAGCTTTAAAATCCACGCATCTTTATTCGTTTCACTTGGAACATTTATACAATAATTCAACTCACGAATTGAAAAAAGGGTGGCGCCCCTGCTACTGGGGTCAGGTTCGACTATTTCCTATGAACACTTACATTTCATTTGAAGGTGAAGAACACAGTTGATCAATTGCTTTTCGGCAGTTGAGAATGAGAGTAAGGGGTGGGGGGAAGAGAATAGATAGGAGGAATACTTCAAATCGCCAGTGGTATCTGAAAGAATATGATTCCTAGCAGTTGTGTGATAGAAGGGGCATGCGGGCTCGAACCTGACCCCTTTGAGACATAAACGAATCTCTTAACCGCTTAGCTAGAGGCGCCCACACAGTAATATTGTCTTGGTGGGCTTAAGAGCTTTGGGGAGGGGACAGAAGAAGGAACGGCGCCCCTCCTTGCAGCAGAAACAGGAGCAGCGGAATCGACTATTGATTTTTTGTGCGACAGACTGTTGCGCACTTTTCTGCGGAAAATAGGAACCCCGACGTTTTGAAACCGCACAATTGAAAAACCGCGAAGATTCGCAACAAACCTGAGCAATAAATTGCACTGTTAAATCGAGAATAGACGCCACGGAGAGAACAGATTAGCACTGATAACTTGATGAGCTCATTTTATGTGCTTTTGAGAGATCTTGCAAATCAAGATCATGTAATAACTATGAACATGGCCAGGGGGTTTCTATCTTCCCTTTTCAGCCATTCACGTCTTTTTTTGGTCCGTTTCTCCCTTGTCTGTGCTAATAAGGTGAATAGTAGAGTACGTGGTTCCATAATAGTTTAGCTCTTCCACGGGTGGTGTTATAACCTTTTGTCTTTTTTGCTTCGATTCTCAAATATCAAGCGGTGCTCAAAAGCTCTCTTTTTGCATACTTAGTCAGCCAAAATACTCGTGAAAACGTGATAAGAGATTTCCAAATGGGAACCACGATTATCAGAAGAATACTTAGCGGCTTCTATAACATCATTTAGCTTCATCGGTATTATCGATAACAAAAATCATGGTGTAAATGTTAAATCGGGATCTTACAAAGATTCACCAAACGGTTGAAGAAAGAAAAAAAGAGAACAACTCAACAGCAAGTGTTTGCACTCACATGAGAAGAGAAAGTTCGGAAAACTTCGAGAAATTTCTGGAAACGGGAAGAAGGAAAACTATAACAATGATACCTTGGTTGAGCACAAAGAAAGAGAAAACTAACGCGAACTTAAGAAAAAGATAAAGAGAAGGTAGATAACAGCAAATTAAAATTAAGCAACAAATTTGACTTTGTTGCCAGTCGGTGAAAAAAATCTCATGCCATTATAAATAGAGGAGAGGTCGGCGAAAGAAAACTCCTGGATCACGATGAATTCGTCAAAGTTCTTCTGCCTGAAATTGTGGACGTACAATACGCAAACATGAAATATCAAACTTACGTCTTGGCGCAGTAGACACAGTAAACGACGAATGTGTCATTGATATCCTTGACGAAGAGAACGCTGAACACTTCAGATTCGCAACTAAAGCAGAAATTCGCTTCATCCTCGCTGGTTCGCTCATGGGGTTTGATCTTCTTTTTGGCTGCGAGCACAAACTCGTTGACCATTTTGAGGAAAGCGAGAGAGCTGAAATACCGAGCATTTTATGAGAAAGCTCATGTCCATTACTCACCGAATCAAGACTCCTTTGCACGTGTTGAACAGTTGTTGGTTGGTGAACCGAACGTTCTTGGCCAATTGCCAGCATAGTAGTTGCATTGGCACTTGGCAACGGATATTGCGGAACTTGTAGTATTCGTAGCTGAACAGCGATCTCGTCAATTGTTGATTGTTGAGTGGCGCCACATTCCACGAGATGTTGTTGCACCATCCCGTCGCCTGGACCCAGTTGATCGCTCCTCCGCTCACGTACACCATATCGCCGGCCTTCTGAGTGAATCGATGAACAGGCACCCCCTCGTCCAGCAAATCGTCCATAATCGGCCAGTAGGGTCCTTTGAAGAAGTCCACGTCATGCTTCTCGCACAGTTCCTCCATCAAACCCCAGTATTCGTAGGGCACGGCAAACCATTCACAGTCGCCTGGTCCCACGTTGATGTTGATCGAAGCGACAAACCCGTTCTCCTGATGAGCACAAGTACGTGCACCCGGCACTTTCATGTACAACTTGACGGTGTTCATCCCGATGATTTGATGACCGAGATGAGAGAGCATGTTGGGTCCGGCAATGAGACGACAGAAGGCGGGAAGTTTTGCGAGCTCCTGAAATTAGAAATTTGGTAGTAAGAACCGAAAAAATGAGAAGAAGTGCTGCAAAAACACGCAATTCGGACTATTTCCATTCCCCATTGCATCACACAACATTCACTCCCACATAAAGATCCACTCACACTAATCTGGGCTTTCCACTTGTTGTCATTCGACATGTCAATATTTGTTGCAAACTTAATGCTCTTCAAAACCTTTGGCGGCGGATCCGCCCTCTTGTAGACCATTTCAGCTCTCAATTTCTTCGGCGACGGTCCCTGAAAGCAGGATGCCGGCGTCTTGCGGATCTTCTCCGTCTCGTTTCTCAGCGTGTGCTTGAAAAATTCTCGCTGATAGTTGGCGTAGTTGTTGATGGTCGAGCAATGTGACTCCGAGATGCACTTCCATGTCGGCTGACTCGCATGATCACAGTTGGTCTCCGGTGGAAGATTGTACTGGGTCAGCACTTCAATCTCCTGTTGGCCGGCTATTTCGCACACGGATCTGGTGGAGAACAGTGAAAGATCGAGTTGGAGGACTGATGTTAGGCCGCGAATGCATGAAATAGTGTTCGTATCCACGTGATGTTGAAGTTCCACGCAATGTGATTGATTGTCGACCAAATAAACTGTTGTTTTCAGAATCAGCGGATGACGTTCTCCCTTCTCCAGAGCCTTCTTCACTTCTTCCTTTGTTGCAATCGGCTTCTCCGGACCCATCGGAGCTTTCGGTAAGACCGCAATCTCATCCATGATCGGTTGGTATGATCCGTTCTTGATGCACCGTTTATGGGCCAATGTGAGGATCTCTTGTGCGGTCGAGTCCAAAGGAACTTTAATATCGGAAAGGATACTAAAGCTTTTTGGCAACGTGTCTGATGCAATCAGCGGAACGGACGGAAACGGATAGCATTCGGCGTTTTCGAAAAAGTGGCCAGTAGCACGCATGCGCTCAATCATCGAATCGGTGACACGTGGCATTTCATGTGGGACAAGCGAAATGATCGTGTCGATAATTCCATGCTGAAAATTAGATGTTCAGTTGATTCTTCTTAAGACAATTTGTTTGAAAACATTGCGGTTTTGTCTTATAAAACACTCAAACATATTCAAATGCATTACCCTACTCATCATTTTCATAACAGAAACAAATGGTTATATTTCTCTCTCTCTCTTTCTCTGTTGCTTTATATCACACTACAACTGTCTTCTCCTCACCTGAACTGTGAGCTCAGCAGTGTGAAGATACTCATAAACTTCCTTTTCGGCTGGAATCAGGTCCATCTCGTTATCACGAAGGTGGCTCAAAACTTCCACTTCAAGATTATTCAACTCGTGCGGTCGCAACACTTGCGCATCGCTATTCGTTGACGATTCCTCCATCAGTCGTTTCTCAGTCCACAACTCCCAGAACGCATTTTGGTATCGCATCTCTATCTTCTGTAACGCGATTTTGCCAGATTGTCTGAGAAAACTACCTACATTGTAACTTTCGTTCACGCGTTCGTGTACTTCAGACAAGACTGGCAGGTTGTAGGCCTCCTTCACGCTCGGAATATCACATCCAAACGGGACACTATGTTTCGATGGACGAGAGGGTAAGATCCGCGATAGCTCCTCGTCCAGCATTTGTACACGGGCATTGAGAGGTTTCGGAGCTACTGAAAATGAGTTATCTAATTTAGACTTAATCACAATGCGGCTACCTGGGCTGCACTTCAGCGCGTTTTTATAACATCCAAGTGCATCTTCGAACTGTTCATTTCGCTCGTACAATTCTCCAATGTTGGTCCATGCGGCCGATTGTCCGGGGTTCAGTTCAAGACAGCATAACATAGTCTGAAAAACAACAAACAGATTGCAGTTCGAATAGATAGTTTGTACAAACCTCCAGGGCATCAACTGGTTGTTGCTCACTCTGATAGACTTGTGCCAGCGAAAAAAACGCGTCCGCCATCAACTCTGACACGTTGATAGCCATCCGATAGTCAGAATACGCCACATCAATCTGCAAGTTCTTCATATGTGTTGCACGTCGAGGAAAATGATATGGAAAAAATCGTAGAAGTTCACGCGTGCACTTTAAGATTCCGTGTTTCATTTTCATAGTTTCTATGCCTTCGGCAAACCTAATTACCAGCAGGAATATTTGATATATTGCATAAAACTATGCCAGTTCTTCGATTGTTTTCTCCCATTCCCTTCCTCTGTCACTTTTTGAAAACGAGTCTGAAATCATGCTATGTTAGAAGTTCCAGGTACTCTGAAACAGTGTGCGAAGATGGGAAAGACTGGTGTGGTAAAGCTCAGCCAAATTTCTGAGTTACATGCAAGGAGGAAATCGACATAGGTTACGTACATAGGGGGAGGAACATGGGGGAGTAACGAGAATGCGTGCATCTTCAGTGGAGACGGACGATTTCGATGCACGGTATCCTCGTTCAATTTTCCACTACTAACAGCAGATCCGTCCATTTCGTGAACACGACCCAAATAGGTGTAGGTTAGGCCGTCTTTTGGATTTGCTGCTACCGCCATGTTCAAACTCTCTTGAGCCTTTGCGAGAAGGTCCTTCTTGTTGGCCTCATCCTTACGCGCCCGTTTGTAATAAATCCATCCGATCTGCCGAAGAATTGCCGCTCTCATCTTTGTATAAATCACGAGCTGATCGGGCTGCAGAAGACTGTACGTCACGGTGTCGATCTGGAAAATGATAAGTTGGACAGTGCGTGGGCGTAGGAGGCGTCTTACTTCTAGATCAGGAAGTAACTCGTTGTACTTCTTCTCCGCAATGTCCAAATCCTCGTTGTTCTCGTGAGCAAGGGCCAAGTTGTATCTCAGCACAAGTTTCGGCATGAACTTCGATGGATTCGGTTCGTCGATCACCAAGTAGAATAGCTGGAAATTAGAAATACACAGCTGACAGAGCGGCGGTTTTTGCCCGTCCCGTTTTCATTAGTGTTACCGTCTCTCTACAAAGTGCAGTTTCCACAGTACAAAAGTAAAGGTAACTTTCAAATTTTTGGCTCTATTTGAGTAATCAAGTTCCAAAGGCAAGATCCAGGTCCCATAATAATAATCAGGACCCATCGTCGACTTACAGGTTCCGACGATAACGACGTGCGTATCGGCCTTGATGCGGTTGTAGAGCTCCGAAAGAGGGGCTCATGAACACTGACCCCGGACAAAACATCACCACAAATATGAATATAGAGTTCACATAGTTGACCTCGCATATGTATATGTGGTTGCGAATGTGTTTTGTGTGAATGAGAGCGTATTGATTTTTTTTTTTGAGAATGTTTGTATGTACTTCTAGGGGCTCAAACGCAATTGTGAGACCTTATAATACGATGAAAATAGCTTAAGGACAAGTACCATCCATCTGCAAAGCGTTGTCATTGCGAAAGTGGAACCAGAAAAGAATATGAACGGAAATGTTGAATATTTTACACTTACTTCGTGTTGTCGTTGAAACGTTGGCAAAATAGAGAAAACGGTCTGTGCATACACACTGACAAACAGTTTTTTGTCAATTGGCGGATGGGAAGAACCTTTTTTAATGAAATATGGAAAAACATTGAGTTCGAAGTGGCACCACATTCAACGAGATTTTATTGCACGATCCCGTCGCATGGACTCAGTGGATGGTTCCTCCGCTCACGTACACCACATCGCCGGCCTTCTGATGCGAATGAATCGACGAATAAGCACCCCCTCGTCCCTCAAATCGGCCATGATCGGCCAGTAGGGTCCTTTGAAAAAGTGCACGCCATGCATGGCATGGCGAACTATTCACAGTTATCTGATCCCATGTTTACGTTGATCCCTGTATTGGCTTTTGATCAGTGACCCAACAAAATGATTGGAACTATGGCCAGGCTATGAAGAAGGCAATTGTACGCGCCCGAGTGTGTGTCCTACTGTTTTTCACAGAATTCAACCTCCTAAACATACTTTGATAGCCTTTGGCCACTCTTCCGCCGCCATGTAGCAGATCGCCATACGCAGCTTGCACTCCACTGCAAACAGTCCTGTTGGGTAGCAGTACAAGGAACGTTGGAACGCCTGGAGCGCCCTGAAAACCGCTGATTCGTGTTGTGATTATTATAAAACGCCACCATACCATTTGTAATGTTTGAAGTGCAAGTATACGATTCCGAGACCATAGTACGCGCTTGGCTGATGTTCGAACAACAGCGGGTGACAGTCGAGCGTTTTTTGGTACATCTCTAGGGCTCCGGTCCAATCGTTGGCAAAAAGGACGAGTTGGCACTGAGCCAACATTGCAAAAAACACGCGTCGCTCCATGGTTTTGTACTTGTAAGTTTTGTAAAGACGCTTCATGTCGATGATGTATGCTTCGAGAATTTCCCGACCCTTGGCGAGAACGACACGAAAGGTTTCGGTTAGTTCAGCCGGATCTTTCTTACAATTATAATCGAACGAGGATTGGAAGGTGTTGGGACTGAAAGCATCAGTGGTGACTGGAGATTTGGAGGACACTCACTCTCCAAAGTATGTCAGTTGTTTCCATTCGAATTTGGTCAGTGCTGGCAGAACCTGCCATTTTTTGTAGAAGCGTGGCTGAAAAATGAAAAGTGGGCTTTGGCAACTGAAACTTGACTGCTCACCTCCTTTTCCGGTGGAATCGGATCATTCATCGGAGGTGTGAGCACTATCCTAAAAATTATTTGGAGTTTCCAAAAGAATCTTGAGAGAAAACTGTGAAAGTATCAATAACAACTCGAGAAAAGAATTTTTGCGAGAGAGAAGCATTGGCACAAGACTTTGAAAACAAAAGAAAAAGTCAAAACTACAGTACAAGCAACAGTACAATTCAAAATAATCAGACTACTAAACACGGTGCACTACGTAATAATGGAGCCTCGTATGACGGTCGTCCTTGGGAGTGGCGCCATGGACGAGGTAATGCATCGGCCAGCACTTGAGTGAGGAACGAATTGACGGTAGAAATTAAATATGAGCAAGTCGCGCATTCATCAGTTGTGATTCCGGAGTCTGTCTGTTCGAATGGAACAATATAACACATACAAAAGGGCTGGGCTTTTCTAGGGCTCGACTTTATTCTCATCAGACTCAAACTTTGGTGGCTTCTTGGATTTGGATGAAAGTATTTGCGTCTATGTTTCAGACCGATCGGGTTTTGTACGCAGAAGTTACATTGATTCACGCCTAAAAGCTCTGGTTTACGTGATAAGCCCGGCATTTTCAGTCCTGAATTACTGTGAATACTTGTCTGAAACTTGGGCCCAAAATACACTGATCCATGTCGAAGAAATCTGCAAAGCTTCGATCAAATTGGAAATGGGTGAATCAGTAAATCTTGTAAATGTCTCAGTTCCTTAGGCATCAAAAACAATATGCGGCACTCATTTTCATCGGGAAAATGCAACACAGATCGCTTTTGAAGAAGATGAACCAGTCTATCGTTAACTGCTCCTCCAACATCTAAATGCGTTTCTGACCGAGTTCCTGAGGCGTTCTTCTCTGCGATTTCTGGTGTGCTTTGCGTGCCACTGCTTTTCACCATCTCTTGGTGTTTCTTTTCTAGTCTTCAATGGAAAGACGTGTCAATTGTCGAGAGCCAGCCATGATATTCACTCGAGAAAGTTCAACGCGAGTCTGCCTCTCGTTTTTGATATAGTAGAAGGTGGAGCTGATTTGAATGACCCCGCATCATACCAAAACATCCTTGATAGCTTAGTTCAACTCCCGAATCATTCTGTGACCATACTATTGCATGTTGTTTATTGGAATTCTGTTCGAATCTGCATTTGGCTTAATAATATGACTAATATGAAATACCCGAACACACAACAATAATAATTCTGTACAACCACTTCGGAGAAACGTAACAAGATTCACATAATAAAACAACCACGGGGAGAGGTTCAGGTCTGTGGGATAAACATGAAGAAAAACAGTTTGGAGATTGGGTGGGGAGAAGAGAAAGACAGAAGGAGCGCTTCTGGAATCTTTAAACATCTTTTACACATTTAAACATCTAACCAGAATCAACAAAAAAGAAGACACCTTTCACACTCAAGGCGGTGTAAACAAAGAAAATGGGGTATTCACAATCAGAAAGAAAAGATATGCTAAAATTTTGATTAAAACTTGGGAAAAAATGTACAAATCAGAACACAAGTGGAATTCGGGTCGAGAGATGGGCAAGTAAAGGGAAGGGGGGAGCAAGTAAAATCACATCCACCGTTTGTGATTAATCGTAAAAAACATTGTCCGACCCCATCGATATGTCGACAAAGTCGACTTCTCCATCATCACCCTCTTCTCCGTAGTGGGCGGCCATTTCAGCTTGTATCTCTCTCTTGAGACTCGCCACCGCACGAAGAAGAGCCGGCCGGTCGTTCTTCAACTGCTCAAGCCTGTCTTTCGCTTGAGCGACCAGAATAGCCTTCTCCCTCTTGGCGTTTTCGTGATCTGTACAGAGCGTATTTTACAACTAAACAAGATTCTCGGCATGAACTTACACATCTGAATGGCTCGCTTGGGGTGGTATTGAAATCCAGATGAGAAAGGCTGTTGGAGAAGTGCACGCTTTGGCAGGCTTGATTGAGCACTTTGTTCGATTGGTTTGATTTTGAAGTAGTCTTCAAAAGTCAAGTATGGCGATTCCGGAGTTGCTTCGGTTGACAGCTCTTTCGAGATTTTGCGCTTTGGACTCGAATTCTCTGGTTTGGCTTTGGCAACGAGGGTGGCCGACTTCTTGTACTGCTGCTTCGTGGCCGAGTGAGCTGGTGGGGCCTTCGCAACGATGTCGTCACTGTCCGCATACTAAAATTAAATACTAAATTGTTTTGATATTGTCAATCTTCAAATATTACCTTTTCCAGGAAGGCGAGACAATCAGGACAGACAGTATGAGGAAGTGGAACGCGAGAATCTCGGAATTTCTTCAGCTGAGCAATTCTCGCCTGGAGAGCCGCTTCCGTTGTAAGCTTTCCAAAACTGCAGGGCATACTGACTGCGCGCATCCTGAATTCGAAAATGATGATTATGCCAAAAAATCAAACAAAACGTCTAAACACAGGTAATATGGCATCGGACAAAACCGCATTAAAAATAGCTAAAGATTAAAGAGATACAATAGTTTTCTGATTGTTGTCAGCAAAAACACGTAGAATTGAGATCAAATCAAATCAGTCTAATGATTACACAAGGAGAAAAGAGTAGTACAGTCAAAATCGTAAATTAACGGTCATACACTGAAATAATTTCACAAAAAATACGGGAAAAAATTGAGGTCTGTGGATTAAACTTGAGAAACAGTTTGGAGATTTGGAAGAGGGGGGGTTGGGGAGAAGATGAAATAAAAAGCAATTTTTGAGTTGCACGATTCTAGAAAAACATAAAAATTGCAATCCTATAGAACAATACAAGAAGAAATCAGAATACAGATGTTGAAGTTAGGCGACAAAGTTCATTTTAGCGTTATTTGGCAGAATGTACTTCATGCCCTCATAAATTGTGGAGAGGTCGGCGAACGAGAACTCCTGCATCACGATGAATTCGTCAAAGTTCTTCTGCCTGAAATTGTGGACGTAAAATACATAAGCATCAGCCATCAAACTCACGTTTTGGCGCAGTAGACACAATAAACGACAAATTTGTCATTGACATCCTTGACGAATAGAATGCTGAACACTTCAGATTCACAGCTCGAGCAGAAATGTGCTTGATCCTGGCTGGTTCGCTCATGAGGCTTGATCTTCTTTTTGGCTGCGAGCACAAACTCGTTGACCATTTTGAGGAAAGCGAGAGAGCTGAAATACCGAATGGTTCATGAAAAAGTATTCTTGACATGTCCGTTACTCACCGAATCAAGACTCCTTTGCACGTGTTGAACAGTTGTTGGTTGGTGAACCGAACGTTCTTGGCCAATTGCCAGCATAGTAGTTGCATTGGCACTTGGCAACGGATATTGCGGAACTTGTAGTATTCGTAGCTGAACAGCGATCTCGTCAATTGTTGATTGTTGAGTGGCGCCACATTCCACGAGATGTTGTTGCACCATCCCGTCGCCTGGACCCAGTGGATCGCTCCTCCGCTCACGTACACCATATCGCCGGCCTTCTGAGTGAATCGATGAACAGGCACTCCCTCGTCCAGCAAATCGTCCATAATCGGCCAGTAGGGTCCTTTGAAGAAGTCCACGCCATGCTTCTCGCACAGTTCCTCCATCAAACCCCAGTATTCGTAGGGCACGGCAAACCATTCACAGTCGCCTGGTCCCACGTTGATGTTGATCGAAGCGACAAAGCCGTTCTCCTGATGAGCACAAGTACGTGCACCCGGCACTTTCATGTACAACTTGACGGTGTTCATCCCGATGATTTGATGACCGAGATGAGAGAGCATGTTCGGTCCGGCAATGAGACGACAGAAGGCGGGAAGTTTTGCGAGCTCCTGAACAAAAAACAATTTCCATGAAAGGACCGGAATACCGGAAACAAGTTCTGCAAAGTTTTGGATTATATCCGTTGCAATTTACATCGCACGTCATCAACTCTCATGTGCTTATCCGGTTTTCTGAGATATGTTATCCCTCCCTCCACACGTTTTCCGACCATCTCCAGTTTTCCATTTTATCTTCATTTTTGCCTATTTTGTCATCGAAGTTTCTTATCCATCTGATAAGCCCAACTCACACTAATCTGTGCCTTCCACTTGTTATCGTCCGACATGTCTATGCTCGTTCCAAATTTGAGACTCTTCAACACCTTCGGCGGCGAACACGCTCTTTTGTAGACTTTCTCCGCTTTCAGGCGCTTCGGCGACGGTCCCCGATTGCTGCATCCCGGCGTCTTGCGCATCTTCTCTACCTCACTTTTCAAAGTGTGCTTGAACATGTCTCCCTGATAGTTAGCATAATTGTTGATGGTCGAGCAATGTGACTCCGAGATGCACTTCCATGTCGGCTGACTCGCATGATCACAGTTGGTCTCCGGTGGAAGATTGTACTGGGTCAGCACTTCAATCTCTTGTTGGCCGGCAATTTCGCACACGGATCTGGTGGAGAACAGTGAAAGATCGAGGCGGAGGACTGAAGTCAGCCCGCGGATGCATGAGATTGTGTTTGTATCCAAGAAACGCTGAAGTTCCACGCAATGTGCTTGACTGCGGCTGTCCACCGTGAGAATAGATGTTTTCAGAATCAGCGGATGACGTTCTCCCTTCTCCAGAGCCTTCTTCACTTCCTCCTCTGTTGCAATTGGTATCTCCGGGCCCATCGGGGCTTTCGGCAGAACCGCGATCTCATCCATGATCGGTTGGTATGATGCGTTAGGGATGCACCGTTTGTGGACCGACGCAAGGATCTCTGAAGCAGTGATGTCCAACGAGACCTTGATGTCGGCAAGGATACTGAAGCTTTCGGGGAAAGTGCTGAACGCAATGAGCGGTACAAATGGGTACGGATAGCATCTGGCGTTCTCGAAAAAGTGGCCAGTCGCTCGCAGGCGGTCAATCATCGAATCGGTAACACGTGGCATTTCTCGAGGGACAAGCGAGAGGGTCGCATCGACAATTCCAAGCTGAAACAAAAATGTGCGTATTGACGTCATTCGAGGATTTTGTTCCCCTCAAAAGAAATCGTCGCAGCATGCTTTAATTAGACTCATTGCCGCATTTCCCTCTACTTCTACATTAGCCACGCCACATCCACACACATACGGGCTTTGCTCTAAGCACACACATTCTCCCTCGCACCCTTCTCCTCTTTCTTGCCTCACGAGCAATCCAATTGGCAAAATAGAAATAGCGAGACGAATTCTTCGCTTTCTAAAGAAAAAGCGCAAGAGGCTGGTTGAGGAAAGAGAGAAAGCGCGAGAGCATATGCTCATGAGTGCAGGGCTCATTTCTTTCCTTTTGGCTTGGTTCGGCTCCAAATCATGACACCGATGTCGTATTTGTCGTTTCATCCTCCTTACCCTGAATGTGAGCTCGGCAGTGTGAAGACACTCATACACGTCCTGTTCGGCTGGGATCAGATCTTTCTGGTTCATACGAAGCAGATAGAGAACTTCCTGCTCTAGATTGTCCAGCTCTTGCGGTTCCAGCATTTGCTCATCGTGTCTCGGTGACCGTCTCTCTTCAAGTTTCTTTTTGTCCCACAACTCCCAGAACGCATTGTCGTAGCGCGTTTCTCTACCCTGCAAAAAAAAACCAGTTACATATTTCTTCAAATATGTCTTGGCATGATGATCACACACATTGTACGCCTCGTCCTGTCGATTGCGTAGTTCCGACGGGATCGGCTGGTCGTAGGCCTCTTTCAAGCTCGGAATGTCACGTTCGAACGGGATACTGTGTGTGGCCGGACGAGCGGGTGTCGGCATTGCAAGCTCCTTGTCCAGGAAATGCACGCGGGCTTTCAGAGGTTCCGGGGCCACTGAAAACAAATAAACTCATTTTTATTTTGATTCAATCATGTACCTGGATTATTCTTCACCGCATTTCTGAAACAGTCGAGTGCATCCTTAAACTGCGCATTCCGCTCGTACAACTCTCCGAGGTCAGTCCACGCGGCCGATAGTCCGGGATTGAGTTCGACAGCGCATACAAAGGCCTGAAGAAAAGTTGAAAAAATAATTGCGGCCAATAATCGGAGGCAGATCGGCCGGTCCGCCCGCCAAACGCCACCCAGTGTGTAAGAAATGCACTAGTCAACTGATGGTTGAGTCTATGCTGCCCCCCCCCCTTCCTCTATGCTGCTGCTCGCCTCGGTTTGTGCTATATACTTGTTCCAATTCTTCAATGTCATTATCACCTCGCCACACCACATATCACGAGCATATCTTCATGCTCCAATGCCCACTTCTAATTTCCCCCGGGGTCTTCTCCTTCTACTTCTTCTTCTTCTTCGTCTTCATCCCTTTTTCATTTCTTTTTCTTCTCATTTCTCAGTCTCTACATCGAGCCCTACAACCGGCCTACCACCACCACCACATGACAAACCTGCAGAGCATCTATTGGTTGACTTTGTCTCTGATAAAGCGCTCCGATTGAACACCAAGTGTCCGCATTTTGTTCGGCTTTGTCGATCGACTGCCGATAGTTGATAAACGCCTCCTGTGCCTGAAAGTTTGCTATTTGTCTGGTGAGTGAAGAAGAGCGAGTGGTGGCACACTGATAATAATGTGAGTGAATTTTTCGTGCATTGCATGCAGTTGTGCTCAAAAATAGTGATGATCGTGCGTTTATGTGAATAGGAGTCGCGTTGGAAACCCATTTATATTTTCCCCAAGTCAAGTCGAATTATTGCCAGTCCTTCCGTCTATCCAACACTTCCACATGTTTTCTATTATTTTCCCCCCTCCCCCAGTTGAAAATCTCACCCACGAAAATGCCATACGAACTACTCGTTCGCAAAGATTGCAACCTTGGGGGCAACGAGTCTGAAACCAAGCTCAGTTAGGAGTTCCACATGATCTAAAACCTTGTTTGAGGAGTGGGAAAGTCTACAGAGGTGAGAGTTTGTAGGACACCCCTAATTGAAGCATGGTTTGAGACTTGGAGTTGGAACACACAGCAATGACTGTTGATTCCTTAGGCTTCGGCAAAGTTCGAGTTTGTAGCTCGTAAGCGTCTAGCAGAATGACAAAGGTGTGAAAATAAGGGAAAACAGCACTAGATCACGACGACAACACGTGCATCAATGCATAACCGATTCTAAAGCAGGACCTCCTCGTTCAATTGCCCTGTACTAACAGTTGATTCGGCCTCTCCGTAGACACGACCCAAATAGTAATAGGTCAGGCCGTCCTTCAGATCCGCCTCTTGTGCTTTGAGCAGACTCTCCTGAGCTTTTGCGAGATGGTCCTTCTTGTTGGCCTCATCCTTGTACGACCGTCGATAGTGAACCCAACCGATCTGCCGAAGAATCGCCGCTTTCATCTTCTTGCAAATCTCAAGTTCGTCAGGCTGGAATCGGTTGTAGGTTACGTGTTCGAGCTGAAAATTGATGAGTTGAACTGTGCGTGGAAGTAAGTGAGGTTTTACATCCGGAAGCAACTCCTTGTACTTCTTCTCTGCAATATCGAGGTCCTCATTGTTCTCGTGAGCAAGAGCCAGATTGTATCTGAGCACTCGCTTCGACATAAATCTTGACTCGTCCGATTCGCCAAGAACCAAGTAGAAGAGCTGAAATTTAGTATTTCTCATTCGAATATTCAGTTTTTCCGTGGATTATTTGCTCTAAATGCAACATATTCACCAATTTTTTGATTTCGTGTGCAATAGGGCGCGTTTGCATTGCTGCAACCAGCCCTCTGACAAACACATGTGTGGTCTCGCGCCGAAAAACAGGTTTATTTGTCGATCGCTTCTCAACGTCTCTTTCTGACCACGACCAGCGCCGTCGTAGGCCCACTAATCAACGTTTGCCCAACTTACAGACTATTTGAATCTCACCCGTCCCTTGTGAAATTTGATACACTAGGAAAATCATTCAGTTGACAAAGTGGGTGTTTCCTGCCACATATGCACACTCCCGTTTTCATTATTGCTTCCGACTTTTCCCCATATATCAGGAATCAGTCTTTATCAATCTTGTTGAGATCTGTTGAAGCGGGAAAAGATGTTGCATGCGGCATTTCTTCTCAAAATGCCTTATCATTACTTTTATATTCCTCTCAAACAGCCAAGTACAATCTCATGCTGGTTTTATTGTCGATTAAGTATGGCGCGTGTTCTGTCAGGGTCTCAGGACAGGCTCACAGTGAGTTCCCAGTGTGAGAGGGAGCGCAAGTGTTCACAAGACCGTCATGACAGGTGCACGGACTGGCAGCTTCGTTCCCTTCGCGTCCGCACTGACCAGCCTGCTCCACTCTCGATTTTCACCCATTCATCTTCTTCTTTTTGGTTGCGAGCCGCCTCTTTCTTTCCCGTTGAGCTTGTCGTTGTACATTTCTGATCAATCCCTTCTTTCAGAGACGACAAACTTACGTTGATAGCCTTTTGCCACTCTTCAGCTTCCATGTAGCAAATCGCCAGACGCAGCTTGCACTCCATTGCGGTCGGACCAGTCGGAAAGCAATACAAGGAACGCTGGAACGCTTCGATCGCCCTGAAAACCACTAATTGACAGCATTATCGGTACGTCAGCATACCATTTGTAATGTTTGAAGTGCAAGTAGACGAGCCCAAGACCGTAGTACAAGCTGGGCTGACGTTGGAACAATAGAGGGTTAAAATCGAGCGTCTTCTGGTACATCTCCATGGCGCCGGTCCAATCGTTCGCAAGAATGACGAGGTGGCACTGAGCCATCATTGCAAAGAACACGCGCCGCTCCATCGTCTTGTATTTATACGTGTTGTAGAGACTTTTCATGTCTATAGCGTATTTCTCCAGGATTGAGCGACCCTTGGCGAAAAAGAGAAGCAGTTCCTCGGTGAGTTCGGCCGGATCCTTTTTGCAGTGAACGTCAAACGCAACACAGAAAGTGATCGGTCTGAAATCATTGGCGTTGAAAAGGTTTGTGATTCGGGGCAACTCACTCTCCAAGGTATCGGAGCTTGTGTAGTTCGGATGGTGTTAATGCAGGTAGAACTTGCCATTTTCTGTAGAAACCGGGCTGAAAGATGGGAAATGTTAGTTGGCGGCGGAATGTTGATTGCTTACCTCTTTTTCAGGTGGGTTCGGATCATCCATCGGAGGTGTTAGTAGTGATATGCTGTTCATGCACACTTTCCTGCAAAAATGTGGCGTTTGCAATTGAATCTTAAGAAACAACGGAGAAAACATAAGCGCCGGAGGGAGAACCATAGAAGGAAGCAATCGGAAGCAGAGGACAGTTCCCCGAAAGCAGAAAGAAGAGAAAATAAGACAAGAGACACGAACCAACGACTGTTCTATTCAAATTACAGGTCGCTAAACACCAAGCACTCCGTAAGAATTGGAGCGTCGTAGGACACTACGTTCGTTCTCCTTGTGCACACTGGAGAGTCGCAGCGCAGACACTGTGCCGAGAGGGGAGACGCAGGCGGTGAGAGGAGAAAGGTCAGCGCGGCGGCAGGCCGCGTGGGGAGGGGTGCGCGGCAACGACGGCCGAAATTGATCGCGGGCGACTGAGGTGGCGCTCCGAAGGTGCAGGGCGGACGATAAGAAGAAGAAAGGCAGGAGAAGAGGTGGATAGTGAGGAATGTTCGAAGAGGGGCTTTTTGCCGAAAGTCATCAGCGTCTTGGAATAGGGCTTAGTAGCTTTGGAAGGCAGCGGAACTCAAAGAAAAGCGACGGCTTGGTCGGAAATGGAACTTTTCCATCAATCAAAAGTGCGGAAGCTCATAGCACATCACAGATTAGATTAGTTGCTGGTCCATGGATAACTATTTTGGCAATTCGAGCTCTGTGAGGAACACACCGATGATTTCATGTGTAGTTCAAGCAGCTCCGTGCTTTTTCTCAGACAATTAACTCGAAGATAACGTTAGGGGACCTCTAGACACTATCAACCTGTTCAATTATGTTTTTGATCAGTTCTGCGTGAGAAAATGAGATAACTCAAGTCGGAGGAGCTATCTTTTGATGATTCTCTTTGCAATTGTCCAATTACACGTGAAAATTTGCCTGCGGTGTCGGTCCAAAGACTCGCTGTCCAAATTGTCACATTTTTTCGGTCAATTCAAAGTCCCCAGTCAGAAAATGCTGTCATCACTTGCGCTCGTGTAATTCGAAAGCCCATGTCCATAATAGAAGTGAACAGATGCCGCTTTGAGCACAAATAATATCGCAGATGGACTGACAACAGACCAAACAAAATGAAAACTTCCTGAATAGATTTAGACTGCTAAAAACGAGAAAAAATTGACATCGTGCTTTAAAATCAGTGTTTATTCACGTCTAAGTCAGCGTTAATAGTGGTCGGAGATCTCAGGAATACACAAAAAAGTGAGAGGGAGAGAGAGAGAGAGAGAGAGAAAGAGGAAGCGCTTCGGGAATCTCTAAGCATTTTGATTCTAACCGGAATGTACAAAAAAGAAGACACATTTCACACTCAAGGCGGTGTGAACAAAGAAAAACGGGGTATTCACAACCACACAAAAAAAGTTATGCTAAAATTTTGATTAGGACGATGGAAAAAAGTGCAAATCAGAACACAAGTGAAATTCGGATCAAGAAGTGGGCAAGTAAAGGTTTGGGGGAAAGGGAGCAAGTGAAATAAGAGGTATCACCAGTTCGGATCACCATTTGAGGAGAAAAACTCGAGAAGATTGTGGCATCGCGTGGAGATGCTCGGCTTGTGATGGATCACATTGTAGTCCGAGGTGCTGCTGGCAGAATGTGAGTGACCCGCACGACGCGCTTTGATGCGTTCGTTTGTAGTCACTCCTTGCGAGATCTGATTCATCTGGACACAAAACAGCACGGAGAGCATGAACGAATGCATCGCAGAGAGTATGATCGTGATCATCAGGAAGGCGTCCGTCTCCAGAAACTGGTCTGGAAAGAAAGTGTCACAGTAAGGTCCCTCGAGTTTGTGTTCTTACCAAGTCCTTGACTCTCAATTTGCAGAATAGCATAGTGGCTGGTTGCCAGGCAATAGATGGTCGCCGACATGGCGACTGCTATGACGAACATGATGAATTCTCTCATGTTGCGACGCGTGATACAGCTATTGAGCCATGGGCAGTGGTGGTCAAAGTTGTTCACGCAGCTGAAAAGAAGAAAGAAGATATTTTCTTTGGTAAGGATGCTAAAAACTTACTATCCACACACGGCGCAATGTTTCGTGTGTTCCATTTTGCGAATAAAACACGAAAAGCAGTACTTTTGTTGATGCTGAATGCCAGCTTCCGCCTCATTCACGTACAGTTGATGAGAATTCTTGGCGGCTCTCACGACCCCCGGATCTAGGGTTCCTATCCTGAAATGCACACATTTTAGCTCTCCTCTTTCACAATTGTTCATGAATTTTTAACGACCCCTGCTCCAAAAAAAGACCGTCGAGTCTCTTTCTCTCTCTCTCTCTCTCTCTCTCTCTCTCTCTCACCTGAATAGCGTGAACCCGAGAGCAAGGACCGAGAGCACAAACATCAACTGAGCCCACCATGGCACGTACCAATGAGCATACGCCGACCTGGAATTATGAAAACATTAAAACATTTGGACTCGTCGAAATTCGGCTGGTCCCGTTTTGCAATTGTTTGGAAAAACGAGCGATTTTCCGAACCAGAGACGCCACCTTATTCAGAAACACAATTGAAAAATCCCTCATGATTCTCCTTTAGAAAGCGAGAAGGTCATGCATGCATCTCACAAAATCCAGATGCGATACCGATCTAAATACTGTGATGCATCTGGCACCACATGTAAACCCGTCTAGTTTACTCGGAAAGAAGATATGCATCTGACCTTAGTTTTAGCCGTTTTTGAGTGAAAGCGATTTCAAGAAGACAAAAACTCACCACGAAAAGATCATGAGAAGCGCCTCGGCAATGGTGACGCCGTAGGGAAGCAGTTTGTACGTCGGGTCGTGGTAGTCGAAGCGGATGAGAACCATGAGGAAGATACACGAGATCAGTGTGGAGAAGGTGGCGACGATCAATGGCAAGGATTTGAAGAGGAGATAGATGATGAGGAAGCCCAGGAGAGGGACCACGGAGAAGAAATATGTGCTGACGGGAGGGACGAATAGTTTTCGGAAGCAGTTGGTCCGGTTGACGCCTTGACGACGAGCTGCTTCTTCCATCATATCTGAAATATGCAAATTTCTAAGATTATTTTTAGAAACCGGGTCTCACCTAGAATCTGCGGACTCTTAGTCGCTCTGGCCATATCCAGCGGGGTCTCTGACTGCTTATTCCTAATGTTCACATCTGCCTTTCCTTCCAATAGCTCGCTGAAAAACATTGAAACGTTTAGCTATGCATTCTAGCTACACCCATAAATTTTGCTGATCTGGAAGTTCCATTTTAAACAAAATACGGTTGCAGCAAAGTTGCTCAAAGTTGTTGCCTGTCAGGCCGGGACGTTTCAAATCTGATTCTAGCTAAACTTACATAACTGCCGATGAATTTCTATCCGAAACAGCAAGATGAAGGGCCGTGTTTCCACTGAAATGCTCCTTAAGCGCTAAATCGGCACCCGCTCGGACAATCAATCGCATTGGGAACATGGTGAACGTCCGTTTGGCACACATCATCGCCGGCGTCATTCCTGAAACATCCAAATTGAGTGGGTGGCCATGAAATCTCGAAAATCCCACCGCTATTGTCACTGATATCCTTGGCGTAGTCGAATTTGAGCAAAAAATACGCGACCAACGGCACATGATTTCCCTGCAGAGCGAGATGAACCGGTGTGTAGCCTTGTATGTCTCTGACATTGCAAACGGCGCCTCCCTGGAAATATTCTTCGTCTAAATTCGATCTATAACTTGTTAACGAACCGTAACGAGCAAAGCACACATGGCGACGAGTCCATTCCTAGCTGCCCAGTGAATTGGCGAAGAGGCGAGCACTCCGCCGACGAGATTCGGGTCAGCGCTGTAGGAAAGCAGTCTGGAATTGAATAAGGGTTTTAGTTGAATTGATGAACGTGATCTTACAATCGTGCCACTTCGAGTCGGTTGTTTATAGCCGCCCAATGAAGCAAGGAGCAGCCATCCTGAAATTTGAGCAGTTTTCGAGGTTTGTACTGATTTGTTGGTGAATTTTCTGATGAGGAATGTTGTAAAATACTGCTACCGGATATTTTGGAAGTTTTCCAAGGGCATCTCATCCAAAGTTGATAAATCTGAAGGAAACCCCTGCAAAAAGCGAACCAACTCACGTCATCAGTGGCATTTGGCGATAATCCCTGTTTCAGAGCGTTCTCAACCTGATCGACGTGTCCGTGTTGCGTTGCACTGATCACCGCGTGCAGGTTGAAGCTATCGACGACCGCCGGCGCGGGTTTCATGATATTGTGCGTCAACACTTCGGTGTCCCCATCCATTAGTCGTTTGCCAAGTCTGAAAAGTGTGAACTGTGCGATGAACACCTTTGGAAATTGAAAACGAAAACGAAAGAGAAAGAAGAGATGACGAGAGAGATAGAGTGAGAGGAAGGCGGAGCGCTTTGATTCTTGTTTCAATTTACATTGCATAACTGTGGGATGAGACTACTGACTGTGAGAGAGAAAATGAGCGAAGAGGGAGGGAGAGGGAGAGGAAAAGAGTCAATATAGGTGAAAAAGAGCGTAGAAATCGAGTTTTTTGGGGTGGACTACCCTACACTTGAGGAAGGTATAGTTCTCAGTGCGAACGTAGTCAAAGAAGAGGAGCAAATAAATGTTTGGGTGCGCACGGGCCGGCCGGCCGGACGGCAAAGAGGCGGAAGATCAAAGGACCGTGGGTGCAAGTGCGCTCCTTCGCGAAGACCCCCCACCACACAAATACTCAGCCATCTCGATGCAACGGCAACGGCAGACTGAGCACGAAAGGGGCGACGAAGAGGAAAGAAAAGGACGGACCCGGCAGTCGGAAGGCATGGGCGGACACATACATCGCTCATTCTTTGCCTATGAAAATCGTGCTAGCCGCAAAATGAATGAGCCGAATAAAATGAGATGCACACGTCGGATATAGGAATTAAAAAATTGCATCGCGTGCCGCGGCGGTGCGGCTCTTCCGGTGTAATTTTGAAATCAAATTGTGTTTTTGTTTGTCTTCGTTTTCTCTTTTTGTGTCTGTGTCTGTGTCTGAGGTGAGATGGCCCGAGTTAGAATAATAAAAATGGTGGTATGCACTTTTTTCATCGAAAAACAGCTGTCAAGCCAACCTGGATAAAAATAATAATAGTAATAGCTATCAAGGAGAGTCAGGGGAATCGGTCGATGAAAATGAATATTTTTACTTGCTTTGAGGTGGAAAACGGAAAACGCATCAGAAAGAGAAGTGATGGTCAGCGGAATCGTTATCGGAACGGATGAATCATCAAACAACGCGAAAAAATAATGAAAGATCTTTGTAATTTCCAATTTTGCGATGACTAGGTCGTTGAGAATGATCAATTTTTCAAGTCTGAACAATTCGTGGGAATTCTGCTGAGATTTTCAGCACAGTTTTTGAAAGTGAGAAAACTACTATGCACAAAGGGGCGAAAATGTGACATTCTCACGCCAATATGATTGATTGAATTGAAAAACAAAGCAATTGTGTCATGCATCTATTAGCTTCCTAATACTAGTCCCAAAATAAGCAGAAAATGTGCTCAAAGGAACTTTTCGAAAGTTGTCCCCATGTTTTCGAGCTGCCTAGATAACAACTTTTTTTATTTTCTACGGCGTCCATGTTCTTTGACACGCTATTCTCCATATTCTTCTTTTTTCGGTCAAAAGTTTCCCAGTCTTACACAGTAGGCATAAAACACAAGAAAAGAGGAAATTGAAGTGACTCATGTGGAGCGTTTTCTTAGAAAAATCATCATCGTATTGCGAAACAGAAAAAGGTGTGTTCAAGGTGTAGGCGAACAAACGTCGAGAAAAAGTGTCATGTATTAGCAAATAGACACGCTTTTGCGCCCTACAAATACACATTCAGATGATCATTCAAGAAAAGGGACCCAGAAAACTTTGAAAAATGAGACAAGAAGAGTAGGTTTACCACTTTTTCAATTGAGACAGGGGGGAGTAAGGCGCCGGCAGATTACATACACGTGCTGTCGTCTCTTTCTCCAACACTTTTTTCCCCGTGCGAGACTGAGAACTGGAAAGTGGCTGGCTGCCTGGCCGACCGACCGGCGCACAGGTCTCGGAAGGCAAAAAAAAACGAGAGAGAATTCGATAACAGTTTACGCGGAAGAGTAATGTCGAAAGGAGAAAGAGATAGAGAGAAAGAGCGAGAGTGAGAGTGAGAGTCGACCTCAACCCCCGCCCGAATCGGTGTTACGGTTACTGCGCACTCTTACTCGGATTCCTATCGGTTTGGTTCAGAATGACAAAGTTGAATTGAAGATGGGATGAATTAGTGAAATGGAAAGTTTTCAAGTGGAAATTGACACTTAGACTGTCTGTCAATCAGAACAAGTTGGGAGAGATAGGGTTTGATGGAAACTGCGAGGAATTTCAAGTCACCAGGTATAACAGGGATTTGAAAGACGAATTTCCTTGAAAAGCGCAGCTGATGCACTTCAGACACCTGAAAATATTCCAAATAAACACTCTTCACTATCACAAAGATCAATAACACAACCTTATCTTCAACCTGCCTCGCAACCAACCAACACTCTGCCGGATTGTTTATATTCAAAAACAAACGGCGGAAGCAAGCAAACGTCTTGCAGTAGTTTCCATCTACTACAATATGTTCGAATTAACTACACAGGGTACAATGTGGCCCGGCCAGTGTCCCCTTTTAACCCCGACTAGACCCTCGAATACCGAACCGGACTGATAAACGTCATTGTCACTCTCTATCACTCCACTTTTTCCCAACATTTTTGTGATTTCTTAGTGTTTAGTTTCCTGATGAGGCAAAATGGAAAAAACTTACAGATTTGCAACTGGCCGGGCCGGGCCACGCATTATTTCGCAAAAAATCGTTCAAATTGAAACCTTTGGTTCAAAAAAATCTTTGGCCCGGCCAGGAATCGTGAATCTATTACAGTTTTATTGAAAATCTTGTTATTTACGATTTACTTTCAGAAAATGGTCACTAAACGAACACAATTGGTATCGTCGATGCTATCAATAGATAGAATTGATGAGAATGTGTACAGGTAGACTAAATCTTATGAATCTAGGCCAAAAAGTTCTCATTGCGAAACTACAGATCGGAAGGCCCACACATTGGTGGAATTGTGGGAGAAAACCGTCTTTTTGGCGGTTACATCGCTGCTCAAGTGTACGATGCGGTCAGAAAATATAAGAAGAAAATGTGCGACGTCGACGAGAGATTGATTTTCAGCATGCATTACAACTTTTTGGCAGCAGGCAAGTTTCCGGTTGATTAGGTTGAAATTGTGATAGATCACGTGAAAATGTTCGACATTTCAAGAGATTTCCCATTCAGGAGACCCTTTGAAGCAAATTGACATAAAAATAAAGCGACTCTCGGACGTGTACGCCGTCGACATCTACCACGAAAACAAGAATATCGGATTGGCACATGTGAAAGTAGGATTTGTCCCTCCCTCAATCCTCCCTTTCTCATTTCTGCTAGTGTAGGTGGATAAGAAGCTGATGGAAAGTCCACCGTATCCGGAAGGAGTCCCTGCACTCACAAGTATTCCGCATATGGACAAATTGCTTCAAAATATACCAGTCGGAACATTGCGGCAAAGATATACGAGTTTGTTCAAGAACGTGGTGTTCGAGATTCGACCGCAACATATTGTCACAAGTCCAGGTCCAGGAGACTATCGGGTCATTTACTATGCTCGACTTGCTCCGGATTGTATTGGTAAGGATTAAATGCATGTATACTTGAAAAAAGTTGAACATTTTCAGATGTGGTCAATGAAGACGGAGGAATGGTGGCAGTTGTGGCTCTTTCTGACTTTTTTGTGATGCAATCAACGGGCAACGCGTTACTGGAATCTGGATTCCGTATGGGAACGGGTGCTTCACTTCATCACAAGATATACTTCCATCAGGAACGTGTGGAGGTAAGGGGGAAAGGGAGGAAGTGATGAAAGATGAGAATTACACACTGACTGCGAGAGGAACGCGAAAAACTTTGCCATACTCTTTTTTCATTTTTTTTAAAGAAAAAAATGTTCAAAGAAGCATTCGGGGTAGCTAAATCTATTGCCCGGCCCAAAATTTTGCAAGCCTGGTTCACTTTGTTCAAAAAATCCAAAGTACTACGGCATATGTAGAAAGATTGAAGTACTCTTTATGTTTTCAGTCAACAGTAACAAATTTTGCACTGAATTCAAAGTTAATTCAAAACTAGTCGACATTACACACAAAATGTAAAGTGATACGTCTATTTTCATCTGCAAAAACAGCAAACTTTCTGATCATAAACACTTTTTACTTGCAGGCTATCCAATGGTTCCTCGTGGAGACGCGAACTGAAATCGCCACTGGAAACAAGGCGAAAATCTTTGGTGCCGTGTTTGATAGCAACAAAAACTGTGTGGTTTCCTTTATTCAAGAAGCTTACGTTGTTCCGAAGGAACTCAACCCCAATGCTAAATTGTAACAAACTATTGCCTTCAATATTCACTTTTTCCTGATAAAACATTTGTTTTCTTATCACAAATTTCATCCGCACGTCTTATTATTGCCATCCATACATTCATACACGGAAAATATCTGACAGTTCTCTGAGTGCGTCTGCCTCTCGCTCTCTTCTCCATCGCGGCCCTCGTGGTTTGTGTACCGCTGCACGAGAATCGCGTCAAGAGGCGTTGCTGACGCATTTCTCATCGACGAGCGGTTCACTTGGTGTGCCGCCGTCGTTTTAATGTTGCTTTCTGCACGTTTACCCGTGTTTATCAAGTTTGTCCCTCGTTTTTTACTATTATCACGGTTCTTACTGCACTTTTCTTTATCTTTTTGAGTCGAAACCTTGAATTTTAAAGGACTTGTCGGAAAATATTGTGTGTTTTCAGGGAGGATGCTTCGAGCTGCCAGCGCCGGCCTCCGCAACGCGGTCGCTACCCGCTCCGTTTCACTTTCAGCTGTTAATCACAGGTGAGATGCTTTCAGATGAACACTCTAAGAGCCCTCCGAAACATATCAATCAGTCGGAATCAATACACATTCCCAATGATTTTGGGGCAATTCACCAGAATCGATTGATTTCTACCAGTTATCGGTGCAAAACTGCTGCCTAGTTCATTATCAAAGCACATGGGTAGTGATAACTGACGAAGTTTGTTCAGCGCATTGTCAATAGTCGAATTTGGTCACGTTTCGCCTGGAAACTGAAGTTGGCAGGCTCACGAAAGCTTCTCTAACCACACTTTGCACGTTTCACTTTTTCAGCGATGTCAAGCGCTCGGATATCGCTCAGTACAAGGTCGTCGACCATGCTTACGATGCCGTCGTTGTCGGAGCCGGAGGTGCTGGACTCCGTGCCGCTATGGGACTCTCCGAGGGAGGACTCAAGACTGCCGTTATCACCAAGCTCTTCCCGACCAGATCTCATACCGTTGCCGCTCAGGGAGGTTAGGAACTTGTTATGCTTTGAGGATTCCTTGGAACTAGTGATTTTTCAGGAATCAACGCCGCCCTCGGAAACATGAACCCAGATAACTGGCGCTGGCACTTTTACGACACCGTCAAGGGATCCGATTGGCTCGGAGACCAGGACGCCATCCACTACATGACCCGTGAAGCTGAGCGCGCCGTCATTGAGCTCGAAAACTACGGAATGCCATTCTCGCGTACCACCGATGGAAAGATCTACCAGCGTGCTTTCGGAGGACAGTCGAACGATTTCGGACGTGGTGGACAGGCCCACAGGTCAGTTAGAGAGGGTTTCAGCTTGGAATGATCTAGACGAACTGCAATATTCTGTTCCGTTGGCTTAGGTGGCTAGTGCGAGTCGCCGAGTCGACCACCAGAGCTGGTCATCTGTTTGGTCACCACTAGTGTGAGGTCGCAGATTCGTATCCGCTTAGTGTGTTCCATAAAAGGACACTGAAAAGATGAGTAACTGCAACAGAAAAAGATCTCATCATGGGTTGATCTCCTAGTCTTTGCTAGTCCACAAAGAACGCTTTTCCTCTCATGTCTACCCAACAGTCCAAATCCATATTTTTTAGAACTTGCTGTGTCGCCGATCGTACCGGACACTCGCTTCTTCACACCCTCTACGGAGCTTCTCTCCAATACAACTGCAACTACTTTGTCGAGTACTTTGCCCTCGACTTGATCATGGAAAATGGAGCGTGTGTCGGAGTCATTGCCATCGATCTCGAAGATGGAACAATCCATCGCTTCCGCTCCAAGAACACCGTGCTCGCCACTGGGGGATACGGACGTGCCTTCTTCTCGTGTACTTCCGCCCACACCTGTACTGGAGACGGTTAGTTTGCACTGGTTCAACTTTCATTATTTGAAATTTTCAGGAACCGCGTTGACCGCTCGTGCTGGAATCAACAACTCCGACATGGAGTTCGTTCAGTTCCACCCGACCGGAATCTACGGAGCCGGATGCCTTATCACCGAGGGATCTCGCGGAGAAGGAGGATTCCTGGTCAACTCTGCTGGAGAGCGATTCATGGAGCGCTATGCTCCAGTCGCCAAGGATCTCGCCTCCCGTGACGTCGTCTCGCGCTCGATGACCATTGAAATCATGGAGGGACGTGGTGTCGGACCAGAAAAGGACCACATCTACCTTCAGCTCCACCATCTGCCAGCCGACCAGCTCCAGCAGAGACTTCCAGGAATCTCGGAGACCGCCATGATCTTCTCTGGAGTCGATGTTACCAAGGAGCCAATCCCGGTCATCCCAACTGTTCACTACAACATGGGTGGAGTTCCAACCAATTACAAGGGACAAGTGCTCAACTACTCTTCGGAGAAGGGAGACCAGGTTGTGCCAGGACTCTACGCCGCCGGAGAGTGCGGAGCTCACTCTGTCCACGGTGCCAACAGACTTGGAGCCAACTCACTTCTCGATCTGGTCATCTTCGGAAGAGCCTGCGCCATCAAGTAAGATTTATCGAAAACGTGAATGAGAATCAATTGCCGTGTATTTCAGCATCCTCAAGAACACCAGCCCAGGTGTTGGAGTTCCAGAGCTGCCAAAGAACGCCGGAGAGGCTTCCGTCGCCAACCTCGACAAACTTCGCTTCAACAACGGAGACATCTCCACCGCCGAACTCCGTTTGACGATGCAGAAGACCATGCAGAAGCACGCCGCCGTCTTCCGTCGCGGAGACATCCTTCAGGAGGGTGTCAAGCTCCTCTCCGGATTGTACAAGGACCAGGCTCGTCTGAAGGTCGCCGACAAAGGACTCGTCTGGAACTCGGATCTTATTGAGACCCTCGAGCTTCAGAACTTGCTCATCAACGCCACGCAGACTATTGTGGCCGCTGAGAACAGAAAGGTCAGTGATTAGTGAGCCATCAATATGTATAAAACCTTCGTCAACTCATTCAACTTTCAGGAATCGCGTGGAGCGCACGCCCGTGACGATTTCCCTGACAGACTCGACGAGCTCGACTACAGCAAGCCATTGGAGGGACAGACAAAGAAGGAGTTCAAGGATCACTGGCGCAAGCACTCGATCATCCGCTCGAACGTCGAAACCGGAGAAGTGACGCTCGACTACCGCCCGGTCATCGACACCACTCTCGACAAGAACGAGACTGACTGGGTTCCACCAAAGGTCCGCTCGTATTAAACGCTCTCTTTTGTTTCTTACCGATGAATTCCTGTATAGTTTTCCTTCTCCCTTCATCACATTATGCACTGTCAGCTGGCCCACCATCCCCCCAAACCTTCTCCTCAACGATGTGAAGTATCCTCTCATTTTTTTTTTGTAGAAAGTAGTTTGTTGAATACGTTTAAATAAAGTATTTGAGCTATGAATAGGGCAAATGAGAGTTTTTCTCTCGGATTCTGTAATTTTTGTGTTTTTGGAAGATTGATGTGTGACAGATGTTTTTTAAACTTTTCAAGTTTATTATTCACAGAATCCATGGTATTTGACAAGATAATGAGCAGACAAAAGTGAGATCTCAGTCATTCCTCGCCTTTTCACTCGTCCTCAGTGGTACCTTCCATGATCACGCGGATGGATGACGTTATCCTCGTTTTCAGTGCTATCTCCCTGTGCCTCCGTACTGAGTCCCAGCTCACTATTCTCTCCGTCTTCAGTTCGCGGTCTTTGGTTCTCAATGTTTATTCCCATTTCACGCAGACGACGGGCCTCCTGCTCGGCGGCCACTTCTTCCGGAGTGGGAAAGATCTGTTAAAGAAACCCGTATTAACTTTATGAGTGCGCTCCAATTCACATACGTAAGTGTCCTCAGTCGGATGAATCAGCAGGTAGCGAGGGGCCCTGTGCGACAGGTAATATGGCAGGATAATAAAGTTCAATCGGAACAAGTGATTGGGCCAATAGTAGAGAGCCTGCACGGCCAGCTTGATGAACTCCAGATCGGATGACGGAAAACTATAATTAGTTTTGTTTCTGATAAAAATAACTGTTTTGTGTTCATTCATACTTTCCAGCGTTGAGAGCATTCTCGATGTAAGCCCGAACTGGCTGGATACGGTCGCCGACAGTTCTTCTCGCATTATCGCACCATTCGTACAATCTTTGTTGCTGTAAAGCAAATTGATAATCTGTTGTATGGAAAACTAACTTCAATCAACAAAACATTCATTCGTTCCACTCGAACCTCGTCCACAACTTGTGGAATAGCGAGCTCATCCGGGTCTACCGGCGGAGTTCCTGGGTATCCCGTGAAAATTGTCATTCTATAAATGAATTCTATTATACACTTTGCCGGAATATGTAACTTGACGTCTTTATCCAGAGCCGTTCTTACACGAAAGAATGCTATTCGAAATGGCCTTGTGCTCTGAAGAGCATTGCTTCAATCTGTGATAATACAATAGGAAATGAACATCTTTTCATAAAATACATTAGTCATCGCGGGAGGTATCTCTTCCGGGGAGCGCGTTTTCATTATTTCGTCTCGGGACCAATAATCACGCCTCTCGAGAAGTAGGCTTGGTGTTTCGCCACAATTTGACTGCCTCATCGATTGGTATGACAGATGGGAGAAGTGGCGAGTGGACGGAAAGTTTGAAAATGAAACAGAAGATAATGTAATTACAAAACAATTGTTACACAATTCATATTCATTTAATTGATATTCAGCATTTTTACAGATTGTTATAGAGAACGTTGCACCCACTTGCCTCGAATTCCTGAGTCTTGGCTTGAGTGGTGGCAAGGTAGCATCTGAAAAAAACACGGAGGAACTGGAAATCGCTCGATGGCTGAATAGAACCCATGAAATAACCTACTATTTCAGCTGTTGAACCAGAATAAAATTGATGGAAATTGCACCCTAGTTTTTATCTTTATTCTGGGCTGGGTCTCAGTTGCATTCCATTGAGGTTCAATTTTCAAATCAACCTTTTGGACATTTTTTGATGTTATTGTAGAAACGTTTAATAATCGAAAACTCATATAGTTTATGAATATGTGGGAGGATAATGGTTTCAACAACGTGCGACTACATTAGTTAACTTCATAATAGCTCTTGCTCACAGCTGGATATTTATTTATTGCGGGGGAGCATCCATTATTGTAAAGTTTTTTGTGAACTTCCAAACGTATCCAGAAGATCAATTTGAAATCCCGACTACAATAGTTTCCAGCTGTGAACTGGCGCAGTATAAAACATGAGCCGCAGCAGCAGTTACCATCAGTCTTCTCTGCTTCAACAACTAAAATGGTAAGTTATTTTTTCCAGGGTTTCGCCTGATATTAGTTTCCAGTTCCTCCGTGTCCTCATCCTCGTCTCCGTCTGCCTCGTCTCCGGTGCCATCGGACAAATCACCATGGCCGCCTGCCAGGCATACTGTGCCTCTGTGAACGGAGGAGCTTCCTACGACAACTGCTCTCCATGGATCAGCTTTGCCACTCAGGAGAACAAGACCTGCTACAACTTGTGCGTCCATAACTGCGCCGCCGTCTACGATGGATCCTGCATCACCAGCAACAAATTCAGGTGAGGAATTCTCAGATCTTCGCAAGGAATATCACAAAACTGTTTCAGATGCTGCCTCGCCACCACTCCAGCCAAGAAACAGGAATTCAAGATGAGCGGATGCAACGTTCTCTACAACAATCTGTAAACATTTACCAGTTTCAAATAAAGTCATAACTCTCTGTGTCATCCTGTTTGTCCTCTCACTGACGGATTTTCCTATATCTAGTGCATAACTTGGAGAATGCTTCTACTGTTGCAAAGACATTTCTCGTAACATCTTTTTAAAAGGCACATTCGACATGCCCAATAACTGAACAGCTCCAGTCGCTCCGAATCAACTGAAATTGATTTTGGATTGAGATGAATAGGTTATTGTAATTTTCATGATTTATTTATTGGTAGTGAAAATTGTAATGAGAATAACGGATTTGCAGAAAAGACGGCGGTTGAGTATAGTGCACAAGGTTACAAGGAGAACGCGAATGTTGGTGATGAGGAGCAGGAGAATGGCGATGACGACAATATCAGAAAGGGGGAAACTTTCAGGACAACCTTCCGAGCCTTTTTCAGGGCTCTCTCAGACCAGATAAGATAAGATACCGTAAAAACTGTATTATAACGGCATGCCGTTATATTTTTCGAAGGATGTCTGGGGGTGTCGTTATATTACATGTGCTGCAAGAAAATGAAGCACAACTGAAGAAATTCTGCGACATGAATCGTTCTCAAATGAGACACTTCGCTCTCCTCTTGTACCTCTTTGCCAGCACCTTCGAGAAGGTTTAGAGTGTGACCAAACTCGTCGAGTTCTTTCTTTGGGTGTGACGTACAAAGGTCATCAGCGTTCACTTTTCTCCGTGTAGGTGTAACCACTTCCCCTCTCTTCTTTTTCTTTAATTCCTTGAAGTGGTAAAGTGTCTCTCATAAAGATGCCGCGGAAATTCTTGATTTTCAACTCATTGACGAGCTCTTCGAGATCAAGATTGCTTAATGGCTTCAGGTCTTTTCGGAGACCAAAAATAGTCATTTAATAAAAAACAAAACTTCAAAACTCGTGTGATGTGTCTTATTTTCCACTTCTTTCACGCAAATCAAAATAATAAGTAAAACAAAAAAAGGCAAAAACTTTTCACAGCTCCCGGAGTCGAACCCACAAGCCTCAGCTTTCGGGGTAACCGACATACCGACTGCGCCATGGGAGCCGCTTCTTGCCTTGGAGTGGTTCTCGCCTATATACTCAGCGCGCAGAGACACACAGACATAGGGTGAGGGTGAGAGAGAGAGACAGCCAGGCAGTGAGGGGTGTGAGAGAGCGAAGAGAACGCGAGCGACAGCCAGACGGTGAGAGAGTGTGTGTTGTGTTGCCCTCTTCCCCTCACTCATACCTTACTGATCTACCTTCCTTGTTCTTTCTTGATATGGGTTCAAAATCGGGAAGTCCTCAATAGCGGGATAGCTCAGTCGGTAAGAGACTTGCCTGGGGATCGGAAGGTCCTTGGTTCGAGTCCGCCCAATGATGATTAAAACGACATGCTGATAAGAACTATGATATAAAAACGGAATCTGGGGGCTTCAATTTTTGTCGCAAAACGAAATTTATTAAATTTTCAAATGGAAAGCATTACAAATTGGCCAAGAAAGTCTAGCGCAATATTTCGACCATTTCGACCATCCATTTCGACCACATTTTTGAAGTAGCGTATTTCGACCTTTTTACCATTTTTTGAAAATTGTTTAAAATGACATATTTTTGAAGAGTTAAGACACAAAATCAATGAAAATAAGCCTTAAAATGGCTCAAATGTGTAAAAATGAGGATGGGCGAAAAGGTGCGTTCGAACGGCAAATTATCTATTATTATTACAGGGTGCCGTTCTATTTTTCGGAATTGAGTTTCACCTTTTTTACAGAAAATTATCTGAAATTTTTCTGAAATTGAAACAACTATAGTTCTTTCAGACAAGTCAGAAAATTTGAATTGATAGTAAAAAAAACATAATTAAAAACAAATTTCAAAGAAAAAACTGTTGGGTACCGCGCGGTGTTTGCACAGCGTTTGCATACCGTAACTCATTCGCAAAAAAAAATGTTCGGAAGAAAAACTGCTTCTGAATTTTCCGCTTCTAAATAGATGTCTGGGGGGTGCCGTTATAATACAGGTGCCGTTCTATTACAGGGTGCCGTTATATTTTTTGAAGGATAGCTAAGGGTGCCGTTCTATTACAGGTGCCGTTAAAATACAGTTTTTACGGTAATAGACCTTACCAGATAAGATAAAAAGATTGAGATAAGATAAAGACAGTTTGCCAAGTTATTCAACAGAAATCAATACTCTTCTTGAGTGCCGAACGTCAATTTGAAAGGCGCAGCCAGATAAGATAAGATAATAGACCTTACCAGATAAGATAAAAGGATTATCTTATCTGGTAAGGTCTGAAAGAGTCCTGATAAAGGCTCGGAAGGTTGTCCTGAAAAAGGATTATCTTCCCTCGTCTCCAGTGAAACCTCCATGAACCTCCGTATTGAGTCCCAGCCTCTGTTGCTAGCCCCTTGCGATCCAGTTTACATTCTCCGAACAGGATTGGGACGCTGAAATCCGTAATGCAGGACTCTAGGGCACGGTCCGGTATTGGTTAGCAGAAAAAAACTACACAATTCCCATATCACGGAGACGACAATATTTCGTCTCGAGAGCAATAATAAAGCCTGTCGAAGGCGAGGCTTGGCGTTTGCAATGTTTTAGCGGGTTAATCGATTGGCATGACAGATCGGAGAACTGGTGTGTAAACGAGTTTATAGGTAATGACGCCAAAGGTACAGGAAAAACAAAAAAAGAACACTAGTTCGATTATTCAGCTTTATTTAGGCAATGCGCAGATTTATTACAGATTGTTGTAAAGAGTATTGCATCCGCTCATCTTGAATTCCTGTTTCTTGGCTGGAGTAGTGGCGAGGCAGCATCTGAAAAGGAACAATGAAGTTCGGCACAACGAATCTCTAAATTATCACCTGAAGTTGTTATCGGTGATGCAGGATCCATCGTAGACGGCGGCGCAGTTATGGACGCACAAGTTGTAGCAGGTCTTGTTCTCCTGAGTGGCAAAGCTGATCCATGGAGAGCAGTTGTCGTAGGAAGCTCCTCCGTTCACAGAGGCACAGTATGCCTGGCAGGCGGCCATGGTGATTTGTCCGATGGCACCGGAGACAAGGCAGATGGAGACGAGGATGAGGACACGAAGGAACTGGGAATTATTGAATGAATTTTCAGGAAAAAAATAGACAAACTAACCATTATTGGTGAGTCAGAAGGATACTGATGATTCTACCGCTGTTGAGTTCCATTTTATAAGCTCTTTTTTCAATTAAACTATGTTCACAGCTGGAAGTTCACACAGAGCTTTTTGAGTGGGAACATCCGATATTGAAACATTTTAATGAAAAAAGAAAATCAAAAAAGATCAAGCTCAAAACCAGATCACAATGAAGTCCTGCTGTGAGCCATTCAAGTATAAAAGTCTAGTCACAGAAGCAGCTACCATCAGTCTTCTCTGCTTCAACAGCTAAAATGGTAAGTTCTTCTATTTTCAGGATTCGACTAATCACTAAATTTCAGTTCCTCCGTGTCCTCATCCTCGTCTCCGTCTGCCTCGTCTCCGGTGCCATCGGACAAATCACCATGGCCGCCTGCCAGGCATACTGTGCCTCTGTGAACGGAGGAGCTTCCTACGACAACTGCTCTCCATGGATCAGCTTTGCCACTCAGGAGAACAAGACCTGCTACAACTTGTGCGTCCATAACTGCGCCGCCGTCTACGATGGATCCTGCATCACCGATAACAACTTCAGGTGATAATTTTAGAGATTCGTTGTGCCGAACTTCATTGTTCCTTTTCAGATGCTGCCTCGCCACTACTCCAGCCAAGAAACAGGAATTCAAGATGAGCGGATGCAATACTCTTTACAACAATCTGTAATAAATCTGCGCACTGCCTAAATAAAGCTGAATAATCGAACTAGTGTTCTTTTTCTGTTTTTTCTGTACTTTTGGCGCCATTACCTATGGACTCGTTTACACACCAGTTCTCCGATCTGTCATGCCAATCGATAAACCCGCTAAAACCTGCATTACGGATTCTAGCGTCCCAATCCTGTTCGGAGAATGTACATTGAATCGCAAGGGGCTAGCAACAGAGACGAAGACAACGGAATTCAATTGCATGAGCAGGCAATCAATCAGATTCGTAGGAAGGATCCACTGGAGGCAAGGAGAACATCAGTGGTCCGCGCGATCTGGGACTCAATACGGAGGTTCATGGAGGTTTCACTGGAGACGAGGGATAGAGAGAAAACGATAAGCAATTGCTTTTTTATCTTTACTCTCCCAGTTATCAAAAATTGCAATTTTTGATCATCATATGATTACGTTTATTACTTCTTAAATTCAATAAATTCTGTAAACAATAAGAACAGAAACGCACATTACAGATCAGTGTTCATGTCACAACTAAATGGTAAGGGGAAGGTTTGGTGTGTGACCGGGCGGTAGTCGAGCAAAATCATTCGAATGTGACGATCGAAGGAGTCGTCGCGTGGAGAGGAGTCTAAGCCTCTCGTTGAGTACGTCCAGAAACCACAGGCGTGTGCTCCACGGGTTCCTGAAAGTTGATTTATATGATAATAACTTGTTGTTGTGAATTCACGTTTTGTCTAACAGACAAACCACAGAATAAAATGTCAACGATTATAACGATCTCCGGCAAGATTGACCAGGAATTTTTCTTCTCAGCGGGATGCCTCGGTGTCGGAAGCCGGACGGAAGCCCATCGGGTGAATCTGAACGAGATCCATATACATAGGAGTTGCTTATTTCAGCACGGGCGGGTAAAGCGGTTCCTGAAAATTTGTAAAATCTAGATGACATTCATTTCAGTGTAAACTAACCGTGTCCAGTACAGGTGTGGGCGGAATAACATACACAGTAAGTGCAGTGCCTGGTGCTTACTAACGAGTTCCCGATTTTCAGTGGCTAACTCTCTAGCACGTACATAGTTCTTCTTGTTGGTTTCCAGCGTCAGAAGCGGCAGTTGACGTCGATTTTTGACCAGCGTGACGACCGCATTCGGGAATACTGTAAAAGAACTTTCAAAAAAGGCTATTGTGCAAGGCGTAATTTCAAGTCATCCGGCCACCGGCCTGGGACCGCATCGTTTGTAATTTAAAGAAACACGGCACATTCTGATCGTCCAGCCTTAAGAGTTTCAGGGTTTCGAATTTGAACACTTTGAACACTTGAACACTTTTTCGCTTTCCACAAAATCGTCATAAGAATCGCACATAAATTTTCGGTTTATCACAGTGTTTATGCATTCCGGTCACGTAGCCCAAACATCTCGACCATTTTTCTTGTATAAAAGGAGCGCTGGCTGCTCGGAAGTTACAGCAGCAAAGCAACTGAGAAAGTAAGTTACCTTGGTCTTCTCGCAAGGGAAAAAGTTATATTTTCAGCTTCCTGCCTACAATGATCAACCAATCGACCGCTTATCACGGAGGGGATCCAGATCCTGAGCCGTACGTTCCGACACCAATTCCCAAGTAATTGGCTCGGCCGCTGAATAAATCATTCCAAAAATGCACTTCTGAAACACAAAAAGAACACATTTTCTGGCCGTCACTCCCATTCGAGAACTGACCTTCGCCATCTTTTTCTTGTTGTTGAATCACAGAAGACGGAACATTTTTCCACGTGTTCCTGAGAATCGATGAACTTATTTTCTTTCGGCTCACTCGGATTGTCGTCGTCTTTTTTTCGTTCTTGATAGCTGTCGTGTCCGCGTTTCATTCCGATTTGAAAGTGATTGCAATCTCTAGACATATTTTTAGTGAGGTGGTCATTCCAGTGAGTTCGAGAAGCAGAATAGGACACCGTGTGAACTTACACAGTTGGTCTGGCCAAGAAGAAGGAATACAGTTGAGAAATAGCGTCCGGGGTAGGGGAATAGAGAACAAGAGCAAGGTTTGTTGTTCATTCCAGGCAGTACCATGAAAGAAAAACCGGTTGCACCGAAGGGGAGCGTGGCTGCTCTGTCCGCTTTCTTGAGTAGAAATTTGAAACAGCCGAAATTGCCATCGAATTTTTTTGAAGGAGCTGCTCGGATCACTGAAGAAATGAACACGTCTGCCAAGACTGAAGACGAGAAGGGTTCAGTTTTCCCCACGAAACTTGCTCTGACGGTTCCGAAGAAAGATTGGAAAGAGTCGGCAGACATGCTCAGTCCGATGGAAGGAGGCAAGGAGGGAGGTCGAGACGTTCTGAAATTGTTCGATTTCGAGTCGAGAAAGAACGAACTCGCTCTTCGGCTTGGAGGAATGTCCCTGAACACGAACCCCCGTCCGATGAACGGAAACCAAGAAGAGACCATTCGTCCGATGGAGGGAGTTTTAGTTTGTCTTAGTCTTAACTTCGCAGAAAAACTAAAAATTATATCACCCAAAACTTTCAGGAAGACGACTTTGTTGATGATGCAGAGGATTATCTGTATGGAGGTTTCGGGAGTTCTGATAACGTATAACATGATTCTCGCAAAAAGAAATAGTGAATTCTGCTTAGACGACTCACCTTCTCCCCTCTCTGTTTCCTCAATTGGATAATGCTAATCTGTTTAATAAATGCCTAGTACTCTCTGTGAAACGATGGAAAGCAAGATTTACTGAGTACAAAGCTCACGAAAGCAACTAGAGTTGCCACTGCCAAGGTACTAAGTGATCTCTGAGGCTTGAAAGCCTTTTTTGATGATTAGCGATTTAGGTTGCGTGCGTCTCGCTTAAGACAATTTTGAAATAGTATAAAGATTATAAAAATGAACTTTTATTCAACCTTTGAAAACTTTCACAGATTGTACAGATTGTTGTAGAGTAGAAGACTACACAATTCCCATATCACGGAGACGACATTACTTTGTGTCGAGACCAATAATAAAGCCTGTCGAAGGCGAGGCTTGGCGTTTCGCAATGTTTTAGCGGGTTTATCAATTGGCTTGACAGATCGGAGAACTGGTGTGTAAACGAGTCCCTAGGTAATGGCGCCAAAGGTACAAGAAAAACAAAAAAAGAACGTTAGTTCGATTGTTCAGCTTTATGTAGGCAATGCGCAGATTTATTACAGATTGTTGTAAAGAGTATTGCATCCGCTCATCTTGAATTCCTGTTTCTTGGCTGGAGTAGTGGCGAGGCAGCATCTGAAAAGGAACAATGAAGTTCGGCACAACGAATCTCTAAAATTATCACCTGAAGTTGTTATCGGTGATGCAGGATCCATCGTAGACGGCGGCGCAGTTATGGACGCACAAGTTGTAGCAGGTCTTGTTCTCCTGAGTGGCAAAGCTGATCCATGGAGAGCAGTTGTCGTAGGAAGCTCCTCCGTTCACAGAGGCGCAGTATGCCTGGCAGGCGGCCATGGTGATTTGTCCGATGGCACCGGAGACAAGGCAGATGGAGACGAGGATGAGGACACGAAGGAACTGAAAATCAGTGTTTAGACATAGTCGGAGAACAGGGAGACTCACCATTTCCAGTAAGTGATTCAGGAGTGAACTGATGCTGAATGTTAATTTTGCTCCATTTTTATACCAAAAAAAAAACCATTGTACTGAGGTTCCGAACTTGATCTTCTTTGTCAGTCATTTTTTTCAATAAAGGTTTCCAGAATTAAAATTGAATGGCTTCCCGCAGAGTAGGATGCTTTTTGTCTGGTTCCCAATCTAGATCAGTTACAAAGAGGATACAGAGGTGCTTTCTTGTGTACTTCAGGAGTCACACCTGTACCGGAGACGGTTAATTTACACTGAATCCAATTTGATTCAGATTTTGCAAATTTTCAGGAGTTTCTTTGACCGCTCTCGCCGAAATCAACAACACCGACGTGGAGTTTGTTCAGTTGCACCCTAAGTGAATGTTTGGTCGGATGCTGGATGTCATTTCACCGAGCGATCCCCTTGAGACGGAGGATTCTTGACCAATTCTGTCGGGGACCGTTGTAATCCAGTCATCAGACATATGGTCATGGCAAGAAGTTGAGCAAGAAGTTTCCGGAGAGTCCACTCTGATCACGGAGCCAACAGACTTGCAGCCAACTCACTTTTGTATCTAGTCCTCTTCGGATAGACCTGCGCCATCGAGTAAGATTCAATGATAACGTAAAAAATGAATTTCAATACTTGTTCATTTCAGCATTTGGAGTATCAGAGCTGCCAATGAACGGTGGATAGACATCCGTGGCCAACCTCGACAAACTTTGCTTTAACAACGGAGACATCTCCACCGCCGAACTCCGGTGATCATGCAGAAGCGGCTTACAGAGCCTATTACCGGAGCGTGCCTTCTTCTCGTGCACTTCCGCCTAAACTTTTACTGGAGAGGAAAAGATTACACTAAATTAAATGCGATCTCGATCGTGCAAGTGTTCAGTAACCGCCTCGATCGCTTGTGCTGGAATAAACAACAAACCTATTATAGGGGCACCGCACAGAAATGGCGCTCTGTTGAGAAACTCTTTTTGCAGTGCAAATTGAGCGACCTCGGGGCCGAGTTTGAAAAGTTAGGCCACGTTTTTAGTGGAAAATTACTTCGCGGCCTAGAAATTCTGCCAGATTGCGAACAGCGCGCCCTTTCTATCCGGTGCCCCTATAACAGCTCTTGTTCTCTATTCCCCTATCCCGGACGCTATTTCTCAACTGTGTTCCTTCTTCTTGGCCAGATGTTCGGAATTTTCACCTAACCGTGAGTTTTTTCATCTTCAAGTAAGTTATATCTTATCGTTTTTCAGATTAGCTTTCTTTTTTTTTGCAAAAATGCAGCTCCGCTGATCACCAGATGCAACACTCGTGGTCACTGAATGGAAGAATCGGCTCAATGACCCGTTTGTTCTATATAGTGTATCCGAGTGAGCCGAAAGAAAATAAGTTCATCGATTCTCAGGAACACGTGGAAGAATGTTCCGTCTTCTGTGATTCAACAACAAGAATAAGATGACGAAGATTAGTTCTCGAATGGGAGTGACGGCCAGAAAATGTGTTCTTTTTGTGTTTCAGAAGTGCATTTTTGGAATGATTTATTCAGTGGCCGATCCAATTACTTGGGAATTGGTGTCGGAACGTACGGCTCAGGATCTGGATCCCCTCCGTGATAAGCGGTCGATTGGTTAATCATTGTAGGCAGGAAGCTGAAAATATAACTTTTTCCCTTGCGAGAAGACCAAGGTAACTTACTTTCTCAGTTGCTTTGCTGCTGTAACTTCCGAGCAGCCAGCGCTCCTTTTATACAAGAAAAATGGTCGAGATGTTTAGGCTACGTGACCGGAATGCATAAACACTGTGATAAACCGAAAATTTATGTGCGATTCTTATGGCGATTTTGCGGAAAGCGAAAGAGTGTTCAAGTGTTCAAAGTGTTCAAATTCGAAACCCTGAAACTCTTAAGGCTGGACGATCAGAATGTGCCGTGTTTCTTTAAATTACAAACGATGCGGTCCCAGGCCGGTGGCCGGAGGACTTGAAATTACGCCTTGCACAATAGCCTTTTTTGAAAGTTCTTTTACAGTATTCTGCAGGCAGCACCATGAAAGAAAAACCGGTTGCCCCGTAGGGGAACGTGGCTGCTCTGTCCGCACTCTTGAGTAGAAGTTTGAAAACGCCGAAGTGCCATTAAAGTTTTCTGAAGGAACTGAAGAAATGAACAGGTCTGCCAAGACTGAAGACGAGAAGAGTTCTGTTTTCCCTAAAAAACTTGCTCCGATGGCTTCGAAGAAAGATTGGAAAGAGTCGGCAGACATGCTTAGTAGAGGAAGGAGGCAACGGGGGAGGTCGAGACGCTCTAAAATCGTTCGATTTCGAGTCGAGAAAGAACGAACTCGCTCTTCGGCTTGGAGGAATGTCCCTGAACACGAACCCCCGTCCGATGGAGGGAGTCCAGGAGAGAGGACACGGAAACGAAGTCGCATCGTTCAATTTTGAAGAAAAACGTCAGCAACTAAATTGGAAACTCAATCTGGTATCTCAAGTCCCGACGTTGCTCATGAATCGTGGAGAAAATGGAGCGCTAAATGTGACGAATCCGAGAGAGGTGAGTTTCTTGAGCAACATTTTTAGTTTGTCTTTGTCTTAACTTTGCAGAAAAACTAAAAGCTATCACCCAAAACTTTCAGGAAGACGACTTTGTTGATGATGCAGAGGATTATCTGTATGGAGGTTTCGGGAGTTCTTAAAACGTGCAGCATGATTCTCGCAAAACGAAACAGTGAATCCTGCTTTGCGGACTCACTTCTCCCCCACTTTTGTTTCTTTTTATTAATTAATTTAATAGTTTTTCTATCTTCTTCCTTCTTCATATCCCTTCTTCATTTATCATGTCTTCTCTAGTTCATGTCAAAACAAAAATAACTGAAGACCGAACCCTTGAACTCTCTGTTTCCTCAATTGGATAATGATAATCTGTTTAATAAATGCTTCGTACTCTCTGGGCAACGATGGAAAGCAAGATTTACTGAGTACAAAACTCACGAAAACAGCTAGAGTTGCCACTGCCAAAGTACTTTCAGATGCGCCAGAAACTGGCACTGGACTGCTGGTCCGACTTGAAAAGCAATCTCAGTAACAGTGACTGGTCCTTACTAACGAGTTCCCGATTGTAAAAGAACTTTCAAAAAAGACTATTGTGCAAGGCGTAATTTCAAGTCCTCCGGCCACCGGTCTGGGACCGCATTGTTTGTAATTTAAAGAAACACGGCACATTCTGATGTTTATGCATTCCGGTCACGTAGCCCAAACATCTCGACCATTTTTCTTGTATAAAAGGAGCGCTGGCTGCTCGGAAGTTACAGCAGCAAAGCAACTGAGAAAGTAAGTTACCTTGGTCTTCTCGCAAGGGAAAAAGTTATATTTTCAGCTTCCTGCCTACAATGATCAACCAATCGACCGCTTATCACGGAGGGGATCCAGATCCTGAGCCGTACGTTCCGACACCAATTCCCAAGTAATTGGATCGGCCGCTGAATAAATCATTCCAAAAATGCACTTCTGAAACACAAAAAAAACACATTTTCTGGCCGTCACTCCCATTCGAGAACTAACCTTTGCCATCTTTTTCTTGTTGTTGAATCACAGAAGACGGAACATTCTTCCACGTGTTCCTGAGAATCGATGAACTTATTTTCTTGCGGCTCACTCGGATTGTCGTCGTCTTCTTTTTCGTTCTTGATAGCTGTCGTGTCCACGTTTCATTCCGATTTGAAAGATATTGCAATCTCTAGACATATTTTTAGTGAGGTGGTCATTCCAGTGAGTTCGAGAAGCAGAATAGGACAACGTGTGAACTTACACAGTTGGTCTGGCCAAGAAGAAGTAACACAGTTGAGAAATAACGTCCGGGATAGGGGAATAGAGAACAAGAGCAAGGTTTGTTGTTCATTCCAGCACGAGCGATCGAGACGCTTCCTTAACATTTTCACAATCCAGATCGCATTTAATTTAGTGTAAACTTTTCCTCCCCAGTCAAAGTTTAGGCGGAAGTGCACGAGAAGAAGGCACGCTCCGGTAATAGGCTCTGTAAGCCGCTTCTGCATGGTCAACGGAGTTCGGCGGTGGAGATGTCTCCGTTGTTAAAGCAAAGTTTATCGAGGATGGCCACGGATGTCTTTCCGGCGTTCATTGGCAGCTCTGTTACTCCAAATGCTAAAATGCACAAGTATTGAATTTCATTTTTTACGTTATCATTGAATCTTACTTGATGGCGCAAGACTATCCGAAGGGGACTAGATACAAAAGTGAGTTGGCTGCAAGTCTGTTGGCTCCGTGATCAGAGTGGACTCTCTGGCGGCGTCAAATAAAGCCATGATACTCAACTTCTTGCCATGATTTCGACGGCCATCGAGGGAGAGACGACATATGTCTGATAACTGGATTACAATGGTCACCGACAGAATTGGTCAGTAATCCTCCGTCTCATGGGGATCGCTCGGTGAAATGGCATCCAGCATCCGACCATACATTCACTTAGGGTGCAACTAAACAAACTCCATGTCGGTGTTGTTTATTTCGGCGAAAGCGGTCAAGGAAACTCCTGAAAATTGGCAAAATCTGAATCACATTGGATTCGGTGTAAATTAGCAGTCTCCGGTACAGGTGTGACTCCTGATGTACACAAGAAGGCACCTCTGTATCCTCTTTGTCACTGATCTAGATTGGGAACCAGACAAAAACGCATCCTACTCTGCGGGAAGCCATTCAATTTTAATTCTGGAAACCTTTATTGAAAAAAATGACTGACAAAGAAGATCAAGTTCGGAACCTCAGTACAATGAGGCCTTTTGGTATAAAAATGAAGCAAAACTAACATTCAGCATCAGTTCACACCTGAATCACTTACTTGAAATGGTGAGTCTTCCTCTTCTCCGACTACGTCTTAACACTGATTTTCAGTTCCTTCGTGTCCTCATCCTCGTCTCCATCTGCCTTGTCTCCGGTGCCATCGGACAAATCACCATGGCCGCCTGCCAGGCATACTGTGCCTCTGTGAACGGAGGAGCTTCCTACGACAACTGCTCTCCATGGATCAGCTTTGCCACTCAGGAGAACAAGACCTGCTACAACTTGTGCGTCCATAACTGCGCCGCCGTCTACGATGGATCCTGCATCACCGATAACAACTTCAGGTGATAATTTAGAGATTCGTCGTCCCGAACTTCATTGTACCTTTTCAGATGCTGCCTCGCCACTACTCCAGCCAAAACCCAGGAGTTCAAGACGAGCGGATGCAATACTCTCTACAACAATCTGTGAAAGTTTTCAAAGGTTGAATAAAACTTCATTTTTATAATCTTTATACTATTTCAAAGTTGTCTTAAGCGAGACACACGCAACCTAAATCGCTGATCATCAAAAAAGGCTTTCAAGCCTCATTGATCACTAGAGGGTCCCATTTTTTTGAGAATATACGTGGAAAGAATGTTTTGGTGTCCGGAAAATCACTTCTCTCAATACTAGACAACTTTTGACGCAAATAGAGCCATAATTTCTGGTTTCAATGAATATTAGTCTTGAATACCTCTTCTCACTTTCAGTTGATCGAAGCCACATCAGAATGCGAGCATCCACATTGTCAACTCATTTCACTGCTGGTATTTGAAAGGAATCCAATAAATATCGATAAATCGGCGCCGTAAACTGAAAAAAAACAATATTCAAATAAAACACGTACTAGAAATTCAAAATACACAGCATTTACTGATTTTCTGCTGACGGTTTTCAAATTTTTGCGGCGAAGGTTAAAGGCGCATCGAATTATCTCGGGTCTCGCTGCGAAGAGACGGAATGGCCTCTCGGCATTGATTTACGCACGCATTTATTTAGAAAATATTTGCAATTCTGGTATTATTTTCAACGGAGAACATAATTTTTCAAGACAAAAAGTGGGTTTTCATCTGTTGAAGTAATTTTTTCCAGATATTTTACCGCCTACATATGTCATCGGTTTTTTAATTCTGCGTCACACAGAGTGTCGTGAACGAAAAGGAAGCCGAAATCTGTAATAAGCGATACGCCAACACACTACGAGGAGCTCAACAATCTGTTTATTGGAGCTGTGGACTGCATCGGGAGTTGGACACCGGCTCTATACTGCTCACCCACTCGGACGTCCAGTCAGCTTTCATCGACGAGCACCGTCAACGTGGCACTCAGCAGCATGAAGAAATTGTGCTTCGTTGTTGAAAACGAGCAGCTGATCAAAAAATCCACCAACTGGATTCGCAGCGACATAACCGGGTTAGAGTAGAGTGAGCTACTCACAAAAAACTTCTCGAACGACACTTTGCACGTTTTGGTAGGAACACACTGTCTTTTCAGAGATGTCGAGCGCCCGGATACTGCTTTGTGCAGGGCCGCCGATTCTCCGCGGGAGAACTCACAACTGCTGTCATCGGATAATAAACACTTGTCCCAAGCCTGGACACAGTGAAAACGAGAGTTGGCCGCTGACAATCGGGAACTCGTAAGGAAGCACCAGGCACTGTTACTGAGACTGCTTTTCAAGTCTGACCAGCAGTCCAGTGCCAGTTTCTGGCGCATCTGAAAGTACCTTGGCAGTGGCAACTTTAGTTGATTTCGTGAGTTTTTTACTCAGTAAATCTTGCTCTCCATCGGTTCACAGAGAGTTCGAAGCATTTATTAAACAGATTATCATTGTTCAATTGAGGAAACAGAGACTTCAAGGGTTCGGTCTTCAGTTATTTTTGTTTTGACATGAACTAGAGAAGACATGATGAATGAAGAAGGGGACAGATAGAAAAACTATTAAATTGATTAATAAAAAGAAACAAAAGTGGGGGAGAGGTGAGTCCTCAAAGCAGGATTCACTGTTTCGTTTTGCGAGAATCATGCTGCACGTTTTAAGAACTCCCGAAACCTCCATGCAGATAATCCTCTGCATCATTAACAAAGTCGTCTTCCTGAAAGTTTTGGTTGATATAATTTTTAGCTTTTCTGTGAAGTTCAGACTAAGACAAACTGAAAATGTTGCTCAAGAAACTCACCTCTGTATCTTCCAGGCAAGACCAGGCATCCCCTTGCGCCGCACCGGCACTGCTTATCACCTCTCTCGGATTTGTCACATTTAGCTCTCCATGATTCATGAGCAACGTCGGGACTTGAGATACCAGATTGAGTTTCCAATTGAGTTGCTGACGTTTTTCTTCAAAATTGAACGATTCGACTTCGTTTCCGTGTCCTCTCTCCTGGACTCCCTCCATCGGACGGGGGCTCGCGTTCATGGACAGTCCTCCAAGCCGAAGAGCGAGTTCGTTCTTTCTCGACTCGAAATCAAACGATTTTAGAACGTCTCGACCTCCCCCATTGCCTCCTTCCATCGGACGGAGCATGTCTGCCGACTTTTTCCAATCTTTCTCCGGAACCATCGGAGCAAGTTTCTCAGAGAAAACTGAACCCTTCTTGCCTTCAGTCTTGGCAAAAGTCCGAGCTTTTCCAGAAGGAACCTGGAAACTGATTATAACCAATTTACGCAGAAGCGTCTCACCTCAGCCACGTCTGTTTTTGTCTGAAGCGACTTATTTGTTGACTTCAATGGTAGTTCCTGTTTTTTTTTGAAGATTGCGGCCAGACCAGCCCATTTCCCCTTTTGGGGAGTTGGTTTCTCTTTCATGAGAAACGGTGGGAGCGGGGGCGCCTTGCTCATATCGATTTTTGAAACGTGCTCTGAAATTACTGTCCAGTTATAGAGATTGTTTAGAAGAATGAATCGTATTACCTGCTGACCATACTGAATTTTCCTTCATCTGATCAAATCGGAGGTTCTCGTACAACTTCTCGCGCTCATCCTCCAAATCTGCAGTTTTAGCGCTTCTTGTCAGTTCTTTGCGTTCTGTTTTCAGGGACATTCCTCCCAGCCGAAGAGCGAGTTCGTTCTTTCTCGACGCGAAATCGAACGATTTTAGAGCGTCTCGACCTCCCCCGCTGCCTCCTTCCATCGGACTGAGCATGTCTGCCGACTCTTTCCAATCTTTCTTCAAAGCCATCGGAGCAAGTTTCGTAGGGAAATCTTCAGTCGTGGCAGACGTGTCCATTTTTTCAGTGATCCGAGAAGTTCCTTCAGAAAACTTTAATGGCAACTTCGGCGTTTTCAAACTTCTACTCAAGAGTGCGGACAGAGCAGCCACGTTCCCCTGCGGGGAAATCGGTTTGTCTTTTATGGGCAACGTCGGGAGCGGAGGCAACTTGGTCGAATCGAATGTGCCGTGATCTGGAATATCTCGGTAGTCATAAAAACGGAAGAAAAGAGGAATAGTATTACTTGATGTCAAAACAGGTTCCTTTTCCTGATGCCATTCCTCGAGGGATACCGATGCCTTCAGGATCTCAGAGCGGTCAGAATTGTCGTTCCAATTTTGTTTCTGGTCCAATGATTCGAGCTGACGAGAGAGTTGCAGCCTTCTTTCTTGAAAGTTGAAAGATGGTTGCTCTTTGCCTCCATCCTGGGATCTCTTCATCGGACTCTCGGAACTCGTTGAAAGTTTTTCAATGATCGGAGGTTTTCCAGAATTGTTGAGTTTCTGACGTTTTTCTTCAAAATTGAACGATTCGACTTCGTTTCCGTGTCCTCTCTCCTGGACTCCCTCCATCGGACGGGGGCTCGCGTTCATGGACAGTCCTCCAAGCCGAAGAGCGAGTTCGTTCTTTCTCGACGCGAAATCGAACGATTTTAGAACGTCTCGACCTCCCCCGTTGCCTCCTTCCATGGGACGGAGCATGTCTGCCGACTCTTTCCTATCTTTCTCCGGAACCATCGGAGCAAGTTTCTCAGAGAAAACTGAACCCTTCTTGCTTTCAGTCGTGGCAAAAGTCCGAGCTTTTCCAGAAGGAACCTGGAAACTGATTATAGAAAATTTACGCACAAGCGGCTCACCTCAGCCACGTCTGTTTTTGTCTGAAACGACTTATTTGTTGACTTCAATGGTAGTTTCTGTTTTTTTTTGAAGATTGTGGCCAGACCAGCCCATTTCCCCTTTGAGGGAGTTGGTTTTTCTTTCATGAGAAACGGTGGGAGCGGGGGCGCCTTGCTCATATCGATCTTTGAAACGTGCTCTGAAATTACTGTCCAGTTATGGAGATTGATTAGAAGAATGTATCGTATTACCTGCTGACCATACTGAATTTTCCTTCATCTGATCAAATCGGAGGTTCTCGTACAACTTCTCGCGCTCATCCTCCAAATCTGCAGTTTTAACGCTTCTTATCAGTTCTTTGCGTTCTGTGTTCAGGGACATTCCTCCCAGCCGAAGAGCGAGTTCGTTCTTTCTCGACGCGAAATCGAACGATTTCCGAGCGTCTCGACCTCCCCCGTTGCCTCCTTCCATCGGACTGAGCATGTCTGCCGACTCTTTCCAATCTTTCTTCGGAACCGTCAGAGCAAGTTTCGTGGGGAAAACTGAACCCTTCTCGTCTTCAGTCTTGGCAGACGTGTTCATTTCTTCAGTGATCCAAGCAGCTCCTTCAAAAAAATTCGATGGCAATTTCGGCTGTTTCAAATTTCTGCTCAAGAGTGCGGACAGAGCAGCCACGTTCCCCTTCGGGGGAATCGGTTTGTCTTTCATAGGCAACGTCGGGAGCGGAGGGAATTTGGTCGAATCGAATGTTCCGTGATCTGGAATATCTCGGTAGTAATAAAAACGGAAGAAAAGAGTAATACTAGTATTACTTGATGTAAAAACAGGTTCCTTTTGCTGGTGCCATTCTTCCAGGGATACCGATGCCTTCAGGATCTCGGAGCGGTCAGAATTGTCGTTCCAATTTTGTTTCTGGTCCAATGATTCGAGCTGACGAGAGAGTTGCAGCCTTCTTTCTTGAAAGTTGAAAGATGGTTGCTCTTTGTCTCCATCCTGGTCTCTCTTCATCGGACTCTCGGAACTCGTTGAAAGTTTTTCAATGATCGGAGATTTTCCAGAATTGTTGAGTTTCTGACGTTTTTCTTCAAAGTTGAACGATTCGACTTCGTTTCCGTGTCTTCTTTCCTGGACTCCCTTTATCGGACGGGGGTTCGTGTTCAGGGACATTCCTCCAAGCCGAAGAGCGAGTTCGTTCTTTCTCGACGCGAAATCGAACGATTTTAGAACGTCTCGACCTCCCCCGTTGCCTCCTTCCATCGGACGGAGCATGTCTGCCGACTCTTTCCAATCTTTCTTCGCTGCCATCGGAGCAAGTTTCTTAGAGAAAACTGAACCCTTCTTGCCTTCAGTCTTGGCAAAAATTCGAGCTTTTCCAGAAGGAACCTGGAAACTGATTATAGAAAATTTACGCACAAGCGGCTCACCTCAGCCACGTCTGTCTTTGTCTGAAACGACTTATCTGTTGACTTCAATGGTAGTTCCTGTTTTGTTTTGAAAATTGCGGCCAGACCAGCCCATTTCCCCTTTGAGGGAGTAGGTTTTTCTTTCATGAGAAACGGTGGGAGCGGGGGCGCCTTGCTCATATCGATCTTTGAAACGTGCTCTGAAATTACTGTCCAGTTATGGAGATTGATTAGAAGAATGTATCGTATTACCTGCTGACCATACTAAATTTTCCTTCATCTGATCAAATCGGAGGTTCTCGTACAACTTCTCGCGCTCATCCTCCAAATCTGCAGTTTTAACGCTTCTTGTCAGTTTTTTGCGTTCTGTGTTCAGGGACATTCCTCCCAGCCGAAGAGCGAGTTCGTTCTTTCTCGACGCAAAATCGAACGATTTTAGAGCGTCTCGACCTCCCCCGCTGCCTCCTTCCATCGGACTGAGCATGTCTGCCGACTCCTTCCAATCTTTCTTCGAAGCCATCGGAGCAAATTTCGTAGGGAAAAATGAACCCTTCTCGTGTTCAGTCTTGGCAGACGTGTTCATTTCTTCAGTGATCCGAGCAGCTCCTTCAAAAAACTTTGATGGCAATTTCGGCTGTTTCAAATTTCTACTCAAGAGTGCGGACAGAGCAGCCACGTTCCCCTTCGGGGAAATCGGTTTTTCTTTCATGGGCAACGTCGGGAGCGGAGGAAACTTGGTCGAATTGGATGTGCCGTGATCTGGAATATCTCGGTAGTAATAAAAACGGAAGAAAAGAGTAATACTAGTATTACTTGATGTAAAAACAGGTTCCTTTTGCTGGTTCCATTCCTCCAGGGATACCGATGCCTTCAGGATCTCGGAGCCATCAGAATTGTCGTTCCAATTTTGTTTCTGGTCCAATGATTCGAGCTGACGAGAAAATAGGAGCCTTCTTTCTTGAAAGTTAAAAGATATTGGCTTTTTGTCTCCATCCTGTCCTCTCTCCATCGGACTCTCGTAACTCTCCCCGAGCCTTCCTTTTTTGATATTTGAAGTTCCTTGCTTAGCTTCTGCGGACGACTCATACGTTGAAAGTTTTTCAAAGATCGGAGGTTTTCCAAACTTGTTCGGTGGCGTCGGCGGCAAATTCACGTTTGCTTCTAACATTGCGGCAATTGCAGCCACGTTCTTCTTTGGAGGAGTCGGTTCCTCTCCAAGATCCTGAAAACTAATTGATGTGAACCAATGTACACAAGAGCATCCCACAATAGCCACCTCCTTTTTCGTTGGGACCGACTTGATCTTTCTCTCGGGTGGCAAATTGGTTTGAGGTTTCTTTTCCGCCTGTTGGTTAAAGCGCTGAGCCATGGCTTTCACATTCGGGGTTGACATTCTTGACTAATGACTTGACTTGGTTTAAACGGTGCGGAAGCTAGGAAAAGTAAACAAAATTCTTATTATGACGATGTTAACGCAATATACAGGGTGGTCCACTGTTACCCGTACAAAATAAAAGTTGGGTAATTCCAAAACTAGAAGTCAGAAAGGCATGAGACTTAACAAAACGTTTACTAAGATGTTTGACAATATTTATAAGCTAATAGTGTTGCACCCGACCTCCTTTCCTAACAATGACAGCCCGAAGACTTCCGAAGTAACAGTTTGCCGCGGCACGCGGGAAGTGCGTGGACAGATTGAGCCCCTACCTGGCAAGGAATTTTTTTATCACTCCCCTACTTGTCTGGGGTTTAGCCTTTATATTGGCCTGTAAGACCCCAACAACGAATAGTCCAACAAAAAATGGTCCGGCGAGAAATCGGACCATTTTTCCTTCTTGATGAACGCTGCCAAATTGGCCTGGAACCACTGCTGAATGATTTTGGCAGTGTGAGCAGGCGTATTATCCTCCTAGAACACCCAATGTTGTTCTCCGAAGTGTTTGTGAGACCGAAGAACAAGTTTCTTTGTTGAAGCCTCATCTACGTAACGTACTTTTCTGATTTTGTCATCATGATCGATGAAAACGCGTTGAGATTGGCATGTTCAGCTGATGGGACAAGAAATCATGGCACGGTCCAGACACTCGTCTGAAAAGGCCATCTTCAAATGGTCGCCATGGCGCGTGCCACTCAACTGGAGTTTCGACATTTGAATCCGTTTCAACTTTTTGGCAGTTGAGATGATAACGGCTTCTGTTCACATATTTCGGTATCAAACTGAGCTTGCATTTTAGAGTGATTTACATTGATATCGGACTTATTTCCATATCATGTGCTATCATTCTCGTGCTTGGATACGGATTTCTCATGATCCGCTCTCTGGTAGCTGTGACCGTCTGAGGAGAGATCATGGTGATTCCTTTTTTGTTTCTGGTATTGCTCTAGAGTGGATTTAGACCGAAGAAAAGTTTGATCGTATCATAAACGGTTTTGCTTGGGATACCGAGCCGTTTCATGATCGTTTGTCTGCTCACCCCTCCAGTGAACAAGCGTATGATGGGGACGGGGTGCAGACTAATCGGTGCTATTTGGCTGAAACAAATCCGTTTGGTCTGAGACTTGGCCGAATAGTTAAAAACATGATAATATACAAAATTTTGAATTAGGGCCACATCAGAATTGCGTCAGTACCTACGCGCGCCGCGTAAAACTTTTGTACGGGTAACGGTGGACCACCCTGTAGCCTGGGAATTAATCTATTGAAAGCGGAAAAATTGAGCCCATATTCTGGGAGCGCTTTTGAAACACTAAACTCATTAGCTAGGTTTTGGAAGCCACTGTTTCGGCACTAGAAAGACTCTGGGTACTGATGGAGCATCTTTTTAGCTCCTGAAGCGATAGTCGAGAACTACAAGGGGTTCATTAGGATCACACTATTGTAGCGGCAAGCATTCGACTAACCCCGAAATTGAGGGAGTGAGAAACACTAAGCGCGACAGCAAAACTGAAGAAAAACTACCGCATGAGAAAGCAATTAGCATACAGCAAAAATATGCTGAAAAAATCCAGGAAATTACTCTAAAATTGGATGAAAAATTAAAGATATGACAATTTTTGAGAGGAAAGAGCCGCTTTGAAAAGATGAACCATCACATGACTGCTGACTGATTGTGAAACGAATCGATTTGGGTCTCGAAGCGAACGCGGGCACCCGCTCGCGTCTTCACTGATGAGTCATCGTTTTCGAATTCAAATCAATCTCAGCGCTCTTCGATCCGTTTATATTTTTTGAATTCCTGTGCCTCTCTTCTGTTCTGATATCTCTTTTGAACTCAAAACGGATCACTATGCGACCTACCAGTTTTAATATTCTTTACTCGTCTCGCGTTTGCCCCCCCCCCCATTTTCAGTAGGTTGACAGCAGATTTAGAGCATTTTAGGATTGATAAAGGCACGCCGAGAACTAGGAGACGGATTGACCAGAATTACTGCGTCGATGAGCATCAGGTTGGCCCCGGAATGGAGGAAGTGAGAAGCACAGAGAGCGAGGGAAAAAATAGTTAAGCTATTTTATGTCTAAAAAACGGAGTTACTTTAAATTTAAAGTAGGCAAAAAATCCAGGAAAGTACTAACGAATTGGATGAAAATAGAAAGAAATGTAAATTTTTGAGAGAAAATAGCCGTTTCGAAAAGACCATCACACGATTCCTGACTGATTGCGAAACGAATCGATTTGGGTCTCGCAGCGAACGCGGGGACGCACAGTTTCGTAAGACGCGGGGACGCGCTCGCGTTTTCAGTGATGAATCATTTTTTTTCGAATTCGAACCGACCTCAGCGCTCCTTAATCTTTCTCCATTTTTGAATTCCTGAGCCTCGCTCCTGTACTGATATTTGTATCCGAATTGGAAACGGATCACTACGCTATCTTCTTCCGTTTTTTCAATAGGCTAATCGCAAATAGATTCGAGAGATCAGTTTATCCACAATTTTCTCTTCAAAAATTTAATTTTAACCTAGGCGTGTCTGCAGACAGTATGCCCGCGCTCGATGCGAGACCATAATTTCACAATTTCCTCAGCTCTTCAACGTCCTTCACAATACCTCCATCTTAGTCCATTCTTTGCTGAAAAGAACAGGCCAGCTCCCATAATTCTGTGAATCACTTTTTGGGAAATAACATTATTCAAAACGTAATGGTCGATCTTGAGGAAGAGAATGTTTTAAAACAAGAGACGGAGAGAGACTATTTGATGAGTCAGATTATGGAGACTCTTGGTGATCGTCCCCCACTCGCTCCTCATTCTTATTCTATCACCCTCCGCACGACCAGGCTCAGCAGCCTTTTCTTCTCTTTTCCGTGTCTTTCTAGCTGTCAGAGTTTTTCCTACTCGGAGGAGAGAAACGGTGCTGACGTGTCTAATAATTGAAGCGAGCTATTGGAATGCCACGTCACAACCCGTTACTTTGTTGACAGGGGGTTGAAGAATCCAATAGCATGCCACGTCATAGCGCAGGCCCACTCGCTTTCACTTTCCCTCCTTTCCACCCTTTCCTCCCACGCATTCTGATTACAACTCGACTAGTTTTTTTGGAGTTAACAGTTATCTATTTGATCTTATTGTAGCGTACTGCATTTGGCTGGAAATTCAGTTCAGTCTCTGCTACTACAGTACCTTGTGGCTTTCAAAACCGAAAAACGCGAATTATTGGATGAGTCACATGTAAAAACAAACATTTGGCGAGAGATGAAAAACAAAGGGGCGTGGCTTTCTGAAATAAACGCGTTACGATGAATCATCAGTGTTCGAGAAGAATCTTCCGTTCTCACTCTTTCTTTTTTTCCAATCTCATCGCTCTCCCGGTTTCTCCGTCTACATATCCAGAATGATTTCTCGATTCCTTTTTGCTACCCTCAGTTTTTTAAAGCCTCAATCTTTCGTGAGTGATACCAACAGTTCCTACCTTCCTTCAAAGTTTAGCTCGTCGTTTTTCTGCTTCTTCGTTTTTTTTCCTGTTCTCCGCGTCAGTTTGTTCACCAGAGATGTCCAGTACTTTGCAGGTACAATCAACCGATCGTTCTGTTTTTCCAATGGATCCCAACAAGGTGACTACATAACTATTACCTATCTGTTGAAATCCTTTGCTCAATTCAGGATGAAGAATCTCCGAAAAAAGAGTCGACAAACACGTTCAAGAGTGTGAAAGAAATTGTTCAACAGTTCGAGAATGTCGGATCTCAGATCAATCTGCGCTCTTCCGAGGGCTCCACGGCTAGACAACAATTGGAAAACGAAAGCGGCGACGCAAACATGGGTGGATCATCAGTTTCGGTGAGTTCAGATTGTCAAATGATCATCATGTGTTTACAAAGGTGTTATTATAGGTGATTGGCCTTCCACAACCTCCCATTGGGAGCGCCGCTTCGTTGCCACGTCAACACGAGAGAAACAGAGACAATTCCCTTGCCAGTTGCTTGACCTTGACGACCGACAACTTCACTGAAACGACTAATGTTATTCCCGTACGCACCATCCTAGCTTTCAGCGTTAAATTGGTGATTTCAGAATTCGGAAAACATCGAGATCGTGGGAAGCCAATCAAGCATCGCAAAGCCGACATGTTCCACGTTGGCCCTCGGAAACGCAAAAATTCCGGCGTATTGTTCAAATACTATTGGGAAGAATATTGCGTACATCAACATCAGTGGACGTCTCGTTCCGAAGCTTGATGCCAACCTTCAGCACGTTGAGATTGAGAAGATCGTCGTGCCGATCTCGCCTCGCAGCGGACAATCTGAGATTAGACTCACCAACAAGCCGATCGATCTCAATTCTGAAGCCAAAGGAGTTGATAAAGAGAGCAAGAAGATTCCGGACCTATCGGAATTGTCTGCCACCCAGCTATTGAAAGAGCTGAAAGATTTTTCAGTTCAAGTTCAGAAAGCGCCAAAGTTATCTATGAACCAGTTTCCGCCGCTGTCAGACCTCTTTCGGATGAAGCTTCTGGATGGTATAAGACTCTTGTCGGCGCAAGTTCAGGAAGCCGGTGCAGGATGCGATAATGTGAAGTACCGGGAAATGCCGATGACGTGCAGCATTTTGAGAAAACGAAACAATGTGTCATTGACGGAGACATTGATGGAGCCGAAGGAGCCACCTAAAACTGCGTCCCAGCTGAACGTCAATCTCGGAGCCGCGAGAAACAACACCGAAAGCAACGAGCTGGTCAGTCAGGCGCAGATGGAGTTTTTGATTGCGCTGATTCTCCAGCATCCGGAGCGCTTCTGTCGGGCTATTGCCGATGTATTCAAGACACTGGTTACTGTGAATCCGGATTCCGACACAAAGTCCAGCAGTTTGCTTCTGTTTGGGGCTGATTCTGAGAGCCAGTGTACTATTCCGGATACTCTGGCAAAGACGACCCTTTTGATTCCGAAATACGAAAAGAAGATCGGCTGTGATGACGCCACTCAGATAGCTCCATTGTATCACCACAAGTTTGGATGGTTCGACAAACGTCTCGATCGGGATGCTCTGATGTCGGATGGAGTGGTTCTGCTCAACCACAAAAAAATGGAATTCGGTTCTCCCGCGAAGGTTCGTGACGGTCCCTCCGATGTGAGTCAGCTTTTCTCTTGCATCGAATGTACAGTAATCTTGATTTTACAGATCTGTAGACACTGTGTTAAGAGCGACAAGGACGGAGTGGAGGAAACAAAGAAGAAGTCGAAGAAGGTGTCGAAGAAACCCAAGAAGAACGAGAAGCCGTCGGCGGCCGCCAAACAGAAGAAGACCTGCAGCATCATGTAGACGTCGAACTTGGTTCAAGCTTGTGCAACTTCTGCAAATTCATTTCTAACCATTATCCTCACCAAAACATTTTAATTATAACCTTTCCTTTCTATATTTTTCATGCGATCCATTTTGATTAGTTGATCATCCTTCGTGACATACTCGTTTTCCCTCTCTCTGTCTGTATTGAAAATCTTGAAGCAAATATTTTTTTTGATTTTTTTCTGAAAGTTGGTATCTGTACCATCCCCATGTCGGGGCTTATCAATACTTACCGCCTTTTATCTCTAAAATCTTCAGCTTTTCAGACTCTCACTGCTGTACCCGGATCACCCACTACAGTAAGTCAGTCTCTGTTCCTATATCAACAAAATCCCATTTGTTTCTCTGACTACAGTAACCGCGTCATCCCACTACCGGGCCCTTTTCACTACAGCGTCCGCGATCACCGGATTCCTCTTACTTTAGTAGCCAGGCATTTGAGAACTGTGAAAATTTATCAGGACTTATAAAAGAAACGGATATATGCTGTTATTTTGTGGTAAAAAATAGAGTCAGAATATTGTGACTGCTGTGCTCGATTCTTATCATCCCCCGCTCAATTTCTGACACTCCAGAAACGAACTCTCAACTCGAAAAATATGATTTTTAAGAGTGAGACAGAGAACGAAAGAAAGAATTAAAAAGTGAGTCATCAAATGATCGTACTTGCGAAAAAATCGATTTGGGTCTCGAAGCGAACGAGGGGACGCGGAGACCAGTATTACGTAACCTCTTGCTGACTGAAACGTTTTCTAATCAACCGAAGCTCAGTGTTCCTCGTCTATTTCCTTTCTTTTTATGCTCCATCTTTTTCCTCATATTTATTATCTCTTGGCCACATTCGTTTGGTGTCGTTCTCTGTCTTTCTCAATGGGAAACTATGGTCTCTAAAGCTACTGGTTGCTAAATTTTTTGACGAACTCAATCAACTCCACTCTTAATTTCCAAATACAGTGAATTTGGCTATAAACCCAGTTCAGGCTCTGCCACTACAGTACCCCCGGCTTCCCAAACCGAAAAACCGAATTATTGGATGAGTCACATGTAAAAACAAACTTTTGGCGAGAGATGAATAACAAAGGGGCGTGTCTTCCGGGAATCTACCCGGTACGATGAATCATCAGTCTTCGAGAAGAATCTTTCAATCTCACTCTTTCGTTTTGCTGTTCCACTCCAAATTTCAAAACCACGTTCAGCTCTTTCTCATCTTTCACTATTTTTGTGGCCAAGAGTACCCAAGATGGTCATTCTACAACATTTTCTAAGGGAACATGCTTATTCTAATATTATAGTCAACAACTGTGATCTCTAGTGTTAGCCACCCTCTTTTCCTTGTTTATCTTTTTCTGCTCTTTGACGTTAATACCTCCAAATACTACATCGAACGAATTATTTTAAACGACTCTCAGAGAAAAGTTACGAAACAATGGGGAGGGGCTTCTGTGAATCATCTCTGATCGGTGACTCAGAACAGTGTTCTAGAAACTTCTTTCCCTTCCACTCTCCCTCTCTCTCTCTCTCTTGCTCTCCCAATCGCTGTTCGTTTTAGTCGGTTTTTTCTCGCCGTCCAAAGCAATTTCTCGATTGCATTTTTTTCTGTTGCCTTCAATTTTTCAGAGCTTTAACCGCTTATCGAAAAAGTATTCATAATGACTACATCTACCGTATTCATGAATCTGCACCTACAGTAACCAAACTTTTACCGTTTTGCTAACAGGGTCTTTTGGTTCTTTCACTACAGCAACCGATTCCACTAACCAAAACATTCTGTTCGCAAGGATCGATTTTTTAGTGACTCATTTCTCTTACCCGCTCTGCGAGTCTCCAAAACCGAAAAAATTGAATTATTGGATGAGTCACATGTAAAAACATACTTTTGGCGAGAGATGAAAAACAAAGGGGCGTGGCTTCTGCAAATCCACGCGGTACAGTGAATCATCAGTGTCCGAGAAGAATCTTCCGCTCTCACTCCCTCAGTTTCCTACGATCCGATCAGGCCTCGTTCTCTGCTTTGCACTCCCCGTCAGTAGCTCGAAATACTTTGATTTCTTTATTTTAAACGACTTTCAAAAAAAAAAGGTATGAAACGATGGGTAAATCATCTCTCGTCGGTGACTCATACTAGAATTTTTTTTCTTTCCGACTTTTTCTCTCTCTCTCTCTCTCTTACTTCTGTTGCCCGCCAGTCTTTATTTCACTTGGTTTCCCCATCTCGTTCGCAGGATTTGATTTTCTGGTGACTCATTTCCATAACCCTTTATTGATTGTGTGTTTTCGATGTGAAACGCGGAGGGGCGGGGTTTCCGCAACGTTATGATGAATCATCGATATTCGAGAAGAATCTTCCACTCTCATTCTCTATTTCTTTCTCAATCCAATCGTTTTTCGTTAGCTGTTTCGCTTCATATTTCCTCTGAAATTCGCACCCAAAGCCACGCTCAGCTCCTTATAATTTCTTCTCCCTTTTTACGGTCTTTCGAGTTCAAGTGAGTCATATATAATTTCTACCTTGCTTTATGAGATCGCTTGTCGCTTTTCAGTTTTTTCGTTAATTCTCTATTCTCCGCAATCCGTTCGTTTATCAGAAAAAGGTTGTTTAACCAATACTTTTCAGTTGCACGTACAATCAATCGATCTTCGGTTTCTCCAATGGATCCCAACAAGGTGACTACATAATTATTACTTCATCTGTTAAATTCTCCGTCCAATTCAGGCTGAAGACTCTACAAAAAGAGAGTCGACAAATGCATTTCCAAATGTGAAGGCTATTGCTCAACAGTTCGAAGATTTCGAATCTCAGATCAGTCTGCGCTCTTCCGAGGGCTCTACCGCTAGACGCCTGAGACAACAGCTTGAAAACGAAGATGGCAACGCGAACATGGGTGAATCATCGGTTTCGGTGAGTTCAGGGTGGGAATAAACAGAATGTGCTTACAAAGGTGTTATTTCAGGTGTTTGTTGACCCACAAGCTCCCACTGGGAGTTTTGCATCGTTGCCACGTCATCTCGGGAGAAACAGAGACAATTCTTTGGGCCGTAGCTCCCACGATGAGTTGTCCTCCAGTTCCTTGACCTTGACCGAAAATGTTGGTGAAGCGACGAATGCTTTTCCCGTATGCATTTTCCCAGTTTTCAGCGTTAACTTATTTATTTTAGAGTTCGAAAAACATCGAGATCGTGAGAAGCCAGTCAAACATCGCAAAGCCGGCCCGTTCCACGTTGGTCCTCGGAAACGCACAAATCCCGACATCTTCTTCGAATACTATTGGAAAGAAGATCGCGTACACAAACATCAACGGACGTCTCGTTCCGAAGCTTGATGCCAACCTTCAGCACGTTGAGATTGAGAAGATCGTCGTGCCGATCTCGCCTCGCAGCGGACAATCTGAGATCAGAATCATCAGTAACCCGATCAATCTCAACTCTGGAGCCAAGAAAGTTGAGCAGGAGAGCAAAGAGATTCCGGACCTGCTGCTGAATAACAGTTCGAAGCCACTGCATCCTTCCCCAGTCCATCATCATGAATCCTCTGCTACCGGAACCTCCATGGCGCTCCAGAATGTAGCTGCGACGTTGACTTCAATGGTGAAGATCCAGGAACTCTCGTCAGTGCCGCTTCATGAGGAGCTTCATGAAGAGCTTCATGGGACGCACGGATTGACTGCTGCCCAGATCCGAGACGTGCAGGGAGTTCTTCCTATGGAACTTCAACCGTCTGAGATCTCGTCGATGAAGCTTCAAGAAGAGCCGAAATTGAAGCCTAAGCTGCCGCAAACGCCAGACGTTTGTGCGATCAAAAACGAGGAGACGCCCAAAATTTTGCCGGTACTGCTCCAGCCACCGCTAGGATTCTCTCCTGTGGAGTCCCAGGAGATGTACGGATTGTCTGCGGCACAGCCACCACAAGTGCCGGAAATTAAGCAAGAGCTCTCGTCGGTGAAGTTCCGAGATGCGGCCGGTTCTTCTCCGGTGAATCAGGCTTCAAGACTCTCAATGTTCGAGTTTCCGCCGCCGCCGCCAGACGTTTCTTTGAGCAATGTCCAGCAACCGCCAGGACTTTCTTCAGTGGAGTCCCAGGAGATGCACGGATTTTCTGCGGCACAGCCACCACAAGTGCCGGGAGTTAAGCAACTTCACCTGTCTGAGCTCTCGTCGGTGAAGTTCCGAGATGCGGCCGGATCTTCTCCGGTGAATCAGGCTTCAAGATTCTCAGTGTTCGAGTTTCCGCCGCCACCGCCAGAAGTTTCTTCGAGCAAAGTCCAGCAGCCGCCAGGACTGATGTCGGTGCAATTGGACGTCAACGTCGGAGCTGCGAGAAACAAGACCGGAAGCAGCGAACTGGCTAATCGGACGCAGCTCGAATTGATGACTGCGGTGATTCTCCAAAATCCGGAGCTCTTCTCTCAGGCTATCGCCGATGTTCTCAAGAAGATCGGCACTGCAAAAGCGGATCCCGACACAAAGTCCAGCAGTTCGGTTCTGGCCGATCCATCGCGTCTGCTGATGGCTGATTCTAAGGAGCAGAGTGATGTTTCGGAGGCGGTGCTCACGGAAACCTCCTTGATTTCAAAGAACGAGGAAAAGATAGACTCCAGTTTCGTCGTCAAGATGGTTCCAGTGGATCACAACAAGCTCGGATGGGTAAATTCGCGTCTCGAGCGGGATGCTCTGATGCCGGCTCAAGTCGTTTTGTTCAAGGACAAGGAAGAGGAATTCGATTCTTCCGCGAAGGTTCACGGCGGTCCCTCCGAGGTGAGTCATCGCACAGTTTTTCTTTCCCATTGATTGTTCAGAAATTTTAATTTTGCAGATCTGTGGAGACTGTGTTGAGCAAGACGAGGATGGAACGGATGGCACAAAGAAAGAGTCGAAACAGGTGTCGAAGAAAAACAAGAAGGACAAGAAGCCATCGTCGGGCGCCAATGAGAAGACCTGCAGAACCATGTAGACGTCGTCCTTCGTTCAAACTTCTGAAACTTCAACAAACTTACTTCGAACTCCTATGCTCACCAAACGTTTAATTAGTTTCCTTTCTCTACCATGTTTCCTTCCATCCACTCGTAACTATTTGTGATCATTTCCTGTGAAATATGCGTTTTTCGTTCCTTTCTTTTAAATATTCTCTATGTTCTTTCTGCATTTTATCTATATCTTTTTTAAAATATTCGAACCAAATAAGTTTTGTATCGAAGATGATTTCTGAAAGTTGGTATCAGTACCATCCCCATGCCGGGGCTTATCAATACTCACATCCTTATGACTCTAATATCTTCAAATTTACAGACTTTCCCTACAGTTGCCCAGTCTCTGTTTCAACATTAGCCCGGTTCCTCACGATACAGTATCCCGTCTCTTCTTACTATAGTAATCGAGTTTGTTTTAAAACAGTATACCCACTCCGCGACGCACACTTTTCTTCATTATCAACTTCCCGTTCTCTATTTAGTCTCGCTTTCGCTTCAATACCCACGCGCCGAGCTCTAGTTATAAACTGATAATAACCCAGCAAAAAACGTTTCTATTTAAAACATAACATTTTCGTTTAGCGACTCAAAAACTCCTCTCTTCATCTCCAATCTAGAAATGGTTTTTGAGAGAGATAGAGAGAGTTAGGAAATGAGAGAATTAGTCGTCAACTGGCCATGCTTGCGAAGAAAATCGATGTGGTTCTCGAAACGAACAAGGGGCCCCGGAGACCAGTATTACGTGACAGTCTGGACGCGCTCGCCTCTCCACTTGCTGACAAAACTTTTTTATTTCAACTCGGCTTCAGTGTTCCTCGTCTTTTTCCCCGTCTTAGTTTTTCATTGAGCTATTCAATATTTGTAACCGTAGTTCTTCTCTGGGTGATGTTTTATTTTTTGCTGCCCTGATCTCTATGCCACGTCATAACAAGAGCGCAAAGTGAGTATAAAGACTCTTCTGCCTATTTCCTTTCTTCTCATGCTCACCCTTGATTCTTATATGATCTCTTGTCCACATTCTTTTGGTGTCTCTCTCAGTCTTTTATTCAATTGAAAACTACGACCGCTAGAATCATTTCTTGCTAAATCTTTCTGAAGAACTCAACCCAGATTTTGCTCTGTGAAACAACAGAAACAAGCGCTCAGTTCGAAAAAATCGATTTTTAAGAGTGAGACAGAGAGCGAAAGACAGAATGAAAGAATGAGTCATCAAATGGTCCTGCTTGCGAAACGAATCGATTCGGGTCTCGAAGCGAAGTGTTCCTCGTCTATTGCATTTTTTATTGTTACAGAAACCAAAACGGTCCGTTCGCTCCTCTCTCGCCACTTTTTTTTCAGTCACGTGTACATCTACAGTGATTAGGCACCTATGACTACACCCGGTTTCTTCAATTACAGGGCACACATCACGTTCTCTAATTATATTTATCACACACTCCTCAGGGCACTATTCCGTCTTTTCTTATCAACTTTCTGTTTTAAGCTTCTGTACATCCCTTCTTTTTCCGGATTCTTTCGTTTATCAGAATCTCATTTTTTAAGGTAAATCATTTCAGCTTTTGTTCAATCGCTCAACCCACTCAACCCTCAACTGTTCCAATGGATTTCAAAAAGGTGAATACATAGTTATCTCTTCGTCATTTGTTATATTACAAATAATTGAGAGCGCGGACACTACAAACGGTGAGACGGCGAAGAGTGTGAAGTCCCTCATTCAACTCTTCGAGGCGTCGGAGCAAGGAAAGACCAACGTGCGTGGCTCTTCGCTTTTGGTGAGTTTAATTCTAATTCAACAACTAGCTTCAAACTTCAGAAATTGGAAGACTCGAAGTTGGTTCATCACGAGGAGTTGGCGATGCAGAAGCCTGAAGAGAAGTCTAGTTGGGACTCGGATCCGATTGATCCCTCTTTTCATCTGACAACGGAGGATCACGAGCTGCGCGAGACTTCGGAAGCGATGCCAACGGAGACCACGCTGATTCCAAAGTGCCCGCTGGAGAAGGATGAGTCCGATGACGGTGCCGACCAGGCAACAAACGAGAATGCGGACCCTGCAAATGGGGAGTCGGCGAAGAGTGTCAAATCTCTCGTTCGGGTTTTCGAGGGATTTCCGTCGGAGCAAAGAGACGCTGACGGATTTCTCATTTCCGTGAGTTATTGATTAAATTGATACCGTTCAAGAGTTGTCAAACCCAGATAATGGTGGAGAGTAGGCGGAAGCTTGGTTTTTTAAAACAGTTTTTGACGCGAAAAATGAGCAATAGTAAATAGAAGAGAAAAAAAGATGTTCAACCCCTTTGCACCCTCCAAATCCTCCACGTGTTTCGATCCAAACGTCTCGATCAGCTCCTCCAGTTGTTGGCGACAAATTCTCGGTGCTAGGTGGTTGGCGTGCCTTTTCCAGTTCTCGAACACAGATGATTGTGGAGAGTAGGAGGAAGCTTGGTGTATATTTAGAAATCACTTTATTGAAAAGAATAAATATCAAGAGAGAACAATCGGCATGTTTTTCTGCACAAAAAAACTGTCATTTGTTAATTACAAAATGTTTCAACACTCCATTTTTGATTTCAGGAGTCGAGAGGCACCGAGTCGGTTTACAAGACGCAGTTCGAGCAATTGATCGGATTCGTTCGTCAGAGATTGATCTTGCTTAGTGAGGGCTGTGACGATATTCTCAAGAAGCTAGAGGATGAGAACCTGGAGCTCAAGGAAAATTCGAGCTGTGGCCAATTCCCGGTCGTTCCGACTATCCAGGATCAGAAGTTGTATGAAACTCCGGATGCGATGCCAACGAAGACCACGGTGATTCCGAAGTGTGAGCTTGAGAAGGATGTGTCCAATGCCGGTGATGTCAACGATTCGAGCGAGGGGAGCAACGATGCTCGTGCCGACAACGACTCGAGCGACGACGGCTCTAGAACGAGTAGATCTGCCGTTTCATTCTTTGAATCCAATCTTTGATCTTTCTTGTGAACAACTTGATTATTTTTCTGTGAAATGTTCCTCTTTGTCAAATGTTCTCTTATTCTGCAATTGTCAATTTCATTATTTGCTAATTAAATGATTTCATAAAATACAACAATAACTTTAATACTAGGTGTCACTATCACCCCCTTATCGAAGGGTCAGATTAACTAACAGAATACTCAAATATTCTACGGCGATCCCGTCATCACCTCTTAAAAGTTTGCAAAAAGTTTGCCCTGCTGTCCTTTTCGAAGTGACAATTTTCGTCATGACATGCTATGCCCTATGCTTTATGACGTTTGACGTGTTTTTAAAGGAGAAGAGAATGAAATCGAATGGAGCGGCGATGACTTTTCTGAAATGTCACCTCGAGGTTGAAACGAAGTGAAAGAGAAGAGTCGATGACGTTTTCCTCTGTGTACATAATGGGCCCGTGTGGCGCAAAATTGCCTTCCATGAAAACGTTTGTCTTTTTCTGAACGTTTCAATTCAAAATAATTCGTAATGATGTCTGACGAATCAACTAAAAAGATGACATGTTTTTTTGCAATGTTCTTCTGAAAAATGAGGGAAAATTGACGGATCCCCCCGGTTGTGAATCTTGAGTACGGCTTCCGGAAGTGAAGTGTTGGTTTGAGTGCGTTTTGACAGGTTACACGATAGTTGCCTGGTTTTGGGTACGTTTGACGTGAAAATTGAGCTCTTTGTACGCAGAAGCTTGACAAGCGGAGTGACATCAGTTTTTGGGACTTACCACGTCTAGCAAATCAGACTTCAACCATCACTTTTTCAGATGAAATCATTTTTCATTAAAACACAGAATCTTGAACGTCTATTGGCTCTTAATCTGTCGATCTTCATACTCGACTGAGTTCACGCGTTTCGCCTACTCACACGTCCCCCCATCGTATGTATGTATGCACATAGACATTGTGCGTGTAAGCCCATAAAATAGAGTAGGTCTGCTGTCATACATGTCGTGTGACGTGTCAATCTTGGGCGCGGTAACAGGAAAAGCGGGCGGACCACGTCAAACAAAACCAAAATTGAGTGGTCGTAGCAAGAATAATGAATGCATTGGAGATTTGGCATTTTGTTTTGGGTTTCGAGGAACGGGGGTGGTTCAGAGAAGTGTATAGGTGATCTCACATTGATTGACAGCAAAAGGTAGAACAAGAGTCAGGCTGGACGTTTTGGCCCGGCCCGTTGCAAGTCGAATTGTTTTGGTACATGCCGAATAAGGAAGCGAAGACCCGTCCTTTTGTCGGATGTCAATAGACAAAGAGTGTTTAAAAATTTAGGCGTAAACTCTTGGGGCTCTTCACTTCCTTATCCGCTCGTCATTTCCTTTTGTCATGCAAAGACAAAGCGGCACTGAATTATTGAATGTCTGCCGTTTTCGTCGTTTAAAAGATCCTGGAGACGGTTTGAGCCGAGATGAACTTTTTCGTTGAATTAGTCAAGTGCCCCAACGGCTCATTTCGAATCCAACGCACGTTTTCCAAGAACACGAACAAGAACAAGAACACGTGTTAACGCAACGGTTTTCATTTGAGAAGGCGTCGAAATGGAAACACAATGAATATCAGTTCGCACAAAAAGTTCGGAAGAAATACGGGGGGGAGTGGGTGTGGGGTACATTTCAGTTCGAGGAGAAACTATGCAGTTAGACAACGTAGGAGCAGTGATCGACGCGGTCAAACACACACATGTTAGCCGAATCGGATGAACTTGGCTCCACGCTTCACGTAGAGCTCGTTGGCCGACGGCGCCGCGTATCCATCTTCCTGAAAATTTACGCATGAAGTTATGTCTGGGCCCCCTGACACATCTGCTTTTATTGATGCGAATGCATCATCATTTCAATGACATCTCTGCCATAGCGTGATATATTCTAATAATTTACTTAGTGTGTGTAACAGCCCGTGAATATTTCAGAACTCTAATAGTGGATAATGCACTTCGTCATGCCTTCTGCTGACGTGGCAGTATCACTAGTCTATGAAAGTCCTTTAGAGGATCGGATCGTCATCAATTTTTCCTCAACACTATACTACCACGAGAATCCTTCTTTCGCATAATAGGTTCAGATTTGCAGAAGCTAACTGGATTTACGCGTTTCGAACATGTCTTTATTTTGAACGAACCCAAGTGCTCGCTCCAGCACGCCCAAATCGGATGAATTTGGCTCCGGCACGTCCGAAACGGATGAACTTCGGCTTCGGGGCACGCGCAATTCTCTGGTACTTGTCCGCCAAGTAGTCCGACTCCTCATCGCTGAAAATTTAGTTTTCCTTCCTGTCATCACATATTTTTTCGTTTCTTTAACTTCGTTTTCGTATTGCAATTGCTGAATGAGCAAAATTCAATGTATGCGTCACAAAAACCAACCGCCGGTGCAACGTTTCTTACGCTTCATTTCACGATTGTGTTATTTGAAGAGTTACGTCGCAACTACTCAAAAAGTGCTTTGAACTCTTCATTTCTCCATTCAGTCTCTCGGTCTCAAACACCAAAACCCGGAAGTCGAACTTTATATGATAATTTGTTGTTTGTGGTGGTCAATGAGTAGGTGGAAATGTTAATTCGAAGAGGGTGGGGTCAAAGTTTGAAGGTCTCTTTCCCACTTTTTTTTTTTAGTATAATGAGGTGTGTCTAGCGACAATTTCTTGAGGGAACGCTACTGTTTTTGAGAATATTGAGCACCCAGATTTTGAATGCATGAAAAAGCAGGCGATCGTGTGTATGTGTACGACACCTGTCATATGATTGTCCTATGCCTTCTATTCCCGTACCCAAAATGAAAACAGGATCAAGTTCATATCCGGCCGGAAAAGTTGATGATATCATCCGCGTGGTCTGTTCTGTCCTCCCCCACGCATTTCACTCATTTTCCGCCTCAAAAAAGAGTGAAGTGCATGTGCATCTCACCGGAAACGTGGCGCCGACCTTCTATTACCCACCACAATTGAATTTGAATGGCTGATTGATATTTCCGTCCGTCCGTCCGTCCGCCCCATCCCCGCACCAACAAAAACTCACATCACAATGAGTTTTTGCAATGAAAAAGAGTTCAGAGTCAATATGGCCGTGAAGAGGAAGGAAGGGGGGAGAAGGAGAGAGAGAGTAAAGGACGGCCGTCGTACTAAGCGCGTCTGGTGATGACAAAGAAGACGGAGAAGCCTATTGAATCGTGTTAATTAAGGCTGGGGCAGTACCGAGTCCGAGATGAAAAAGTAATAAAGTACACATTTGATACGGGGAATTGCTTCCGTTTTTTCTGCCAGCTTGAGAAAGTGCGCGCAAGTTTTCGAGAATTGGAATGGCTACTCGAGTAGAAATGAATGTGGACGTAGATTTGCAAATTTAATTGTGGGACAACGTGCATTTTTGAGTTTCTTAGACGCGCTAGGCTCGTCTTTTCCCTATTATTTTTCCGTAATTACAGTAATCCCGCTCACCTCGATTGAGCGGAGACGGCTTGGAAGATCAAAAGGATGGCGATGAAGAGGAAAGCAATGGTGGTGCTTCGGCTGCTCATAGTTGCGAGGAATGACCGGTTCGGTAGGCGGCTCTGCTGTTGGGCTCGGCTGAAAGGCGGGACGCTGCGCATGGCTGGCTCCTAAGCTCCGCCCACTTTTTCCCCTACGTAGGAAAAGCTGACGAAGCTCGCAAGAGAGACACGTTCACATGAGGAGGGGGCAGAGAAACTGTAGTCATAACTTTTTCCTAGACGTGGGGGGGGAGCTGTCTGTCAAAGTAATGATGAAACGTGTATGACTTATTTTGGAGGAGCATCCATAACTTGAAAAACTTTCATCTAAATTGCGTCAAACCACTGGGCATGACAGAAATATGATGAATTGCCCGTGAATTCATCAAACGCACGTCTGGTGGCATTAAAAACAGAATTTGAATGATTGTAACATCATAGAGAATTTCAGCCACACAACCGAGAGCCGAACCCCTCAAGGGAAGTGAAGGCGAAGGGGAACAAAACGTCATCCGACTCTTTCCATGGGATTTTCAGTGTCAAGAGGTTATCTTTCCACTTTTATGGGCTTCCTCGTTTCCCTTTTTTTTTGAGTTCGGTCCCATTAAAAGTTATGGAGTTGGAGGGCAAACGAGGTGATTTGGAGGCGATCAAAAGCAAGTAAGAATAGGGAAAATAGGTAGGATATGGCATTTTGTAGCCTTGGGGAATTCCCGGAATTTTCTGGGTTTTGGAAAAAGGAAAACAGGAAGGGAAAGAAGAAAAATGCAGTTTTCAGACGTCTGTCTCTTTTCAGCAACTGGAAAGATTAATATTCTTGACTCGAAACAACTTCTTGTTTTGATTAGAACCGTTTTGAATCATCGTATCATGGTTTTCCACGAATGGCGGTCCTGTCTGTAGTCAGTCTCTCCGAAAAATACGATGTGACAATGATGTCTAATAAAAATGAAAACGAAAAAGAAAAAGAAGGAAGTGTTCAACTGGCGTGATCGAGCAGAGTGTGCTGTCATCTCCATTTCTGGTCCCAGAATAGCTCAAGATCCTGGAAAACGTTTGCAAAAGTCATAGGTTAAAGTTGACTAAAAGTTTTCGAAAATGTATTGAATTGCATACACGACATGACGTCTCATCTTCCCATTTTGGGTCGGAGATTCTCGAGCGTTTTTCATTAAGATAGGACAAAGCTGACAAACAAAAGGTGAAATGGAATGGGATGTATTGGAACCACGTGGCTCGTTGACCTCGTGAATGTGTGAGAATTTGACTGAACCGGATCGCATTTCATTTCACACTTCAAGATCAAAATATGTATAATTCAAACAAAAGTGCATGATGACTCAATTTCGGATGATAACATTCAGTTTGTCTCCGTCATCCTGTCATCAATTTCCGGAACAAAGCTCTCGCTTCCGCGATTTTCGCCCCTGGTTTTTGTTCGGTTATGCTTCGTAATTGCTTGATTGGTTAGGGCGCCTGCTTTCTGTTATTCCTTGTCTGAAAAAGAGAGTTCGTTCCGCAGAGATAATGAAATACACTTTGGCCACCGGAACTCGGGTTTTGTAACTGGAGCTGTGTATTGAAACATTAGAGGGGTCTTGTGATTCCCACAAAGAGGACGCTAGAGGTCACATTTGGTTTTGCACGCAAATCAATTGTCATTACACCCTCATTGACAGGTGAAAACTTTCTCGAATGTCAACAATAATGTCGGGAATGCATTTGGACGCTAACGTAATGGCCAAGTTTCCAATTTCATACGTCTTTTCGGGAGAACTATTTCCAGAGCAGCCCCCCCCCCCCTCCTCCTCTTTTAATGCAAAATCGAAATCTGTGAGGGATTGAGTGAACACTGGAGACAATTGTGTTTGTGAGTTTTCGAATTTGCATCCCATTTGAAATTCAAAAGAAAAACGATGACGGAGAAGGAGGAGACCGTCGAATTTCCTGTTGTTTGAACTTTTTTCAATGGTGGGCGAGCAGCAGCGATTTGTGACGTTTTGGGTGAAATCTAATCACTTTTTCTTGGCGGTCGTAGAGCTTTTTCGGGCGACATTGAGTAGGTGGAATGGCGATCGGCTGAGAGGAATATTGTTCGTTCGATTGGCGACAAATTCAATTTTCAACGGCTTTTTGAGTCATGGACTTTGTCGAACGATCAGTCGGCTCGAAAGTTTCACCTTGAACGAATTGTTTGGAAAAAGGCGTACGAAGTTGTTTGCCGAGCCGACCGGACCGTGCCGGCGAATTCCACGTTTCATCCCAGCACAGCCCGTTACAAGTCTGGTTTTCTACATAAATCTGCACTTCTTTCGTCATATACCTGAAATCACAACAAAGCCCAGACTAACCTGAACCCTATTTCTCATTCCCGCACTAATTCAATTCCGATAGTCACGATTTGCATTGCATTTACACGATAAACTTCATTCCAAAACGGCTCGTGTTCAATTTGGTCTCACTTATATTCAATTTGTACATTCTCACCCTTACAATCGAGAACTTGGTCACAAAAATGATATCATGGCTAGAACACGCGGGTAAATTTGAACTAAAACGAGAAAATTTGATTCATGTCGACCTGACAGGTCACGGTTATTTTTGTTGATGTCATTTGTTCCCGACTATAACTATACGACGCCGTAAATCATACTCTGATTTGCTTTATTTCATTTTCCAGATTGGGAAATAATTGGATCGAGTTTTGGAGAGTAAACGGCGGGGAGAAAAAGATATAGACCAACTAGTAGACTATAACTTCTGGATAAACTATGAGATAAAGTATTTCGCTCGGAAAATGTCTTGAAATCATTTCTAATGTTCTTCAATTTTGTAAATTTTTGCAAGTATTGCATAGAAACCACCCACATTTTTTTGTGTTTTGCTTACTGCATTACGATAATCGGTTTTTTTCTCAATTTATCAGTCAGTTGCGATTCTTGATCTTGACAAAAAGTAGCAGTATCACTTTGGGCGCACGACATTTCATCATCAGGAGTATTACGTAAAAATATGAGAAGGTGGCATTAAAAAGACGGATGAGGATGGGGAAAGAGGAAGTTACTATGTACATTCATTTATCATGTCACTACGTCATGGGATGGCGGATAAGAATATTGCAGGAAGATGGGGTTTGTTCACGGTAATTTACAAACAAAAGTTTAGGGTTATCAGAGGCATTGTCGTACAAAATTTGGGCATCATCAACAACGAGATTTCTTCAAATCGTCATCTTCTTCTTCCGAATCTTCGTCTTCTCGGTCGAACTCTTCTTCCTGAAAGAAAACCGTGATTTGTAAAAGCGTTTTTGGCATTTTTGTTTGTATTACCAAATAGAACGGGATATTCATCTTGTTGATAACAAAGAAAGCGGTCATTTCAAATGTAATGGTCGGGATATAGTAGAGACAAAGGGCCACGGCTTCTTGTTTTTCGATCTCATACGCAGCTGAATAACGATCAGCTGCTAATCGGTGAACAACTATTCGTTTCAGACTCACCTGGCTGAAACACGGCGTGAAGGCTCGAGACAGCTAACAACAACTTCAGAATACCATGAAAAACGATAGCGAGGTTTATGTGACTGTAGGCAATCATGTAGACGGACATGATGGAGACTAGAAGGACTCCAGAGTTGACGAGTGGGAAGTACGGATTCGACCACATGCTCTGAAACAAACATCTCATTTGGGTCTAGAAAATTCCGGCTTGTTTGGCCGTGGCTCCACAACTAAACTCTCAAAACATAACGCGGCAGACGGATATGTTTTGGGATCGTATTGTTATTCTATTTCCCCGACCAAAATAGTGATTTGACTCCAAGTTCTTCATTTATTAGTGGTTGAGGTAGTTTTAGGTCAAATACATAGACATTTCGCTTTTGTGGAACTCAATTGAGATGACTGGATTGTGTAACATTTTCTGAAACTTCGTTCACCTTTCTATGCCTAAGGTTATAAAAAACGGTTATTTTCGTTGTTAGACTTATTTTAAATAAAAAAGACAACAGCTCAGTTCACAAAGGTGTTCATAAGTGGTTGTTTATGACTGTCAGGCTACCGCCCTCATTTTTAAAAAAGCTAAACAATTTCTGAACCCGGCCCCGATATTTGACATACTGTACTCACATTTAGTGCGCTGAATCCAATAGCACTCGCGAAGGCGACATCGGCCATTGCATAGATGACAAGGGTCATTACAAGTGGGTGAACACTTTCCAAGAACATTCCGACCGCTGTAAAAAGTGAAAAATGAAACGTTACCAGACTGTGTTAACAAAAAACGAACAGACCAAATAGTATGTGAGGAAAATATGTAAATGCCAGTGGTGATGTGTCAGTTGGTATTGTGCCGCAAGAACAATAAATGGGAGGAGAGCGGGGGGAGGTGGACCGTTTTACGATTTGCTTCCTTTTCTTTTCTTCTCGCGGGATGGTGGAATAGAAACAAAAGGAGGCAAAATAAAAAAGGCAACTTTTTATGCCGCGTCCAAAGTCAAAAAAAAACCCGCAAATCTCGCGGATTTTGCAGTCCAAAGTCGGCAGAAATTTGCGGGAAAACCGTGGTGCGAACAGTTGAAACGACTGCTACCGTACTCGCGTTCGCTTCGAGACCGCGTGTACCGCGTGTAAAAGTCCACTGAAAAAACGGAAAAAATGGGGAAAAACACGTTTAAAACGTGTCGAAATAACACGCGGTCTCGAAGCGAACGCGAGTACGGTAGCAGTCGTTTCAACTGTTCGCACCCCGGTTTTCCCGCAAATTTCTGCCGACTTTGGATTGCAAAATCGGCGAGATTTGCGGGTTTTTTTACATTTTGGACGCGACATTAGTTTTTATAAGAATGCAAAGTCTTCGCTGTCTTGTACTTTTTCAGGTGATCGATCCCAAAGGGATTAGAGAGGAATTAAGCTGGAGAGGTAGAAAATAAAACAAATTGTGAATTCCAGCGGATGACGTACTTTCTAAACTTGGAATGATTTGGGATACACTGTAGATTAATAACAAATGCTAAGGTCATGTCTGGTCGGTCTTCTCTATTTCTTTAAAAAGTATGTATCGAGCCAATCCCATTCAGTAAATGAGCAAATGTATTTTAAAGAATGTGATAAGTACAATGGAACTTTCTGAGCCGGAGCTCAAGCCAAGCATTATGTAAACTACAATTTTCCAATCAGATGGAGACAAAGTGAATACAACTCTCACTTTTTCTGGCGAACCACGCGTTTACCAAAAAGTTTAATGATAGGTTGGGATATTTTTCGCTTCGCTAAAAAAATAGGTATGGCGCTGAGCATTCCATTGGAATTGAACGGTTCTGGTCATTCCGGAGCAACTTTATTTACTGGCGAAACAACAAAAGTGTGTGAGAGGAGGAGATGAGGTGCTGAAACATAGAATGAATGCCGTGCACCCCAGAAAATTAATGAGCATTGCTGCACGCTGGCCCGTATAGGTTCGGGCCGCGGCTGCGGGAAATTGAAGAAGAGAAAAAAGTGATTTCCCCCGTCTTTTGTTCAATCTTTCTCTTCATCTTCATTTTTGCAAGGATCGGGTTCGTCACGAACGCTGAAAAGACATCTTAGGACAATGAAGAATTTGCAGAATTGTTGCACATGTTACTTGTCACTTGAAATGGAGGGAAACGTTGATTCGAGGGATCCAAAGTTAGTTTTCTTCTGTCCGGCTTGGTTTAGTGTTGTTACAAAATTCAAATAAGAATCGTTTTTTGGTAGGTCACAATGACACTCAGCCCAGTTTTCGTTAAAACTTTTGCAGATCATGGCTGGCAATGGTCGGCGCTTGATACCGTAAGCAATTTTGTGCACTGGCCTTTTTCCCGATGGAACGCGTTTGCAAAAAGCCCCTCTAAAGCCCTGGCCGGCCATTTATTCGCCCAGTCCAGGGTAAACCGGAAGCATAGTTCGTTACTTTGAGAGCTATTTTGAAAAAATAGCATTGAAATTGTACCCTGCTGCTTTGTTTGGATTCACTGAACATCCTCTCACCCTCCGCTCCCATCCCCCTCTATTTTTGGAAGTGACATGCCATGAACAGCGTTCATCACCAACATTTCCGGTTTGTTTTGTTCTTCCGACACTCCTCTTGTCTTCTCTCTGGGCTTTTGTGTTTATTCGTTATTTCAGCGGTGTCCCAATCTCTTTTCGGAAAGACCGAATCGGTGAGCGATTGAGGTCCGGGGAGTCCCCAGACAATTTGATTAATGAGCATTAGCGGCCCACATTTGGCACCCGTCTGTGTCCCCGTCTTTCCCTTGTTTTCAGTGGGAGGATGACAGAATTTAGTATTTTTTCTCGGGAAAATCCGCATTTTAACCGTTATTTTGAAATTTTTATCGAATATTTCCAGATAAAATCGGTAGCCAAAAATGAGTACAAACCGTTCGAGCATTTACACCTCGGAAGTGTCATCCAACAAGGTATGTACGTGATTTTTTGCTCCTAAAAGGACACCGCTCTTCCCAAATTTCCTGTTACTCGTGTTTCCTCTTCGCTCTCAAACCCGATCAGATTTCCCTTTTTTGAGGAGCATCGACGTAATGAGTTGTTGGTTGTCTAAACAGGAAAAGGGGAGGAAGAGCTATTTCTCAGGAACTTTCGTAATTTTTGGCTAGTTGTCGTCTCTTCGCCGTCGCCTCTTTAGGGCCCCTCTTTTCTTATTTATTATTTATGAAAATCCTCTTGTTAATGTTACCGCTCTTTTTGTAACCGAGTGCGGAAAGAGACGAAAATCTTCTCGTCTTTACGATTTTGCTAACATTTTCGGTGGTTTACTACTGTACCTATCTTTAAATTCTGGCTCAACATGAAGAAGCATCCGGCGGTGAGTGAAAAAATGTGGATGTCGGAATGTGGAATGTGAAATGTGAGTAAGGCTGCATTTTTGATCAAAAGTGGGAATGTGAGGATATGGGTTTGCGTTTCAACACATTTTTGTGTTGTGTGTATCGGTTCCTAGATGAGGAATGAGGTATCAAATCAAAAAATTAGTAATGCAATACCAGACACCACTAACAAGAAACTAGAAAACGAAACCTACCAATAACAACCAACTTCTTCTTCTTCTTCTTCTTCCTCCTTCTCCTTTTCCTCTATTTCTCGCTTCACACCGTCAATTTCATTTTCATTAGCCGCATCGTGTTTACCCGCTCAAAAGCCACTTTTCATCTGAAATTTGTCTGCGCCGCAATGATTTGTGTTTGTTTTTCTGTCATTTGTGCGTGCTGAAGAGGATGAGTATGTATATAAATCCATCTAAAAATATGTGCGTCAAATGATGCTCGGTCTAGAAAGAAAATTAGATCAGAAAAAGTTATGGGATGAAGGATAAGGATAAGATAGGATAGAAAGAGGGGGCACTCACTTTTCCCTCATGGATTCTTCCATATCCTCTGCTTCTCCGCCAATGTCTGCCACATCTACATCTTCTGAAAATGAAGAGAATTTCGGAAAAACTGTTCATATTATTCTTCCGGAAAAGTCGACCCGAGTCACTTTTGCTGATGAGGAGGTAATATCCATTAATGGGGGTAGACATGAAGAAAAGGGGAAACGTCATATCTCACTTTTCATTGTTTCCGGGTGCTCTCTCTCTCTCTCTCTCTTTTGGTCTGGCCGCTCAAGAGATATTGTGGATGTTTGGAATTCTGAGAGAGAAAACTTTGTGTAACATTGAAACAGTTTATTTGACATCCTGAAAACATCCAGCCACCAAATTTTTATCCGTTTGTCTCTTCCGTTTCGGTTTTCTGCTCTTTTCTAATTTTTATACATACGTGTTCATCTTTTTTTGCAGCGTAAAAGATGGGGGGAGGGTTTCAAGTTACTTTGCTAATTTCTGACTTCCATTCGAGCCAAAAAATCTATAACATAACATTTCGCAATTCAATTTTTGAGCACTTTAACAAAAACCTCGCCCACGCTTCTCTCGGCATTCTCAAATATCAATTTTCTTGCAGTTGGGGGCTGGGGCAAAGTAAGTTTTGAAATTTTTACTAAAGTTTCAGAAATTTCTCATTAAATTGGGTCCTTCCAGTGAACCGGGAAATAACTTTCCAGTTTTGATCCAAAACATACGTAATTTTCTATGGAAAAGTCACAAGAATATGTGATTGTACTTGGAATACTAGGATTACAACCAATTCCCAGAAAAAGTTGGCTAATGACCTCAATCTGCATATATGACATTTTAGAGGATTAATGATTGTGATTATGCTTACAAGAAGAGGTTGCTAAGAGCTTTTTCTCTCTAAGAAGACGCATTTTTCAAAGCGAAAGTTGAACCTAATCTAGACTCTTTTTTCTACTACATACAAACACACAAATCCATTATGTTAGCTGCACACACGAACATATGTCTCTTTCCTCTGTCTCCTTTCTGCCCTGGCACCAAACTTTTGCAAAATAAACCTTCTTCCTCTATTCTTCTTCTTCTTCTTCTTCTTCTTCTTCCTCTCCTCCTCTCTTTTTCCTTTTCTATTCATAGCCTTTGGTCAACTTCTCATTAGATCAAATGAAAGGCGGCTGTACGTGTGTGGTGTGTGTGCACCGCCTTCCTATTATTGTCACTTTCAGTTTTGCATGACGTTTCCTTAAAAGGATTTTTGTTGGGAAATGTTCTGGATGTGGTAGGAGAAACTTGAGAATTCAATGAATTCATTTTGAAAAATTTTTTCACTTCAACATCTTCTCAACACGCAATCTTTTGAACCAACGCGTCTATCTTCATCTTTCCAAAACGTTTGCCTACACCAAAGCCGAATCTATCAGTATTCTAACTAAAAAATGTCGACAGTCGGTTACAGTCTCGTCAAATCAAACATCACATTTTACAGCCCAGTGGTTAGACTTTCAATTTCAATTATTCCCGAACTACACCACACCACATCACCAGATTCCATTTAATTAGGGTTTATTAAGTTTGGTTTTCAGATGTCACGTCTCAGATCGGACACTTATATCAAACCGGGATCGGAGAGCAGTTTCGACAGCGATGACTTGCATTCCCGGAGGTACGGACATCAATTGGAGAACTATTGCTGTTTTTCTGATGTTTCTGCTAAGGTGGGCTTAATTTTTTGTCACAAACTGTGGAGCAACAAGTTCAGAAAGCAGTAATCCTTTCTGGAATCATCACAGGAACACAGGCGGTTGGAAATTTTGCGTTTTTACTTCATGGTAACAGAAATAGAGATCAAGTTTCATTGAAAGTTCAAGGTTTGTAGGATGTGGCATCACAATGTTCGACATGGGACTAGCATTGATTCCAGTGGTTTTGGGGACCGGTGCCGTCTTGTTCATCACATTTGCATTTCTACACCACAGTTCGTGCTCGTTGAAGCCTTATATCGTTCATCACGTAAGTGGACGTTTCGCAACCCGAGATTTTCAAAGCCATGTCATTTCTAGGTCCAACTTGCTGTGCTCTACTTCCTTTGCCTCGTTCTTTTTGCGGCAGTCACGTGCAAACAGCAATTATCGCTCGACATTTTATCATTTTTGTCCAATCACTCCAGCAACTTTGCTCATATCCAATCAGCAGGTGAGAGATCGAAAATCCAGACATGTCAGTCTGGAAAAATGTGCCGCCAATCTTGTTTTCAGTAACAAATTCCGCTTTTCAGAAGGACCCCAAAAGCTAATCGTCGGCGGATACCTTTTGTCTCAACTTGTTATCAGTTTTTTCTGTTTACACCTTTCGGGATCACTTTTCACCTGGCTCGACACTGAGAAGAGGTATATCAGTAACGAGTGCACGGAAGTCATCTGAAGTTATCTCAAATTCATATCACGCAAAGTAGCTGTATTCTTTGTAAAAATGTTCAAAACAAATTCCACATATTTTCTTTACATTCCCTGTGATCCATTTCCACTTGATTTGCATAAACAATTTATTAACTCGAACAAATTATTAATTGAGAAGACAATAAATAAGTAAGGATGAGGAAAAATGAACCAAAAACAGTACACAGCTTACAGAAAACATTTTGATTGCAACATTTTGTGATACTGGCATGACAAAGACCCGCGGGAAGAAGGAACAGAAAATCATCTAGTGTTTTTTTTGGAATTTAGTTGTTTCCATTTCCATCGCAGTTGATTCCATCGAAATACACGGTCGCGGCGTCATATCCGATCATATCAGGTCTACGGTAGTCGATCAGAGAGTCACGGTACAGTTCGCAGCTGTTGAACTCGCCTGGAACACGGTTTGCGTATACGGAAAGTTTTGTTTTCAAAATGTTACCCTGGGCAATAAGATTTGCAGATCGGCATCTCAATGCATAGCAGGCGGCAAAGCAATCAGCGGGGGTCTTAACACGAACAGCCTTGAGAAGTCTGCGTCCGAGGAAGGAGGTCTGGTAAAGGGCAGAGTAGGAGCAACGGCCAGCTGGAGGGTATCCGGCGGTGGTGGTTGTCGGTTCCGTGGTCGTTGTGATTCTTGGAAGCGGCATTCCACTTTTGTCAACTTTTTCGTCAAACTTGTGAGTCTTCACACCACTGGCTTTTTGTCTGAAAACATTTTGAGTGAACTTCTATGTAGTTTGATGGAAACAAACTTAGCGATGGTAGTTGTGTCAGCGCTCGCGGTAGTGGTGCTGATGGTTTCAGTGGTCTCTGGTGCTGGTTCGCTAGTTGGTTCATCATCCAAACCGGTGCTCAGCTCCTCTCCAATATGCTCCTCCACATCCTCATCTTCGAGCCCTTCAGCTTCCGGAATGCTGTATTTCTTCGGTTTCTGAGTTGGTGTCGTCGATTCGCTGCTCTTTCCAACTTCTGCGGAAGAGCTTGATGAAGAAGAGGGCGTCTGCTCGGCACTGGGCTCAGGGATTTCCATCTTGGCAATTTTTTCGAGTACATCTTCTTCAACTCTCTTCATGTGCACTTTATTCGGGTCCTTCTCTTCCTTGCCGTCTTCTTGTTCCTCACTGTCCAGTATAGCCCCTTCCACTACTTTTTGTTTTAGCAAGTTCTCCAGAGACTTCTCGTCAACCGTCTTCATGGCCACAGTTCCATTTCTACCATTGGTAGGGTCAATGGGACCATGCTTTTTGACCTCCTTGTGCGAATTCTCTGAAAAATTACGATTCAAATCAGTTGGGTGCCTTGATATCATACTCTTCTTATTCAGAATCAATTGAGCAGTAGTGGTGGCTTCTAGTTGTTCAGTGGTAGTCGTAGTTTCTTCCTCTATCTCTTCAGCTCTTTCCAGTTTTCCAACTGCCTCGTTGATTTTCTCCATAAGAATCTTCTCATCAACTGGTTTCATCTCAACTTCTTCTTTCTTCGGAACTTCTGTAGTTGTAGTGCTCGGCTCCTCGGTGGTGGTGGTGGTGGGGGTAGTCGCCTCTTCAATCTTCTTATGAACCTCCTCAATCTTCTTCAACACCTCATCCGTATCCAAAATGTGTTCAGATTTAGCCTTTTTGTCTTCTTTCTTCTCATTCTGTCTCTCAAGTTCCTCCTGAGACTCCACAACCTTCTCAATCTTGTCCAAGAACTCCTTCTCGTCCAATCTCTTCATGCGCCCTGTATTCTCGCCCATTTTCTCGTCTTGCTTCACTTCGACCGGGTCACTTTCACTGTTTAGCAAGTTTCCTTCGACTTTTTCCGGCTCAACCTTGCAAACATCGGCAAGATACTTGCTTCGGGCGGTGTCTTTGTTCGCGCAGGTCCATTCGAAGTAACTTCTAGACTGATTGATGCTAGGGACGAAGTTAAACTTTTCCGGGTTGGAGAATCTGCAAAAAGTTTCCACGTTTTCTAAATCCAAGTCAAAATCCCGAAATCTCGAGGCTAACCTGTTCTGCTTGTTGATCAGACAGGTCTTACTGTCATAATAGTACAGGAACGATGCGCACTCCTCTCCGTACAACTTTTGTCCCTCGGCGCACTTGCATTTGCATTCCTAAAAGAGGATATACAGAGATAAATCTTGAATGCAAGTTACCTCAGCCGTGACTGCAGTCTCGACCGCGATCGCAGTTCCCTCCAAGACAAAATCGTTCAGTTCCACGTAGCATTCATCGGATTTCAATCCATTCTTCTTAGCCTTTGACTCTTTTGGGACAACTGAGGAAGTTTCCGATGTAGTTCTACGGCATTCGGAAGTTGGCAGCGACTCCAGACTCTTCACAGATTCATCGACGCCACATGTGAGACCGATGTAGGAGACATTGAGGCTGGTGAACTGTTTCTCGAACAGCTTGCTCTTTATGTTTCTGTCCTCCAAGTTGAGAATACAATCCTTCTCGGTGTGGTAATAAGTTGCAGAGCGACATTGGAACTCGTAACGACCGGATTTTCTAAGAATTGTGGAAATGTTATAGGTATAGTGAGAGAATTCTTACTTGCTGTTAGCACACATGCATTCACACTCTACAATCGAAACGTCATGTTCAAGTCCGCCAGCAACACTAACCATCAAATGGTCAGGAATAATCTCGAAGCATCCATCTTTCTCTAGAACGTTTTGAGAGGTTAAACATAAATTTGGACTCGTTAGAACTTACTAATAACTATTTCCGCTGGAGTGATCTCGTTTTCTTCTCCAACATCATTTCCAGTTGGTCTTGCCGCTTTCTTCGGTTCTTCGCTAGTGGTAGTTGGTGCCACGGTAGTAGTTGTTGTGGTCGGTGCCTTGGTGGTAGTTTTAGGCTTGACAGTTGTTTTTTCTGGTTTTTTAGTCGTTGTGATTGGTTTTTTGGTAGTAGTGGCCGGTTTCTTGGTGGTCGTCTTTTTCTTTTCTCCCTCTACTGTCTCAGCGGTTACCAGCTCAACTTTCGGCTTTTTCGTGGTCACTTCAGAAGCGGATTTGAAGTTTGGACACTTGGAAGAAGCAGTTTCGACAAGAATCTGTGGATCACATCCGACATACTGGTACAATGTCTTGCGCTGCTCGATCAAATCGTATTGTCCCCTGGAATCATATCTAGTTAATCGGATCCACCTGACTCGGACTCACAAGTGATTTCCTCTGTTCAAAGTGCAAGTTTTGTTTCTAAATTGGAAGGATTGACACTTGTACTTTCCGCCGTTCAGCTGATAAGTGGCAGCACACAAGCAACGACAGTCATTCACCGAATCCACGTCGTGCTCCGCAAAACTGGCGCCGAGGAGATAACGGTGACGGATGGTACGGTAGCATACGGGTCCTTTACCTGAAACCATACATATAGAAGAATGTCCTAGTAATTCGCCGGGGCGTTACGAATTGTAAAGAGTAAGTGAGAACCCAACTTTCTTCCTTTCTATATTCTCACCTTTATTACCCTCCTTTGCGACACTTGCGTCATTCTGTTGGAGGGTGAGCGGTTCGACCGATCCGGTTCCACCCTCTTGCAGTCCACTAATGTTGGCGAGAATCAGACGGGTGACGTATCCCTCGGCGCGTGGGCGGTCAGAATCCACGTTGGAAGTGGTTTGAGACACTTTGGAAACTGATGGAGTTGTCAGGGGATCGGTGATTGTGTTCGAGGAGGATGAGGAGAAGTCCTTGTCCTTTTGCTGACCGTCATTCGGCTCACCAGTGATTATTCCAACCTGGAAGAAGAGACAACGATAACTAGGTCGTAGGCTAGTCCACTTACCGGCACTTTCTTTCCCTTCTTATCAGTCTCCTTCTCATCATGATTTCTACAATCATCCACACAAGCGATCTGGACGAGATCAGTTCCTGATCCCTCCTCCAACTGGAAATCCTTGTATCTTTGTGTTCTCGAGGCACACGCAACAGTGTATTCATAGGAAATTCCGCATGTTTTCGTGCGCGTATTGTACACGGCACTTCGACAGAATTCGCGTTGCGAACAGAAGCTGGCGCATTCTTTAACCGTCGCCAGATTGATCCTAAAAGAACAGGTGAGTGGAGAAGAAAGGAAATGGAGATTGGATAGATAGACTCGAAAATAATTTAGGTTCTCAATTCATTTCCATAATTCCCTAGCAAGAATACCAGTTTGTCACATACTCACCCTGTGTAATAGAAATCTATCTCAACAGCTTGATCATATCGGATTCCTCGCGCAAAGAACTCGGGATTGCAGTCACCTGAACTCGATGATTTTTTAAAAATATTAATTATGTTTCGTCCTCGACAACCTACCGTATACTTGATGGACAAACGCCAACACCAGGCACAAGAGCCCAATTGTTTTTGACATTTGTGCTGCTGCGGAATGTTCGGATCTCCTTCGAATCGAGTGGTGTGGCCTTACTGTAAAAACGAATGAAGTGGCGTGAATGTGATTGTTCCAAGAGTGGGGGGGGGTCAGTCACTAAAATGCGCGAACGGGTGGAGGACAAAATGAATGAAGTGGGATGGAAAATATGCGCAACAATTTTCCCGAAGAAGATGACGGCGTCGCCGCAGTCAACGACACTTGCTTATGGTCACAGGAGGGGGGCAATGGCGACAAAAAGCGAATGGAATAGTCTTAGGAAACGGAGAGAGTGTGATATGAGGTCGGGGGAACAAAGCCTACTCCTTCTCCTTCTTCTCCAATTCTAAGCCACTTATACACGTTCACGTTTACCGATCCCAGAAAAGAAAGCGGTGAGTGTCACAAAATATGTGATACGATATATACGTCCAGCCGTTATAATAAATTATAATAAAGGAAACGGAGCTCAGAAACATTTCGGTAGACCTGACCAAACATTTTGCAAGCTTTACCGTATCCTAGTTCATCTGGAACTTTCTGACCGACGCCCACCGATTTTCTTGTTATGCAAACGAAACGAACGGCAAGATTGGGCTTAATTTGATGATTACATTATTGGATAAGTGCAAAGAATACATCGGAAAAAGGAGGAGGAGGAGAAATAACAGTACCCCATCGAGATCGGGTTCTTCTATTAGACTCGCGGTCGCAAAAGTGGAAAAAGAAGGGAAAAAGCCAAGACGAACGCGAATCGAATTAATAGGAAAGACAAGGATTGAAAGTTGTCATCGAATGGTCGCATCTCGAGTGAATCGCAAGTTAATAGAGGTACTGTCCCCCCTATGGATGAAATGGAGACGAGACAGGCTAGGTGGGGAAAAAGAAGAAGAAGAAGAAGGAGAAGCCATGCGATCCAAGAGAGGAAAAAACAGATGATGATGGAGATACACGAGAATGGACTGGATTGCGACGTCTTTCTCCCACCCCCCTCCTGTCAGACGACAATTGGGTTTCTCTCTCCTTTCTCCGAGACGAGACACCGTTTTTATGAACGGTCACTGTTGGCTACAACATGACACCTGCTAGTATGACGACTTGCTAACCTCCCCATGTTGAAGGCAATATCCCGGGAAGGATGGGGGGACAATGAATGAAAGGCATAGGCTAAAAGCCGAGAGGACATTCAAGTTTGATACGAACCGAAGAGATCCGAGAAGATTTGCTTGCTGAACCGTAGAAGTCACAGCTTTGGGTCAGAAAAATGGAATGCAAGAAAACATAATGCAATTTTGCGAACCGGTCTCGGTCTCGTCTCGGCCGATCCGATTTCATTCCATAAGCCTAGATGCTAGATGCTAGATGCCAAATTGAGAAAGGCAAAACAACAGCAAAACCTACATAGAAGAGACAATAGGACACGTTTCTGCGCGCGTAAAAGCTGATATGGATGACGGAAGGGGGAGTGGGTAGGGCGGGAGAAGAAGTTTCTTTGAAACTTTTTCTGGATTCGTCGAGACGGCGACTGGATTTTCTTGTCTTTTCCCTTTTCCCTTTTTCACATATCCACCCTTTTCGTTAAAGTGATAAGAGACGATGCGAATGTTGTGAATGATTAAAGAGAATAGGTTCGGTTCTTTTCGTCGCGAACCGTATTCCGTATGATAGATGAGGCTGGAGGGGGGTCAGGGATGGGTGGTCAGTGGTTAGCTAGACGGCGGATGAAGAAAAGAAAGTGAAACATGAACACAAACTGAGTACAATAAGGTGGTAGAACATCTACGACAAAAGGTCAGAAACGGCGGATTAGACTTTGTGAATCCAGCACAATTAGCTGCTGGAGGCTAGCTGCGAAGGAAAGAGATGACGAATGACAAATTCCTCTCTGCCACCCACCAAAAGATTTATGGTCGGGATGAACCACTTTGAAACTATTTTTTTTTCGGTTCCAATTCCCGATGACCGGAAAGATGATTGTTTCAAGCGGAACAGAAGAGCGAAAAAGTGTAAGATCATTTTCTGGATTCGTGAATCACATCAGATCAGATTCCCTATGCCAAATGAGGTGCGAAGTGGGTGGGAGGGAGGAAAAGGATACGAACAAGCCGAAAACTAGCTCCCCGATCTTTAGAACCAAATCACACGACTCATTGGGCCCGACGGTCCTTGTCGTTTCGGAAGTCTGTCCGGGTACCGTATTTGTTTAGCAACATTTTGACTTGGACTAGAAAAACAGACTTGTGGCGTGCCAAGCCAGAGGTCTGACCACCAGCCTGGGTAATTCAAGACACGCGTTTCAAGTCATTACAAAATTTTGTAAAGTACATTTTCTTGTGGTCAATTTCATAAGAGGTTGCGGTGGTCAAAGTTGTGGAGGGATAGATGACACTTGAGATGTTGCTGCTGCGTTCGTTTCCCTATTATGTTTATTCACTGTGGTATGTATCAACATACTAGTTAATGTGTTTGTACAGAGAAAACGGTTGCACACCTCTCGACACTCAAACGAACGGAATGGAAGATGACCGACACTACTTGCACTTTGGTCTGTTTTGTGTTTTGCGTGGCGTGCGTTACACTTTGAATTGTGAAAGCTTCGAATGAAATTACATTTTATTTGCAAGTTTCTTCTGGTTCTGGTTCAGCACATGAAAAAAGAGTAAATATGTAGACGATGATGATGACGATCCCCCGTAGTGTTTCGACTTTTTTTTTTGGTTTTTTTTTACATTAGCTACTCGGCACATTTGTTAGAAACGCAGTTATTTTCGTCCGAAGAAGTTTCCTCCGATGTCTCCGACCGATCCTCCGAGACCTCCGACTCCAGCGATGTTGGCGGCCTGATTGAGTCTCTCGTTAATGTGCGAGGCGACAGCCGGAAGACGGAGTTTGTCGTTGGCGGCAAAGTTGTAGAAATAGGCCTCGGCTTTGCTGTTGATGTCGTACTGAAAAACAGAAAAGTTACAGAGCCCAAAAAAGTATCACAAACATGAGCTGGAGTCTCATAAACAGCGAGAATGTAGTTGTTGGACTCAAATTTGCACATCTTGGTGCCATTGTAGTTGGTGTTCAACTGGAAGTCCTTTGGAGCCATGATGACCTCGTAGGCCACTTGGAAGTGGCGCTGAACAAAGCTCGAAATGCCTTGAACAATTGGTCCAAGAGTTTGGGGTCCTCCAGCTCCGAACAGGTCCAGAGTCTTCAATCCGGTCTCAACGACGGTTCTGATGGTCGAGTCGCAGCAGAATTGCTTGCCAGGCTTGACACGGAGACGATCCTTGAGGGCAGGGCAGGTATCGCCTTGACCTGGAAGGATTTTATTTACATTTCCAAAGTTTTAGGAAACATTTGACAGCTTAGAACAATCCACCTTATCTTTGTTGTTATTTTGATTGACTACTCGTTGCATTAATCCCTCACATGCATTCCCAAAAGCAAAAGAGGCGTAGGAGGCGTAGGAGGCGGAGGTGGTAGAAACGGAGGAAATCCTTAAGTTAGACATGCAAAGTAACATAGGTCGAAAAAATCATGAGCTTTTCTATAACTGAAACGGTTAACGTACCCTGGACAGTGATGAAGACAAGACCGGCAAGGACGAGAAGGAACTTCATCGCTGCTGAACACTTCCCCACTCTTCCACCCCGTGCTTTTATAGTAACCAAGGTTCGACCTTGATGAGATGCTCGATAACAGTTTTTGCAGCCTTCAAACTGGTATCTACCTCTTGTTTTTTTTTGTGTTTTCTGCCCTCATTAGAACCACTTAAAAACTGAGGATCACAGAATTGAAGTTTGGAGAGGGCGCCAGACATTTATTTCCCGAGACGAGATAGATCAGATAACACTTTGACCTTCGGCGTCTACCAAAGGTTTTAAGACACTAGCGCCCAAGGTTGCTGCTGTTTTTGAATTTTTGTTGTTGATTTCAATGAGAGACAAGAGATTGTAATGCAGACTTTATTTACATAGAGATAATGATCATTGGGCAACAACGTGTGAATTTGAAGTTCAGTATCAACAGTTCCAAAGCGCTCCGATCTATGTTCCATTTACAAGATTCTTGGGTCCTTTGGAATGTCGGCGATGTTGGCGGCCTTTCCAAGTGCTGCAAATTCAGCAAACTTCTCAAAGTATTCCTCGAGAGCTGGGTTGGCGAGGTCGTACTGAAATTATTATTATTATTGTTGGGTTTTTAATGTTTTCAGGTGTATTGAAAGTTTTTGTGAAATAGTTCCGCAAACTGACCTGTCCTGGGCTTGGGTAGACGATGTAGTGGAAACCATCGATGGAGGCCTCACGGCAGATGGTTCCGTTGAAGTTGGTCTTGAGAGTTGGAGCACTTGGAGCCATCATAACCTCATGAGCAGTTCCGAACGCCTTCTGGACACGGGTTCCGAGTTGGTTGGTGAACTTGATGCTGGAGACGTCCTTTCCGAGATCGGCACGAAGTTGAGTGATGATTTTGGCGTACTTATCCGGACAATCCTGAATAAGTGAGAAAAAAAGTTACTGGCTGGATATCTCTGTTGTAGTTCTAGTACCTTTTGTGTCTCTGGCTCGTAACCTGGTGCTTGGTATGGGTCAGCTGGCTTCGGGAGGTCATCATAAGCGGCGAATACCACGGCGGCAGAAACAGCGGCCAAAATCATAAACTGCATGTTCTGAGATTTCTGAAAAATGTGAGTGACAAGGTAGAAATAAAAAGCCGACACTTATTTAAACGAAGATAGGTAGCAACCAATACACAGACTTCATATCTAAAATTTCACGTACCTCCCCTTTTTCCCCGCGTCTATTGTAACATTAAAGCCTCAAGCCCATAATACAATAGGAAAAAACTGAAACTAAATTGGGTTACGCAGTCCGTAAGGCGCCAAAAACTGGCTTTTTTATCTGTTCACTTCAGACACTTTTTTTTTTAGAAATGAAAAGGAGACGATTGCCCGTTCGCAAGCGTAGAATAGAGGTGATCTGTGCCAAAAGGTATCCGCACACATTGCCTTTTGAAGCGGCGGATCGTGGGCGACGACCTTCGGACGGTTCTTATGGAAAGCCGGTGATAGGCATCTAGTTTCGGGCCTCCGATAGCCGCGTTTAGAATAAATGAGGTTGGAGTGAATGAAAATGGAGGAAGTAACTGTAGCGACACAGTATTTGTTCTAACCTTGCCGCTTTTATAGACGTTTGATGGTAATGGTGTGAACAGCTTTTGTTTAGAAAAACTTACCGTCGGTTTAAAAGCATAGTAATAAATGTCTTGTCGTCAAGTTCAGTCTTCCGTTTTGTTTCATTGGTTACATTTTCTCAATATACACTGAAAACTACTGAAAATGTATTTGGGAATTGTAAAAAAAGCTTGCCGATTAAATTAAAACATGAGCATATTAAAGCAAAAATGGGTGGGGTGTGTCATTTCAGAATGTCAAATACATTTAGAAACTTGAAATTAAACCAGTCGACATGGGTGTTTGTTCATAACGAGATCGTTTTCTTCGAATTACATAATGGACACTTGGACGTGGAGTCAACGACGTGGCGGAGGGAGGTAGAGCTCGTCATTCATGCTCATGGTCGACCGACGGCTGAAGGACACACTGATCTCATCCGGGTCCTTGATTCGCACGGGCTCTGGCTCGGCGATGACTGCCGGTATCGGGTCTTCCGGATTCTTTTCATGGGTGGTTTGAACTACCTGGAAAAAAAGTTATTTTTCGAAGATTTGTATTGATAAATAAGATGCTTACCTTGTTCTTCTTGATCAGTTTACGGAGGGTTCGAAATCGGGCAATGATGAAAAGGATGAGGAGGATTACAAAAACCGCAAGTCCACATCCAAACGCCAAAAAGTAGGGGTTTGCGTCAAAGTTGTGTGTGATGATATAGTTCACTAAACCAAATTGTCGGCACGGAAGTGTCAAAACTGTTACCTGTCGGCACAAGGATCACAGTGCTCACAATAAGTCCTATTATTGGAGCAAGGATTGTGACGAGGAAGATGTAGTGAGTGGATGTGTGGACGGCGAAGATTGAGACAATATTCGCGACGATCCAGACGATCTGTAAACATGCAAATTTTGAAAAAAAGAAATAAGTTTTTCAAGTGTTAGAATAGCTCCATCAGAATTACTCTAAAACCTTCAAAATTTCACGATTTGCCAGACTTTTAAAATACGTTTTTCTTATTCCCTGTTTTCACTACGTTCAATCTTATTTTCTCTTTTTTTATGCTCTCCACTCTTCCCCTCATCCAAGATTTTTGACACACCAGACCCTCCCCCCCCTCTCCTCCCATCTTTAAGGAAGTGGTGGGTGACCAGCGCCAAAATATCTCCGATTTCGTAGTGTCCGATTTCAAAATATATTGCGGGAGAGAAAAACAGATGATGGTATGCGCTTTGTTTTCATTGTCACTCATACTTGGCCGCCATATTGAGACAGCTGTCGGATAAAATAGAATCGAATTGAACGAACACGCGCGGTGCAGTGAAAGTACACCAACCTGATATACAAAAATGGGAAGCAGAAAATGGAATCCGACAATTCCCGACAGCTCCGGATGATATGATTTGTAGTGGTCTTCGTTTGAGGCGAACACATTGAAGATGGTGAACACGGTGGAGGGCACTATGACCAGAATCTCAACGACCTGAGCACAGTTTGATAAAAAACCGGTCACATAAAGCGCACCTACCACAACAGCAAAGAACAGTACGTTCTGTGAGATGGTCGCTGAGCACTTGACGCCATTTTCTGACATAGACCCGGTTGAACCCTGAAATATGAGAAAGTTCTTACAGGACTAAGATTATGCGTAAGAGGAAGAGGAAAAGGAAAAACGTAGATATTAATGCGATTTAGAGAGGAAAATGGCATAACCATGACTTTTAAAGACGGTGGGAAAAAAGGTGAAGCTTAGAATTCGAATTTGATTTATCATAAGTTTTTCAATGCAAACGAAGGAGAAAAAAGAGATGAAAGCACGAAAAAAAGTGCGGTGAAACAAACGGAGAGAAGAGGGAAGAGTGCGTGACGCCATTTCGTGCGCCAATAATTATACGTTACGACGAATTGGATTCAGTGAAGATTTGAATATATGCTGCTCGCCGGGGAGCGAAGAAGTGCAATAGTACAGATTTTGCTCAAACTACGTTTTTCAGCTACTAATTTTGAAAAAAATTTAGTGGGAAGGGTCACTCAACGCAGAAAAACAAAACAAACCAGCGCATCCTCTCAGAATTTCTAAGCAGCGGTCCCTGGCACACACCTTCCCAACCAAATCGGAACCAAGGAATTGGAAAACGAGAAAAAAAAACGGGAAGAGAATTGAAACGCGTGGGGGAGGGAGTGAGAGTCAGTCACAACAAGAGCCAAAACACTAACACTGAGCGGCGCGCTGTCAGCCGTCAAAATTTGATTAGATTCTGGTATCTCTATAACCATTTGCCCTGTGCTGTTTACTTCTAATCAGAAAGAGCAAGGATGAAGAGAAGCTGCTGCAACGTGGATGCTCAGAAACTAAAAGAAATACATAGTGCTTTGATACGAAAACGTACAATTCTCCAGAGAACCAGTAAAACTGAGCGAAATGTGATTCTGAACTGTGGAAAAACTGATAATCGCACTAGGTTTTCACCCAATTTAGACAAATCATGTGATAACAGTTTCTGATAAATAGTCGAGAACAAAAATCAAAAGCTCACACACTTTGGTTACGCGGCGTTACGGTAGTTGTTCCGACCTGTTGTTTTTCAGGTTATAAATACTAAAATAGTTGTGAAAAAGCAGTGATTAATCTTATTACGAACTGACCAGCACCCGAGCGAGGAGAGAAACAGGGAAAGAGAAGTGTTTAGATGGGAGCAACAACATGTGATAGTACCTATGGCTCTCTGCACTGATAACAACTACCATGGGGCATGGCGGGATGGCGGTTCTGATTGATAATGGGGGCAAATAAACAGATTCGCGCGCTCTTTCGCGTGTTATGTTGACATGTGTGTGTGCCAACCGTCGTCACACATATCACCAATTCATACTTTGATGGTGTCATCCGTCGTCCATCGTGGCCCTCTGCCCTCTCAGAAGACTAAGAAAAGGAAAGGGGGAGAGAGAGAACGAGAGAAAAAGAGAGCAGAGCTGTGAGGTTCATCGGAAATTGGGGTGAGTAAGAGTGATACATATTTATTGGTATTCTTCGAATGTTCTGCAATCCAATCTATGAAGAAGAGAAGGATAGAGAAAAAGAAGAAGACGAATACAAATCTTCCCAAGCAGAGAGAAAAGACGAGCCTTTTGTGGTCCCCTATTCAACAAAAAAAAGCAGGAACAGAAAGTAACCGCTCTTTCATCTTTTTTTGAGAAAGTCTAAACGGGTGCGATTTCGAACATGATCCCATGTGAGCACAAATACAAAAGAGCATAGGAAGGTGCTGGCGGGCGGCTACGGGGAAAGAGCCGGTTTTTGCAAGTCAGGCTCTCTCTCTCTCTCTTTCTTTCTTCCGCAGTGGTTTTTGTGCACCGAGAGCTTCGATCACCGTATGTACATACATAATAATTGTGATGATTCTGTTTGTTTAGGCCTTGCTGTTGGAGCACCACGTGTAATTCAATTTCACTCCTCTTCCGCTCGTCTCTCTCTTTTTTTGAGAGATTGGGCGTTTTCAATGCTTTACCATGACAAAAAAGTGATGTGGTACAAAAACAAAAGGAACCGGACGGAAAGTACGAAAAATGTGGTTGCTAGTCGATTCAATTTTGACAGTTCCGCCTATTTTTATGGAAATGATGATGCATCATGGATGGCGCGGCTTGATGCTCGTTTTGTGTTTATTTTGGCCCGGGAGACGAACACAAGAGAGTTTATGTATACAATCATGGAAAGAAATGGTCACACTGCGAATAATGGGACAAGGAGAGGAAGTGAACCCAGAAAAAGAAGAAATGCTGCAAATCTGCTCGGAAGAATCTCTTAGAGAAATGAGAAATCAAAATTTTCTTCTGAAATCGCAGACAGTGACGAAACTTGATAAATGTAACAAAAAGATCACTGCGACATTCGCAAAAATGACATGTACACTGGGGAAAACTCAAATTACATCAGCTCCTCCCTGAAGATCGGCCCACGTTTTTCCAATTGCGTCGCAATTGAACGTGATGAGCAGAAACCATTCGATTCTAGCGTTTTCAAGTGCCCAGACTTAAAACCGAACGGCACTCAGTCTCACACACTCTCCGCACGCAAGTACCCAATCATTTTCGTCTCCTCTTGACGTACTTCGAACTCAATTCGGTTTTGATTGTGAGAAAACTACTTTTGTCGCTGCCGTCCCGTCCGAAGGCGAGAAATGCGCGTGCGCATCATCAAGTTTTGTAAACCACTTTTATTTTTCAAAAAGAAAACGAGGATGGGGGGGGGGAGGGGGGTAATCCAGGCATCTATTTCATTCCATTCAATAAGAAATTGTGGGTGATACTGCTTTTTCAGAGAATGACCACTATTTTTGTTTTTCAACAGGACATGCACACATACAAATACATAGATGTGTATGTAATCAGTAAGTCTACCTACGATTCTATTTATATCATCTATCATCAATATACTACTTACGTGTGAACAATTCTCAGCGCCGTTTAAACTTACGATCTCATTTTGTGCTGACTAAACTGACGAGGTCAATTACGAGGGATGAGAAAAAAAAAGGAAAGAAAGGTAATTGAGTCATGTAGTGACGGCATTGAAATATTATCTGATTTCAAAGGCGGGTAATACTAGAAGAAGGTTCTAAAATGTTCTCTTTTCTGAAAGCTTTTACTCTCGTGTTTTATGAGCCTCTAACGAAAAGAAGACAATAGAAAAAGTAAAAAGTTTCCCACCATTTCAAAAGAATACGGTATTCGACTCTTTTCACACCAAGTGTAGGAAGAGCAAGCAAAAAAGCGGAAGAAAGTGTTGTTGTTCTACATTCCCCAATGTGCATAACGACAAAAGGAAAAACATAATGGAAGGAGAGGGAAACGTGAAAATTATACATGGGGGAGAGGTACGTATACTTGGAAGAGTTCTATTTTAAGATTCTTGAGTCAGTCAGAAGGATTGAGGATGGTAATTAAGGAGTTGGAATTGTCTGATATAAGAGCAATTTCAAATCCAGAACAACATCAGAACGCACTAAAATACGCCGAGAATAGACGGAACACAAACATAAAAGCTTTGCGGTTTAGTTTTATTGAACCAGATCCGCACACACATGGTTTTCGGTGCGGTTCAAACAAAGGACACCACTTTTATATATTTGGAAAAAGTGGAGGGAAAGTACACCCTCCTAGGCACCGAAAGGGCCTGGAACCCATCTGGCGAAGAGCGGAGCGGGGTGGAGTAGACAAAAATAGGGTTGGCAATGGGGCGAGAAGAGGCGACCCCCTCGCCTCGCTGGTGAGGCGAGGGGCGCCCCCTCGCCCCGCGGGTGAGGCGAGGGGGCGCCTCCTCGCCCCGGGGGTGAGGCGAGGGGGCGCCTCCTCGCCCCGGGGGTGAGGCGAGGGGGCGCCTCCTCGCCCCGCGGGTGAGGCGAGGGGGCGCCCCCTCGCCCCGCTATTAAATGTGTGTCTGATTTTTTTTCGAACGTATTGTGAAAAGAGCAGCAACGTAATAACTGTAGTAACTGAAAGTGGGAAAGTTGTGACGTTTGTGCGTGTACACCCAATTTTTTTTTTCCAAAATTTTCGGTACATCCCGAGTTACACCCCTTCAAAGTTGGCCTGTTTTCTCCCCGGTCGGCGGCAGAGGAGGGGGCGGAGTCTCGCCTGCAAGTCCGCCGCACGCGTTTTTCGCCTCTGTTTGGTGGCTGAAACCAAAGAGGCAACATATATATTGAAGAAAAATTATGTTCTAAAAAAGCAAATCATCTTTCAAGGTCAAAAGTTTCGAACCCGACACCTCCAGACTGCCGAGTGAGCACTCTGCCACTGCGCTAATCGGGCGAAGGCGCGCCGACCGCCAATGGCGTTGAAAAGTTCGGTGTGCGCGGCCCCCTTCTAATGGTGAAATTAGTGCTTTTGTGGGCTGAAATCTAAAACATGGATTTCATGTTTGGTCGGAAATTGGTCGGAAATTTTATGCTGAATCCGATGGTGTAAAAATTGGCCGCGTGTACGGTACTTCTGACCCTCAAATCCCCCGAAAACTAAAATTTTGACCAAACAAGCGGAAATCGGGAGAAAATTCGTCAGGCCACGCCCCCTCCTTTGCGCCCCCTAACTATAGGAATAAAAACATAACAAAATTATATGTACTGTGCTTTTCCTTGTATAGAACAGACGTATTTATTTATCAAATGTTGGAAATCCCAGAATACTGCTGAAAAATACCCGTTTTTTGAAAAATTTAGCTTTATCCACGGCGTGGGGGCGCCCCACAAATGGGGCGAGGGGCGCCCCGCGCCTCTCCCCGGGGCGAGGGGGCGCCCCTCGCCTCTCCCCCGGGGCGCGGGGCGCCCCTCGCCTCTCCCCCGGGGCGAGGGGGCGCCCCCGCGCCTCACCCGCGGGGCGAAGGGGCGCCCCCTCGCCCCATTTGTGGGGCGCCCCGCCGAAGCGGGGCGCCTCGTTGCCAACCCTAGTTCTCAGTCCGCAGGCTCCAGGCTCATTGATCTTGTGACTGATCTTTCTGTTGCGAATCTGCTTGAATTAAAGTTGAAAGTAATTGGGGGAATGATCTAGGGTCAAGTTGAACTTCGAGAACATGATTACGAGCACTTTGAACTA